CCGCCTCCAACAAGAAGAAGCTTGCGAAGGTGGTTGAGCTGCCTGACAGCGCCTCCGACTCGGAAAACTAGATACCCTGGGTAGTCTCGACTCCCTCTCAGGGTTGGTATCAACAGTCGGTGTGACAGAAGCTCGACCGGATTTCGTTAGCAAGTTGCTGGGAGGAAGACCCTTTCTCACCTCTTGTTCCATAGCGAATAATGGAGTTTCGTTAACCACCACCGACGTTTTGGTTGATACGGGAGCCAATGGCTACCTCTTTGTGAGTGTTGCCTATGCAGAACGACTGTTGAAGCAGTTGAAATTGAAGACTCGAACCGACTTCACGCCCCGACCCGTGGGCGGGTTTGACAACAAAGGCGCGTGCCAATTGGTCGACGTGGTGCTCGTCGGGCATTTTACCATCCAGAACCGCACTCTCCGCGACGAACCGCTGCTGGTAATTGATTCCAAGCACGATGTGATCGTTGGTGACAAGTGGCTTGACTATCACGACATCCTTACCGACAGCCGACGCCGGAGACTGATCTTCCCTACTGAATGGCTCCCTGATCCAGGATGGTGGAAGAAGGCTGATATCGAGCTCGGCGCACCCCCGACCGGACGCCCCGATCCTGCTATAATGGAAGACATTCAGCGCCGCGAAGCATTGATGGAAAAGGAAGACCAACGAAGGCGCGATGGGCGAGCTGTCGCGCAGCGAATCGCACAGCTGGAAGCGCAGGCGAGCCGCCAGCCTGTTCCGCGGCCGCCGACGTCATCTGCGTCCCCGATTACCCACCTCCTATCGCGATCCGACCCGATACCCAAGACCGTTCGGTTCGATCCCCCTGAACAGCAGAAGATGCAGCGCGCGCTGCAAGGCCTTCCTCCCCCGCCAAAGGAGCAGCCTCCTAAACCACGCGTTCGGCGAAAGGAACCCGCGATCGACTACAAGCGTGGCACAGATAAATACGGACCGTACACTCTACGTAGGGATAGCATCGGCTGGTACAAGGATCGCCCACCCGATATGGCCGTTATCGGTGCCATTGCATTCAGGCAGATTGCGCGCAACCTGCCCACCGGCTGCGTCACTCTTCACGAGATCGACAGGATGATTGAGGACAAGCTCGCAGAGTCGATGCCCCGAGATGATCACGACCTGCGTCAGAAAGCAGTCAACGCGATCCCGAGCGAGTACCATGACTTCCTCGACGTGTTCAGCAAGGCGGAATCCGACGATATGCCCCCATACCGCCCGCAAGTCGACCATAAGATCGATGTCACTGGCAGGCCGGAGGATCTGGGATATTCGCCGCTGTACAAGCTCTCTTTGGAGGAATTGGAAGCCGCTCGGAAATATATCACCGAGAACCTGCGGAAAGGCTTCATTGAACCAAGCGATTCCCCGTGGGCCGCGCCCATCCTGTTCGCGATCAAGGCTAACGGTGGACTACGCTTCTGCGTCGACTACCGAAAGCTCAACGCGATCACAAGGAAGGACCGGTACCCATTACCGCTGATCGACGAGACTCTGGCGCGGGTCTCCCAAGCCAAAATCTTTTCTAAGATCGATATTCGCCAAGCCTTCCACCGCATCCGGATCAACCCGGAACACGAAGAACTCACAACGTTCCGCACGAGATACGGCGCGTACAAGTACAAAGTGATGCCGTTCGGCTTGACCAACGGCCCAGCGACCTTTCAACGGTTCATCAACAACACTTTGATGGGTTATTTGGACGATTTCTGTAGCGCATACATCGATGACATCCTGATCTTTTCGAACAACCTCCGGGAGCACAAGGAGCACGTCGGGAAGGTTCTGGAGCGCCTCCGCGAGGCGGGCTTACAGGCCGACATCGATAAATGCGAATTCCACGTCACCAGCACCAAGTTCTTGGGATTCATTATTGGAACCGACGGCATCGCTGTCGACCCAAAGAAGATTGAAACTGTTCGGGATTGGGAACAGCCGACTACTGTCAAGGGAGTCCAATCGTTCCTTGGCTTCTGCAACTTCTATCGACGCTTCGTTCGCGAATACGGTCGAACAGCGCGCCCACTAAACAACCTCACAAGGAAAGACGTACCATTTGACTGGAATGCGGATTGCCAGTGTGCCTTCGAGGAGCTGAAAGACCGGCTACTTAACGCGCCTGTTTTAGCCCATTTCTCTCACGACAAGCCAACCCGCGTCGAAACCGACGCGTCACAGGGAGTGGTAGCAGGCGTACTTACCCAGCAACAGCCGGACGGCGAATGGCATCCTATCGCCTTTTTCTCAGAGACAATGCACGGCGCGGAACACAACTACCATATCCATGACAAGGAACTCCTGGCGGTGATCCGCGCGCTGCAGTGCTGGCGAGCCGAGCTTGTTGGCCTCCAAGGGGACGACCCGTTCCTGATCATCACGGACCACGAAGCGTTGAAGTATTTTGGCACGAAGCGCCTGCTCAACGCTAGACAAGCCGGATGGGCTGAGCTGCTCGCGCAGTACCATTTCCAAATCACGTACCGGCCGGGCAAAGAGAATGCTGCGGCAGACGCTCTCTCCCGCAAGAGCGAGGATACAGTGACGCAGAAGGCGAAGAGGGAAGCCTATCGCACCTTGCAAATCTTCACCCCCGTGCTGGAGGATGGCGCAGCAACCCGCACTGATGATCTTGAAGTTGAGTTGATGGCGCTTGACGAGGAGATAGAGGCGCCCGCAGACTCGGGTTTCGAGCTCATCGACGAGCTCCTCCGTTACAACCAATCTGCCCTGGAGTTGGAGCCATACCGTGAGAAGGCCCGCAGCGAGCAGGATTCCGAATACTCGCTCCTGGATGGCCGCTTGCTGTTGATGAGCGGTAGATTGGTGGTCCCAGCCGTCAACCATCTGCGGACCCGCATCATTACTGAGGCACACTCGCGCTTGACGACCGCCCACCCGGGCATAAACAAGACGCGCAAGTTGATCAACACCCGGTACTGGTGGCCCCGAATGGGCAGCGATATCGATCAGTATATCGCTAACTGTGTGTGCCGCGCCGCGAAGCACCCGAGAGACAAGACCCCCGGATTGCTACACCCAATCCCCCCCTCGCAGCGAGCATGGCAGAGCGTTGTGATGGATTTCAACGAACTTCCGAAAGACAAGTACGGATTTGACAACGCTCTGGTCATGATTGACCGCCTCACGAAAGCTTCATGGACTATTCCCTGCACGAAGGGAGCCACGGCTCGCGATGCGGCGAAGATGTACTATGAAGGCCCGTATCGAGTCTACGGTCTCCCGATGGAGGTCATCAGTGACCAGGGGCCGCAGTTTCGAGCCGACTTTACCAACGAACTGTCAAAGATTCTGGGGATCAATTGGAAACTGGCCACACCCGGTCATTCGCAGACCGCGGGCCAAGTCGAGAACCTTAACCAGTATATTAACCAACGGTTACGACCGTTTGTAAGCCATTACCAAGACAACTGGTCCCGGGCAATCCCAGCTCTTGACGCGGTACAGTCGAGCCTCCCGCACGACAGCACCGGATTGTCGCCCCACGAAGTGATGTTTGGGTTCGCGATGCCCTTACCATTCGACTGGGAATCACGAACCGGACTGACAGATCTGCCGCACGAAGAGCGTCTCAATCGCGAAGAGGCCCAGCGGAGGGCGCGCCAGATCCAGGAATTTGGGGACTTCGCGCGGTCCAACATCCTTAAAGCGCAGGAGAAGCAAGCAGAGCAGGCGAATCGACATCGCCGCGTACCAGATTTCGACGTCGACGACCACGTCGTGATCATCAAGCGCACCGAAATGACGAGCAGACCCAGCGATAAGCTCGATTTCCCCGTTACGCGGCAGCACTTCCGCATCATCGAGAAGGTTGGCCACGCGTACCGTTTGGAAGTCCCAGCTTCGTGGAAGGGAACCGACACGTTCCCTCCCGACCGACTACGATTACACCTAAACAACCCTCTTCCTGGCCAAGCACCCGAGTCCCCGGATGCCGAAGAGGTTGGTCCGAATCAAGACATGGAATGGGAGGTCGAACAACTCTTGGCGAGCCGTGTTTACTATGGAAAATTGCAGTACCAAGTCCGTTGGAAGGGCTGGGCAGCCGACCCCGAATGGTATCCCGCGGCCGACTTCAAGAACTCGCCGGAAGCGTTGAAACAGTTCCATGACGCGAACCCCGACAAGTCTGGCCCGCCCACACGATTGCAAATATGGTTGGAAATGGCCGAACGCGACGAGTTCGCGGCGGATCATGAGGATGACAACGAACCAGTCATGGTGGGCGCGCCGTTGAGGCGATCCAACAGGAAGAAAAAGTGATGGACCTTTTCCGAGCAAAAGCTCGCGGACGAGCTTTTTCGTGGAGGGGGGGGGTTGTCACGAGAGGTGGTTGCCTGTGATGGCACTGTGGCTCAATCGGGGTTAGCGCGCATAGCGCCTCGCCCTACTTCCCCACGAAACGATCGCTAGCGATCCCACCACCTCTCTTTTTCTCTTTGTCTCAGTTTCGATATTATAGTTGTATTGACTGGTGGCCTGACCCCATGGAATATCTGCTTCTCGTCACAGATGCCACAGTTTCGACTGCATTATCGTGCATAATCTTGCATGCGGTGGCGTTGTAGCTAACACAGCAGCTTCGCTTCACCCTTACTGTGGCATACGAAGCAACATGGCACAGTCAGATACTTGTATAAAATATATAGTAGATAGTAGCTAGAGGTTATAGTATAGCGGATCAACGATATAGGGGTTACCGGGCCTATAATTGACACCCAGGTACAGAGTTTTCAGGGGTGTAGGAGGCCCTCCGTTTGTTCTAGATATATACAAGTTTATCAGACAATACGATTACGGTTGATTCGGATGCCCTCTGTACAGTGACCTTTGTCGCACTACATTTAGACCCCTGTTCAGAAGTACTGTTACTCTGGCTGTTGGATTTCCAACAGATGCCAAGTCTCAAGAGCTATAACTAGCCGCATGAGGCACAGTGCCGGCCGTAACTCCTCGCCGTTTAACAATAAAAGCACGAATTCGAAAGACTGCATCTGGCCCCCAAACTTTCGGCAAGAAGTAGGTACATGTACGATATCCCGTCTCGTATTGGCACTGGGAGATACCGCTCACTACCACACCTAAGGTACCTATATTATCCTAATACTAAAGCACATGATTTCTTGCCAACCACCAAAGGTTTCACTCAGCGTTGGTCTTCCTCCGGGCTACTGAGATTGCCGGTAAATCATAGTATAGCGCAGCTTCTCGGCTGTGAACGAGGCGCGTGAGAATTGTCAGGTTCGTCAAACTCACAACAACACGGACAACGGGGGGGAGGGTCCGGAAAGAGCTCGTCCTCATCCACTGCCGTAAAACCCGTATCAACTCCTTCCTCCCTTGGCCACGGCCACCAACCCTTCAGCGGCTCGTCATCATAGATACAGTTAAAGTTGTGCTTGGGGTAGCGGTAGTCATAGTTGTATATCAGCTTTCCGGCCCAATTCCAGGCGTAGGAAGCATAGACGTTCTTCCTCGACAGATCCTTGACCCGGAAGGCCGCGAGAGTCGCTAGGAGAGGGCTCGTGACTTCAAGTCTCCCTTTCCATTGAGGAGCCTTGTCGTTGGCTTTATCAGCGATAATCCACGTCCGTTTATGACGGCACCCCAGGCCTTCGCACTCCTTTCTAATATTGTCGGATATGTAACCTTCCTCGGGCACCACATTTTCGGTCGACCAGAAAAAGCCCTCACGCATCAAACGCGGGACATCTTCGCACCCGATCACAAGAAAGGCTACCCAGGGCTTGTCTGTCCATTCTGCAGGCGTCATTCTCATCTCGATGAATCCTGGGCCGGGTTTCGCCGCCGAAGCCTTTTTGCTTCCTTTGGGTTCGTCGGTGGTTTGTGGTGGCATAGGCGTTGTGGCTGGGTCCAAACCCGGATTGTCAAGGCTCTCGGAAGTCGGGGTGTAGCAATTAGGCACCGTGTCCTCCGTGCAGTCGCTGCCACCTTCGTCGTTCTCGCGTGTGTCAACAACGGGGATGAAGCGGTCCGCCATAGCCTTTCTTGCCAGGCAGTATTGGCCGCTTCACAACCCCTGGGATGTCGGAAGAGAAAGTGGGAGATGGCGGGAGTGAGACTGTCATGATTCCACCCCCCTGACGTAACTACCTACCTAGGTACCTAACTACCCCATAATGTATGGACCTACATCAGACCAAGAGTCCACCCCATATGACCGATGTAGACGCAGCTTTCTCCTTACCCCTTCTAGTAGAAGGGGCAATTATGCCCAGCGAGGCAGACTGGTGAAAAAGAGAAAAGAAAGACAGGAAAAAGCAAAGAAAGAAAAAAAGAAAAAGGAAAGAAAAGCGAGGAAAGAGAAAGAAGGAGAAAGGAAAAGAAAACGCAAAACCTCAGGTGAAGCAATAAAGGAAAGTCAAAAGAAAAGGGAAAAGAAGAATACTAAAATGGAGCCGATTGCAATATAGTATATAATAGATGGAGGAAATAATGTCAATTATTTATACATTGGATCGAGTAGATATAGTTCTCCCTATTCCAAGATCAGTTTTTATCCGTTATAGTTGCTCGGATGTTATATTTACTACATTACAGGGGTCATGAATTCCTTACAAGAACGACACCGCCGTTCGGGTTGCCGGTCAGCAATGGCGCCTCCTCTCATGTCCCAGATAGCTTTGCGGTACAGACTTTGGTGGTCTATGGGTGCCATGACACAAAACCCGCTCCGCCGCCCGACCGCAGTGGTCCGCCCTCCTTGGTTGGCCCCTGCGGATCTTTCTCGGCCTCGTCACCATCTTGGCTTCGACTCCAGTTAGAGCGATTGTAAGGATGGACTCAATGGGCGTGAATAAGCACCTTGCCCCATCTAAGAGCCAAGACGCCAAAGCATGGAGCCCACATCTTGTGTCCTTACTCAGCCGGTCATTGTGTTGTTGTTTGCTGCCTGATATGCATGTCACGCGGCTAACCCACCCCGGATGGCTGAGCGTATCTCTACAAATTACGGGAGGAGAGTAAGACGGGGCGGCTTCACAACTCTGGGGATAACTTGTTAGCTTACTATTCAGCGGTGACAGATGGTCGGTTCTCTGCGCCAAGTTGATCAAAGTTTGGTTACTGTCGGTTTAGAGGGACCATGTCTGGCAGCAAGCGGACTCTCCGCGAACGAGCCTTTTAAGGGAGAGCGCCTATATAAAGCACTCTCTCCCGGCACCGAGGTTCAACAAATCCTCATCCCTCAGCAACTCCGAACTTCCTTGGACAGTTCCGCGCAGTCTGCTCTTTTTCTCACCTCGTCTCACCAAAAATGCTCGGTTTCAAGTTCATTGCCGCTACGGCTATCCTCGCCGGTGGTGTCTTTGGAGAGGGGATTCACCTCCTCAACTGCCGACCATTCGGTGGCGCTGGTAGTCCCCAGACTTGGTACTCTGTGGTTGCGGTATGTCCATGAAGTTCTCCTGGGAGTTTGCTGCCCGACGGGCTGTTCATGTCCAAGAGCTGATCAATTATCGGATATAGTATTGCGCGAACGATGCGGACTGCAGCACGCTGAGCTACGTGCTTCCTACCCAAGACACCTGCATCGTGTCGACGTCGAGCACACCCGAGTCTTTCCACACTTGGGAGGGCGGCCAGCAGAGCTGCACCTTTCCGAGCGGAGTGACTTTCAACTGGAACATCCCGGGCAATGCTCAGTCTCAGCCTGATTTCTCCTCGGTCGGGTGAGTATTCTTTTGTTCAATCGCTCTCGGTTGTCTGAGACAGCAGCGCTGACGTGGCACATCGCGTTGAAACAGGGGTGGATGGAACGATTTCAGAAGCTTTTCCGGATTCAAGGACAACAAAGTCAATGGCGCGGGTCTCGGCTCGCACAGCTGTACCAAGATATATTACTATATCTAATTGATGGCCGTTCGGTAGTCGGTAGACCCCTTTGGGTGGGGGGAGGGAGATGTTGATGTTGGCTTGGTGTTCAGTTAGTCATCAGAGGAAAAGAAAAGAGAATCAGAATCCCAACTCCGGCAGATCAATGCTGCCAAGCGGCGGAGATGCGCCCAAAGCTTATCTTGCGCTAACCATATCCGATAATTTTGATTGTGATGAAGGTTTGCGCTCTTTTGACAGTAGCGAACGATCTCGTACAGATTCAACAATAGCCTTTTCCATTTTCCATGCTTTCCATGTCTCGGATACGTTGTTAATTTTCACCACTTCTGCGTTGAAGTACTTCGTAATCTGTCGGAAAAGATACCAACTCTGTTTGTGGCGGTGCGGCGCCACATGTGGCAGTACATACAATCCGTGTGCTCGGGTGGAGCGGCATTGCCTGCCGCCCGCGATTTCGTCACGTCACCGCCAGGTCAAGCTCCACTGCTGGCGCAGCTGCTGTTGGCCGCCAAGGTTGCGTGACCAAACCGAGCTCACCTCTAGTTTCTTGCCTTTTTCCCAACACCGCCTGTACATATCTTATCACCTTGCCTACGAAGGCACGAAGCTCGCAACCCCAATGTCAAGGTCGCCAGCACACATATTGTTCCGACGCATATGCCCTCCCAGGTGAAGCGTCTAGAGCGGCAGCCATGAACTTCGAAGACCCCGACAATCCCGACCCGGACCAGTGCCGCGGCGAGAATGCAATCAGACCCGGCAAGAAGGACACCCAAGTCCAGCTCGTCATCTCTCTTGCTCTGGGCTTGTCCGCATTTATAGCTTTCTGCGTGCGTCTCCCAACAAGGACCGGCGCTCCTCCCCTCTATTTCCCCGCACTGAGCTCGCTCTCTTACACTTCGCTCGCAGATCCTCCGACCACGATGGAAGTCCCTCTACGCCGCCCGAAAGCGACACTCCAATCCCCACCTCGGCCTACCGTCACTCCCCGACAGCTTCTTTGGCTGGATCCCCGTGCTATACCACATCACCGAACAGCAGGTCCTGTCCTCGGCTGGTCTCGACGCATACGTCTTCCTGGCCTTCTTCAAGATGTCCATGCGCCTCTTCGGCTCCATGTTCTTCTTCGCCGCCGTCGTCCTCGAGCCCATCAATCGCCACTTTATCGACAACACCAAGTCGTCCGAGATATTTCTGTTTAGGCCATACGCAACCGACTACAGCCATGAGCTTGCGAGACGGTCCGTTGGTATGGAGAAGCCGGACGGCGACCAAGACAACAGCTTCAACCGCAATATGGGATACCTGTGGTCGTATTTGGTATTTACCTACTTTTTCACCGGCCTCACCCTCTTTTTCATGGACAGGCAGACGTCCAAGGTGATACGTGTCCGCCAGGACTATCTGGGTACCCAGTCTACGATTACCGACCGAACCTTCCGCCTATCCAGCATCCCCGAAGAACTGAGGACCAAAGCCGCCATCAAGGATCTAGTGCAGAAACTCGAGATCGGAAAGGTCGAGAGTGTCACTCTTTGCTGCAATTGGACCGAGATTGACAAGTTGATGGAGGAGAGGAAGACTATTTTGGCCAAGCTTGAGGAGACCTGGAGTGTTTATCTCGCACGTGCGCCGCGAGGAGCCACCGAATCCGGGCCAAATGGGGGCGGGGATGACGGCTTCAGAGGTGGTGCGAGCAGCGCCCCGGAGGTGGTAGATGAGGAGGCCGGGGAAAGTGATCATCTCTTGAGCGGGGACGAGACCCAGCCGTCCGAAAGACAGCGTCCACGGACACGTTTTTGGTACGGTTTCCTGCGCCTCCAGAGCCGCGAGACCGACGCCATCGACTACTACACCGAAAAGCTACGCCGGGTCGACGAGAAGATCACCGCCGCGCGCAAGAAGAAGTTCGAGCCTGTCAGCCTCGCCTTCGTCACCATGGACTCTATTGCCGCCTGCCAGATGGCCATTCAGGCACTCATCGACCCTCACCCGGGCCGTCTCCAGACAAAGCCCGCCCCTGCGCCGTCCGACATCGTATGGAAGAACACATACGCCACGCGCTTCAGCCGCCGCATTCGGTCCTGGACAGTCACCACCTTCGTCGCTATCCTTTCCGTCGTGTGGTTGGTTCCCGTCGCCTTCCTCGCCTCCGTCCTCAGCATCTGTACCATTAATCAGTTCCTCCCATCCTTCGGTGAATGGCTCAAGGAACACGAAATCGCCCGAACCCTTGTTCAGACAGGGCTCCCCACGCTTGTCGTATCCCTGCTCAATGTCGCTGTCCCCTACCTCTACGACTACCTCTCCTGGCACCAGGGCATGCTCTCCCAAGGCGACATCGCTCTCTCCGCCATCAGCAAGAACTTCTTCTTCACCTTCTTCAACATTTTCCTCATCTTCACCGTCTTCGGTGCCGTCACCTCCATCCTCGACGTCCTCCGCAACTCCCTCAAAGACACCACCTACATCGCCTACACCCTCGCCCGCAAGATCGAGGAACTCTCCGTCTTCTACACCAACTTCATCATGCTCCAAGGCCTCGGCCTCTTCCCCTTCCGCCTCCTCGAATTCGGCAGCGTAGCCCAGTACCCGATCCTGCGCATGGGCGCCAAGACCCCGCGCGACTTCGCCGAGATGGTCCAGCCCCCCAAGTTCTACTACGGCTTCTACCTGCCCACCGCGCTACTCGTCTTCATCCTCTGCCTCGTCTACAGCGCTATCCCCGGAGGCTACCTCGTCCTGGCGCTCGGCCTCGCCTACTTCTCGCTCGGCTACTTCACCTACAAGTACCAGCTGCTCTACGCCATGGACCAGCCCCAGCACGCCACCGGCGGTGCCTGGCGCATCATCTGCTACCGCATCGTCCTGGGCCTCGTCGTCTTCCAGCTCACCATGTCCGGCTACCTCGCCCTCAAGAAGGCCTACACCGTCGCCCTGCTCGTCGGGCCCCTCTTCCTCGCCACCCTGTGGTACGGCTGGGACTTCCGCAAGCGCGTCGAGCCGCTGACGCGCTTCATTTCCCTGCGGAGCATTGAGCGCCCCCCCGGTGAGGGTGGTGGTGAGAGTGCTATCATGGATGGCGACGGCGCCGAGGCCGCCGAGCAGAGGGAGGTGCTGCGTAGGGGCAGCACGGTCGATGAGGACCGCGAGAAGGGGCTGCGGTTTGTGAATCCGAGCTTGGTGGCGCCGTGAGTACCTTGCCTATCCCTTGTTTCCCCTTCCTCCTTTTTGACTGTCGTTGCTGACTGACCTTTCTGGCTGCAGACTCGAGCAGCCCTGGATCTACGAGGACGCGCCGCCGCCGCTGGTGGGTTCGGGCGCGGGTTCCAGTCCTGGCAACACGCCTGGCCGTGGCACGCCGACTCGCGGAACCGGTGGCATTGGCGGGGGCAGTAGCAACTCGTCGAGCTCGGTCAGTCTGGGGGATACCCACATCTGGAGGGAATGATGGCGCCCTAGAGCGTTGTCGTTGGTGGTGGTGAATGCCGGCCGGTACGCCGGTCGGTTGGTTCCATTGCGTTGCATAGCGCGCGTCGGTTGCGGCCGTACGTCTCGCTGCGGTTTCTTTTTCTGTTTTTCTGTGTCTTTTTTATCATGTGAATTGTGAGATGACGATGGGTACGAAGACTGGGGTAGCTGGGACGTTGGAGTGATACCAAGGGGTTAATGATATGGAGCAGTGTTGGGAGTATATACCAGGTGGATTTGGAAGCGAGGTAGGACGGACATACGAGTTGAAGTAATATGACATACTCTCCGCAGTACCATTACTGGTGCCATCATTCATCATTCCACATGATAGGTTGTCTGGTCCCCTTGTGACTGGGATATCGTCTCGGTGACCCCTGAATATGGGTTCCAAAACGTCTAACGACACCAAGGCAGTACAACGGTGACAAAAAGGAACCTGCCGAGGACCATAGCCCTTATTAAGCCAGATCTAACTCGGGAAGAAGAATCGAGTCCTCCTGTGCAACGTTTCTAAACCCCAGCTTCGACTCGATCCCACTCACCTCTTCTCTGTCAACATTGTAATCTCATCCCCCGCCACTTCCCCAGCAAATTCACCAGTGCAAATTCCCCTCGATTTCAGCAGCCATCTACTCAGTCAAAACGCCCGTTCAGCCCCCCTAGCAATCAAAACCAAAGCACCCAGCCCCGCACCACTACAGCTCCATACCCTCCCCTTGGGATCCTTCCCCCACCTCCTCATGAAGACCACGCAAGAACTCCTGCGTGGCAGAACGACTCCGGCCCAGACTCCTACAGGCCGATCTCTCCTCAGGCGCCGCGCCCGAAGGCTCAGCGGCCTGATCGCGGGCATACCAATCTCTGAGCGGCTGAAACCGCTCCAACGGCTGCATATCGTCTAAATAGGCTCCGGCAGCGGGGTGCTGCTCAGAGCCTGTCGGCGAGAAGTTCTCTTCATCATCGACGTCTAGCATCTCCTCGTCGTAGTTCGATCCGGAGGAGATTGACATGGCCCGTGGTCGGTTTCCGGTCAACTTATCGACTTCTTTTGGTGTGTTGTCTCCAGTCAACACGTCGCTCATGATGGAGTCGGCGTGCGGGTCTGGGAGATCTGTTGTGACGCTGCTAGGGGTCGCTACCCTCGTGGTTGGTGTGCATGCCCCTTTTCGAAGCTCCTCGATCATCGAGCCCCGGTTGATTGGCGTTGGCTGGGATATCGTGCCCGTCGCGTCGTCCTCCATGCCAGCTCTAACCCTGTTTAACAAGGATTCGGTGCCCTTGCCGGTCGGCGAGACTCGCCTCTTGTCATCGGGCAGAGCCATGTTGGCGTGCATCACTCTGCTCTCTGCAGCGTCACACTTCTTTCTCCACTCCCCGCGCTCTTCCTCGCTTGGCTTTGCCAGAGTCGGCAGGTCGACAGCCGGCTCAATGTCCTTGCCAGCCAAGCTCTGTTGCGCGTCATCATCGGCAGCAATGTTCATCCTAATGGTAAACTCCGTTTGCAGCTTTTTGAGATACGACGCAAGCGCCGACTCGTCCATGGTCGAGTCATTGGCTTGTTTGAGAAGGCCCGGAAGGGCGAGGATCAGCTTGTTTTGCTTCGCAGCGCGAGTAGCGGGACCGATGCCTCGGTTCGAGCCTCTTTGATGAAGGAAATTACACACTTGCTCGGCATTGTCGACGACTCGTTCGGGGAGGAAGCGGCGAGAGAGGTCCAGACCGTAGTCCTCGTTCTTCACCGGCCCAGGCGCGATAGTGTGCGGCAGGGAGATTTGTGTAGTATCGGCTGTCTTGGTACTCTCACCAACCACATGGACGTTGAGGACACTGCTCTGTTTTGTGGTGTTTAATATTCTTGCTAAAAGACGGGTCAATATGGAGTCCTTGGCCCCGGAAGCATCCCGCCCACTTACCGAGCTCAGTGAAGTGGGTTGCAAAGAACACCCGGCATCCAGTCTTGATGAGCTCCTCTGACATAGCAAGAGCAATGCCGAGCCCTTCCTTAGTTGAAGTTCCTCGGCCGAGTTCGTCGATGATGACGAGACTATTGTCCGTAACCCGCCTATGGCTAGGGTTAGCAGAGCCGAGAGCAGAATACCACGCTTATGAAGGGGTAGATACCTTAAGATCATGTTCATCTCGGTCATTTCCACCCCAAAAGTTCCCAGGTTACTCTCGGGTTTGTCTTCGGTAGACAGGCGGGTGAAAAGACGATCGCAGACGGGAATTGCAGCATACGTAGCCGGAACAAAACTACCAACCTGCGCCAGAATCTGGATTAGTGCAACGGATCTGATAAAGGTGCTCTTGCCGCTCATGTTTCCGCCAGTGACGACTTGAAAACGGGCGCCATGGTCTCCCAAGTAGACATCGTTTGGCACAAAGTTTTGCTTTCTGGCTTCCACCACGGGGTGTCTAGCGCCTTTGAGAACCAGATTGTCGGAAATGATGGGCCGGACATAGTTCTGGGTGGTGGCCAAGTGCGCGAAGGAACACAACATGTCCAAGACGGCGATGGCCTCGTTGACGGCGAGCAAGACCTCCGCATGCTCCAGTAGAGATTTCTTGAGCTCCATAATGAATGTGTCGCATTGCGCTGTAACAATGTCGGCGTGGCGCTGGATCTGGCTGCTCCGTTGGATGAGCTCTAATGTCTGGCAGTCGTAGTGGTGTTTCCGCCGGATTCCATTGACGATCCCAACACCGCCCAGGAGCCGTGGTCTCCGATGTTGCATGCGAGCTGGCCGTTCATCCTCCGAGGCTACTTCGCTTCTCATTAGTTCTCGTTCGACATCCGACCACTGGAATCGTAGGTAGTAATGGTTGTCGTTTGCCAACCGAAGCTGCGGCGCGGTGCCTAAGTGTTCTGCATCTTGTTAATGGATGTGAGGATGGGATGACATGGACATCACGTACCTTGAAACACCGTGTTGAGCTCTTCGACGTACTGGTGCATCTCGTTAGTGCAGTCCCGGTACATCTGACGAGCGCCATCTAGAACGCTATGAGGGTCAGCCTGTGAGTTGGGCAGTTGTTAGCAAAGCTAGCGAACAATATGTTGTGTCAGTGACCGACCTTGACAGCCCACATTCTGTTGTTTCTGATATCGATGGGTGCCTTGCTGTATATTGCGTCCTGTTCAATGGACCCTTCAATAAAGGTAGCAATTGGGGCTGTGTTCTCCTGTCGGCACTTGAAAAGCACCCACTTGCACAGCTTGCTAGTACAACCCGCCGCCTCGAGTGTCTCCTGGACGGATTGGACACCTCCGAGGTATGCTTTGACCATAAGAAGATGATTCATGTCCTTTTCTGCTCCCTGGAGCTCCTCGTGGCTGGGCATCGAGATCTGATGGCGGCCTTGAATCAGAGCTACCCCGTCTTGTAAAGGGACACGCAACTCTGCGGTATTCAACGTAACCTGGTTCCAGAATTAGCTTACCGGCACCCCGGCAACGATAATATGGTTCCGCATTTACCCATGGGATGGATCGTTCGACGTCAATATGGAACAGCCGCTTGAGGCTCGCTCGCACCTCTGTGAACAGATCTTCGTTGCTCGACAATTCCTCAACCGCTTCGTGGCGCGCGGTAATCAGTTCTCGGTTAGTGCTTGGTTGGAAAAGAGCGGAACGGATCATCCGACGGCCTTGAGGCGTAAGTGTGTTGTTCAACAATCCAAATAGAGTTGACGTGGTGCCCTTCGAATTCCGAACGTTCTGAAAAAGCTCCAGGCAAGTAATGGTGGACCGGTCTAGGCCCATGGTATCGGCAGGCTGCCTGTACCTAATTCGCAAAGAATTATCCCTGAAAGTCACTTCGGTTTCCTCTTCGACGTACGCCATGACCTAGACACCGCCAGCATTAGTGTGTTGCGCTTGGACGGCTCGAAACGGTACCTACCGCAGAGAATGCACATGAGACGTAGAAATTCCGCTCGAGATCCTGAAGGATGGCTTTGATGTCTGCCCTCCAAGCAAAGCGGCCAATTAATTTTAAGCCTTCGGATTCGTTCCAGTGCTCTCTATCCAGGGGCACAATCTCCGCGTGAGGGAACTCCTTTTCCAGGCAGTCGGTGACTGTCGACTTGCTGTGTTGGTCCATAGCCTTCTTGAGCACAACGAAAATTTGTGGCCAGGTCGACGTCCCCCACAAAGTCTCGGCAAGCCGGTGGTATCTGTCATCATTGACAATCCTGAACAGATCGATTTCTCCTACTGTCATGTTGATGACTGCCACGCCAATCATGTCTGACGAGCGGCTTTCAGATATGGCACACACGACGCGATCTTCTTCATCCATAGGCTCGACACCGCCCGACTGGGGTTTCTGTCCTTTGTTGCCGCGTTGGGAGCGGCCCGCACCGAGGTTGTAGCGAGAGTCAACATCCTCGCCATCAGATTCAGAGTCGGAACTGAAGTCCAAGTCAAGGATATTCAGACCCCCCGACTCCGCCCTCTGACGCAATGTTCCCGGACGATCATTGTCGAGGTTGGCAATCGGCCGCGGAGCGTTCTGGGGAGCGCTTGGGCGTGACAATGGGCTGATAATTGAAGAATCCTGGTATTCGTAACGGGGCAACGGGGGTTGTCGATTGACATGGGCTGGGGCGCACCACTGCTCTCCGGGCTTGTCCACAACACTACCGTGAAAAGTATGACTGGTTGTATTGCCAACGGTCTCTTGTTCGGTCATTCCAGTTGCGTGTCGTTGATATGGAGACGTGTTTGGGGTAAGCGTCTGTGTTACCGCTCCGCTCACAACGGACGGCCCATAGCCACACTCAGAGTTGGTGTCATGGGTACGCCACAGCCTCGGAGAGGCTAGCCGCGCGCGGAACGTGGTTGACGGATGATTTTTCAGTGGTCGTGTATCTGAGTCATAAGACAATGACGCTTGAGCTTCGGAGTAGCCGTGGTTTTGTGTGTTGTCCGTTGAATCATTGGGTGGTTGTTGTTGATTTGACGCGGTGAACCTCGACTGTTGTGGGAAATTGCTCGACTCACGACGAGCGAAAGAACCACCGGGAAATGATTCAGTGGCTCTAGCAGTTGTTGAGAACTCGTGATGGAGGGGTTTGGCGTTTACGGTATCGTAAAACGGGCTGCTGCTGCGGACTTCGGTCGGCCCGGGCGTCGACTCGCCCCTTCGGAAATAGGGGGAACGCATTGATTGGCTGCCATGTGTTCCTTTTCTCAGAGAGTCTGGAGTGCTAGCTCTGGAGTTACCCTGCGTTTGGCTGAAGGATGTTGTGGATGAGAGACTAGCAATATCACAGGCGCTCTCGGTTTCTTCGGTTTCCTCGTAGGGGGTTTCCCCAACAAACGGCAACTCTACTTCATGCCGGAAGGGCCGTGGGAGCAGCCAGCTAGCCGGATCCCCAATGTTCGCCGGAGGAGAGCTATCGAGGGGTTTGTATTGAGGCATAGCCGGTAAGTTAGGGCTCATTGGTTTACCCGGAGGTGACGAGTCGTGGGCTGCGCGGATATTGAGGTTGTGACGATCGGAGGAGAGGTAAGCCGTATTTTCTGGATGGATCGGCTGACAGTTGGCCTGCTGGTCGGCGCTCCTGGAGTATCTGTCTGCTTGATCGCTGCGTCCACGGGTAGGTTGAATGCCATCGATGTTGTTGGTATCATAGCGGACGAACCCCAGCGTCCTCTTTGGCAACTGCGATAGGTGACTGGGACTATCTGAGATCGGTCCAACCAGGCTGCCGCGCTGAGTCGCGAGACTATGGCGCGTTGGTCTGTCGGGCGAGCGGGTTAAGTGTGTTTCGGTAGTCGACTCAGCGGCAGTGTTTCTCATCGCCCCAGACATTGCCCGTCTCCTCAGGCGGTCGGTCTCGGGACGAACAAATCTAATCGCACTGCTGCCACGATTGGTTCCTTGTGACGCTCGCCGTTCCTCGTGATCATATTGTCCGTCTTCTTCAGTTGTTGGGGCTTCCGAGTCGGAGACTGGGCCCTTGAGATTGCTGCCCATGGAAAGGCCTTTCCATGGACTCGCTCGGTCCATGCTTTTCAACTGGTATCCTTCTTGCTTCGTCGGGGTGTTGTTGGGGTCGGTTGGAGATGGGTCGAGAAGTGGCGACGAGGACAACGAGAAAAAGAGAAGACTTTGTCAGGCGAGGAGCATGAATCGAGGGCTGGGGCTACAACTTTGCGGGTACTTCCATTAACGCACGAGCTTTTCTCTGCCTATTATGTTCTGAGTCCTCTGGGTGCAAAAGACACCGAATATGGCAGGTACAGTGCCTTGCTCCTTCCGTAGCTGGAGTCCGGAAGCAGGAGCGGGTCCTCATCAGGACCGCACCAGGCCGGAGCACCGTCGGGTATGGGGGTGGGTTGTCCCTGTTAGTGGTGCATATTCAGACATTCGTATCACCCACCACAGGCGTGGCTCACAAACAAGACACACCGCTCAATAACAACGCCATTGGAATTCCATGCTCTCTTTTTTCACCAAACCCGAGAACATCCACCCCCCACTACCAAGCCCCAAGCTTTTACCAACCCCCTAACCCCCCTACCTACCTAGTCAAGCGACATGCGAAACACCCCATCAGCATACTCAGCAGAAGAAGAAGCACCACCACCCCGCTCAGCACGGAACCCCTAGTCCAGCTGATCCACGGTCTGGCCATTCCCATTCCCATTGCCATTGCCGGCCGCCCCCTCGGCCTCCACCACGCGGCGCGCGTCCGCCTCGCTGACCTCGAAGCGCCACCCGAACGGGTCCTTGCGCTGCCCGAGCTGGATGCCCTTGAGCTCCGCCAGCAGGCGCAGACACAGCGGGCCGGGCTCGTCTGAGGTGTCGGGCGTGTAGGTGACTGTCTCTTCGCCGGTTGTGTTGTCGGACGACACGCGCGGGCTTTGAGGGAGGGCCGCGCTGTTGCGCCGCGTGATGGATCGGATCGGTACGAGGGAGGCGGCGGTTCCGGCCGCCATGACTTCTTGGAAGGCCGGCAGCTCTGTGTACTTGATCTGGGCGGGTGTTAGCAGCAAGAATTTGATGTGTGGAATAGAGATAGGCACGGCTTACCGAGCGCTTCTCGACCTTCCAGCCAAAGCTGCGGGCGAGCTGCTGGATGCTGTCGCTGGTCACACTATCAATGACGGCGGCGCTGTCTGGGACAACGAGCGTGATGTCCTCGCCGTTGACCAGGGCGCCGATGAAGCCGCTGGTGCTGAACTCGTCGACCTCCTCGTGGCGCTTGCTGTCGAGGTGCAGGGTGATGCCGTAGCCCTCGTTGCGGGCGCGCTCGCTCCAGCGCAGCACGGGCGCGTAGTTGCCGCCGACCTTGGCGCTGCCGGTGCCGTTGGGGGCCGCGCGGTCGAAGTCGTCCAGGATCAGGGCCTTGACCGGGTGCGTGCCGTGGTAGACGCCCGTGGGCAGCACGAAGACGCAGAAGGTGTACTCCTCCGGCGGGTTCAGGCCTAGCTGGGCCGACGAACCGTAGACCTGGGGCCGGATGTACATGGCGGCGCCGGTCTCGTGCGGGGGGACGAACTCAGCGTTGAGGGCGACTGCGGCTTTCACGGCCTCGAGGAAGAAGTCCACGGGGACGGGCGGCATCGAGATGAAGTCGGCACTGTGCTGCAAGCGCGCGGCGTTACGGTCTGGGCGGAAGATGGCGATGGATTTGTCACCCGGGAGACGGAAGGCCTTAAGACCCTCGTAGGCTTGCTGGCCGTAGTTGAGGGCCGGAGCCATGCCGTGGATGCGCATGTAGGGGTCGGCAACGAAGCGGAGAGGGGACCATTTGCCGGTCTTGACCGAGTAGTGGGATTCGATGTGACCGTTGACTAGGACGAGAAGCGAATATTAGTTACCTTGCCTACAAACACAAGAGGTAACTAAGGGGGAGGGAGTAGTCACCCTCGCGGACACGGAAGCCGACATTGGACCAGTCAATGGTGTTGACCGGGGGCGGAGGGAAGGACGCCATCGTGACGGTTATGTTGGGGGTTGTTTCAGGAAGGTTGTCGCCGGGGGGAGGAAGGGATTTGGAAGAGGGAGAAGATGTAAAAGGCTGTAATGTGGATATTGGGTTTCTTTTTTTGTCCAAGCTTCAGCTGGTCAACCTAGTCACGGTTCCCAGAGACCAAATATAAACCAAACGCCCTTCCAATGGATACGACAGCAACACAGAACGAGTTCAAGAATTACGTGGTGAAGGGTCTGACTGTACCAGCATCGGAAATTTCTCCCGTGACAGTTTAACCCCTTGCTCCGATCGGACAATGACGGGATCCCGGGGAAGATGGGAGCACCCGATTTAGCTTTGCTTGGCAACCTGAAGCTCTTTTGCTGTTCTTTTGGTGGCATTTTTATTGGCCTGACATGGCGGGGTCAATGGGCTGATGTGATCCATGGGAAGAGAGCTCGGAGAGAAACATGCCCCGCAGTCCGATTGCGGAGCTGGAGATCCATGATGTCACGAGCTGCCAAGATATTTACATGCCCCTGAAAGAGCCCCCGAAGAGGCCTGGAACAAACACAAGAAAAATAAAACAAAATAAAAGGAAACAGAGGGCTGAAACGCCAGAGCCATGATAGTATTGAACCATGAAACGACAACAGTGCAGCAAACCCGTAGTATCCGACGCCTTCCTCCAAATCCCGTGTCTAATAACCTTAACCCTGAATCCTTCCATGTCATGCACGATCCATGATCCGTTCCATGATGTTGTTTCCTTCCGTTAATGCCTTGCTCCATTGCTGGGGCTCATATAATCTCAAGTAGTTCCCATGCCGACCAGCTCGGGCAGTCATTCCCATTCTATCTACAGACCCCCAAGATCTGCAACCAAGCAAGCGATCCCCTACTGCAACCCTTAAATCCATCCATCCATGATGACGTACCGGTCTGTTATCCTTCTCCTCCTCAAACCACGGCAAGGAAAGCCATCCTTCGATCCGGCAATTTGCTGCAGTATTTCAGCGAGCGAACACAGAGACGCGCAAGCCAATGGGTGGCAAAGGGCGGACGCTGAACTTCGACTGCGCTAAAGGGGAGATCTGAACCATACAGAACGCTACATGCAAAAAGAGAGGAGAAAAGAAAGAAAGAAAAAAGGGAAACCATCCATGCGCTTTTAAAAGTGAAAGGAGTTTGTTGTGCAACCACACAGACCGCATATGTAGCAAGAGAAACGGAGTCGAGAGTGGAAAGAAAAGCAACGAAATAGCAGCCGCTGGGTATGAACCAACCCCTATTTTTCCCATTGGAGATCATGGAGCCCACCGGAGCTGGACCGGGGCCCGCGTCGAGCCCGAGCTCTTCCGTCGATGGCGCAACGGAGCGCTGGCCCTGCATAATATATCAAGTTGGCATGCATGCCCTTGGAGCGCCAACGCAACAACAACAACACAACAGCAACAATAGGCTTACGTGAGCGTCGCCAGCTTATGCAGTGTTATCAGGACGCCTGTTGCGGGGTTGATGTTAGTAATGCCTCCAGCGAAGAGAGAGGGAAGTGAACTAACCGCTAACGCCCTGAGTCAATGTGGTCGCCGCCTCGGTGTTTCTAGTACCCAGGCTGACCGTGGCCACCTCCTTCACGGAGCCCTCCTCGCCCAGCGTGTTGGCCCACTTGAAGACCTTCTCGTCCTCGCGGCCGTCGCCGATGACCATGAGGAAGTCGGGGGACTTGGGCCCCTCGGCGGGCGCCATGCTCGTCTGGAGGTCGGCAAAGATCTTTTGCGCCGCCGAGGTCTTGGTCCAGTCGATGGGCTCGACGAGCACGCAGCTGTCGAGCGGGATGGCGTGCACACGCTGCGCTTCGCAGGCGTCGTTGATGTGACTAGCGCAATCGCTCGCCTGGCGCTGCGCGGCCTCGTAGTCCTCGGCCGATTTGTAGTGGAACTTGAGCGAGCAGAGGCGGTCCTCGATCCAGGCCCCCGGCGTGCGCTCTAGGTAGTAGGTTAGGATGGGCTGCACCGACTCCTTCCACTCGCGGATCTGGTTCGAGTCGGCCACCTCGGTCCACTCGGAGCTGCCGAAGTTCTTGAGGTAGCACCCGTTCTCCGCGATCAGGCCGAGGTTCGGCACCAGGCGGAAGAGGTGGTCGAGCTCGTCGGGGCTGCGGCCGGACATGACGTAGATGGTGTTTCGGTCGTCGATGAGGAGGTCGTTCAGGACATCGACGGTTCGCTGATACCATGTTAGATGCTCCACCATACGCTTAGTGAAGGGGGTTTGGTATCCCACCTGCGGGCTGACCGTGATGATCTGGTCGACCGGGCCCCAGCTGACCAGGGTGCCCTCAAAGTCGAGGATGAACAGGCGCCTGTTGCTGCGCGTGTACTGCTGGATGACGTGCGGGATTGAGAGGCGCGGGACCGACGTCATCTCGCGCTTGTGCTGCTGCTCGTGCACCTCGTCCAGGCGCGACATGAATTCCGTAAACCAATGCGAGCCGGTGTGGAGGTTGACGCGGTCAAACAGCTTGGACCAGCGCTGCTCCTTCTCCTCATCGCCCATCTCGAGCGCCTTCTTGATGGCGTTTGCGCAGGCCCGATAGTCCCACGGGTTGACCGACAGCTCGTTGCCGCCAAAGAGAGACGATGTGCCCGTGAACTCGGACAGGATGAGGGAGCCGTGCTTCTTCTCGCTGAAGTTTCCATCCTGGCAGTACAGGTATTCGTGCGACGTGAGGTTCATGCCCTCGCGCTGGCTGGTGATCATTAGTGCGTCGGCGATGCTCAGGAGTGCCAGGTACTGCGCGTAGTCAATATCCTGCTTCAGGTAGACGACCGGTTGGTACGCGAGGTTTGCCCAGGACGAGTTGACGCGAGTGACAATATCAGACACGGCGGCGTCCAGCTCGCTCTTCTCACTGGTGGACAGCGCGACCTGGATCAGGACGACATTGTCCCGCCAGTGGGGGTTTGAGTTTAGGAAAAGCTCGTATGAGAGCAGCTTCTGCCTGACCCCGCGGACGTGGTCCAGCTTGTCCCGGGCGACAATGAGCTTCTTACCAGCGTAGCGTTCGCGCATGATGTCCAGCCACCTCTTAACTTCTGCCTCTTCGCGGTGCTGGGTGAGGCTCACCGGGTCGATGCCGATCGGCAGGTTGATGACATCCACGAAGCGGTCCTCGAGCTGCAGGCCCTCGGGCGTCGCTTCGGCGCTGAGGAGGCGGCTGCAAGTCTGGAGGAAGTGCCTGGTGTACTCGTGAATCTGGAAGCCGATCAGGTTGGCCCCCACCATGCCCTCGAGAAGCTGCTTCCGCACAGCCAGGCACCGGAATACCTCGGAAGAGGGGAATGCGACGTGGAGGAAGAAGCCGATCTTGGCCTCGGGGATCTTCTTGCGGACCATGGAGGGCACGAGCAGGAGGTGGTAGTCGTGGACCCAGACAACGTCGCCGCGCTTCCAGTTCTTGACAATCTTGTCGGCGAACGCCTGGTTGACATTGACGTAGTACTTCCATGAATGGTCCTCGTACGCCTTGCTCTTCGGGTTGTCGGGGATTTGGTAGTGGAAGACCGGCCAGAGGATCTGCTTGCAGAAGTGCGAGTAGTGGCCGTCGAAATCCTTGTCGGAGCAAAACACGCTGAGCATGTTGTGCTCCGTGGCTAACCTGTCCTCGATGTCCTGCAGTTGCTGTGTCCCGTGGAGGGCGTCGGTCGGCATACCCAAGGTCCCGACCCAGGTGTACTCGGCCAGCTTGCCCTCTCTAGCAGCGGCCTCGGCCGCGTTACGCAAGCCGCCGTTACCCTGGTCGGCATTGACGACCTTCCAGTTGGCATGGGCGAAGACGCGGTCGTGGCTATCACTTCTAACCAACGAACGCGGCTGCGTCACACCCTGACGTCCCAGCTCTTTTGCCTTTTGCTGCAGCAGCCGGCCCTTGTCGATTAGCGAAGGGGGAGGCGGCGAGTTCGCGCGCGACATGGGTTGATCGGGGCGACCTCCCCAGGTCGGGGAGCTGCGGTCGGCCGGGGCGCGGAGGGTGTCGGTAACAGGCTCGGGGGCGCCCGGGATATGCACACGGAGGCCATCCTCGTTCATGAAAGGGTCATCTCCCTTCTTTTCCTCCGTCGGCGTAATCGGGGGAGTGATGTTGCTCGGCTGAAACAGGCTCGGCTGTCTCTCGGGCGGCACCGGCTTGGGCTGCTTCTTTTCGGACGCTGAACCACGAGGCGGGGTCCCTGGGAGGGTGAAGTGGATCGTCTTCGGGAGAAAGCTGCGGAAAGAGTCTTGTTAGTTATTGCTGCCCCGACCATGCCACGGTGGCACTGCAGGATCGGCTTCCAGCGAACACGTTGTCGGGGGCCGGTACATAGGGTATGAGCTTACAGGGAGGCTATAAACACCGTCATGACGGGCAGACTGCGGCCGAAACCGGTTCAAAGAAGGGTTCAATCGGTAACCTCGAGGTATCGAGGGACGGTGCGGTAGTCGAATACCGTATAGGACGCAGGAAGATGGAGGCTATCGAGCTCCGCGTGTCGAGCCCATGAGTAGGAAATCTGGGAGGAGTGACGGCCACAAAGACGGCTGAACTTGTGGGAAAGAATGGTTTCGCTTTGCAGGCGGAAATATACAAAACACGCCGGCACAATAAAAATAATAGCGGAGAATGAGTCGAAGGCCTGCGGGTCCGGAGACTACGGCGTACCCTCACGGGAAGGCGGGCGGGCCGAGGGAGTGAGGAAGGTACCGGAACGGGAAGGAGAGAAGGGGCTCGGTCTTCAATTCGGTGCCTGGCGAACAGACTGGAAGGGGGTGGCGGCCAGGAGTGTAAAATCGATCTTGTCCACACAGGGTGTAAAGTTTGGCACAGCTCGGGGCTACTGGCGCAAAATAGCGGGAGGACGTTGATGTCGAGGATGCGTGGGAAACCGCTGGGGATCAAATCCAGGGCTTGTTAAGGATCTGGGTGATGAGGGAACACTGTTAGTCAAGGGGTCAGTAAACAATTACACAGTATAATTGCAGGTTATATAGATAGGTAGCCAAGTGAATCTTGTAATGGTATGGGGGGTTGTGGTGGGCTTATAGATGCTAGTGGTTGAACAAGGCCGAGTGGCCATTCACTGAGTGTAGGGGCCCACCGCAGCAAAGCGAGAGCCGTCACTCTGACGTAAGGACTTAAACAAGCAGCGGAGTCTTTTTTTGCACACAAGATCGTGGCCAAGCACGCAGTCTTGATGGCAAATGGCAAACAACGCACTTGCAGTTGTTTATGACCTTGGCAAAAGGAGGGTTGACACAGGGGATAGACTTGCCTGGTAGCTGAGTTGGTGACCGAGTTGGAGAAGCAACATCAGCGAAGGAGATGAGAGATGGAGAGAGAGACGCGGTCCTGAGGGGTATTGGAGAAAGATGGACGCGTTCGGTGGGCTGTGTCCCTTGGCCGTAGGTGGCAGGGGAAGGGAAGAGGGTGAGATCTGGTGTGACCGGTGTGACGGGTGTGAGAGTTACCCAGGCCTGCCTCCATGGGTCGATGGGAATCAGGAAGCACATGGAGACACAGGGGAATATCAATCATTTTTTTTTATTACCCGGAGCAGGAAACACGGACGTGCAGAGTGAGGAGTTCTTCGAGGGAACGGTGACAGTGGGGCGGCCCGGCTGGGCAGTGGTTTGTCCCGCACTTGCTGCTCGTCATTCCAGCCCAGAAATGGATCAAGCGGGACTGCCAAGGGTGAAAAGGAACAAGGGCCAAACGATGGGGTAGGGATCAAAGCTCCGCTCCGGGCGCCAGGGCGCGCCAGCCAGGAAAGGCTGTTGTCAAGCCGTTTGGGCCGTTTCGACGCCTTGCCGTCCAACTCCAAACTCCAATTGCTGCCATTATTGGTTGCACTTTGAGCTGCTGGATGCATTCGGCTGTTTTGGTGTCTGTCTCTGTCTTGAATGTCTGGTGAAAAACTCTCTTTGCCCCTTAATTCATCACGTAATCGAAAGCCTCATCTTCACAGATCGGGGCCACATGGAAGCACCACCTGATGGGCCGCATAGTGAGAGGAAAGCTTGGCTCGGAAGCTGTGGAACGGGAATGTTTTGTGGTTACGGGGGGATCAGCGGAGCCCAGGCTTGAGACATGCCCCAGCCAAGTGTACCGAGTTACCCCGTTGACGTTGACGATTTCCAGGTTCGCCGTCTCCGAGAGTCAGACGGATGGGTGGATGCATTGGCATTGCAGGGCAGAGCTTATCAAGTTGACACACCTCCTGGGCCGGATATGCATACCAATCAGCAGGAGGACAACCCGCCAAAGGAACCTACGTTTCTTGCTTCGTGGACGGGGATGGGGAGCACCTGTGCGGCCTCCAACGGGGCAACAAAGGATCATACAGCCTGTGACAGATCGCCAAGTCCCCCGGATTGGTCGCTGCAACAAGACGGATTGAGAAATTACACGACTTGCCCAGACTCCGAGACTTGGGCCTGCTTGTGAAGCAGCGTGGCAATACTCACCCGCTGCTTGAGACGATAATACAACCTCAACACTGGATATTCAAATTTCTCGAGGGTTCCAGAAACGGGGAGAGCCGAACGTGCATCAAATCTTGCATCGATCAACGGGTCGAGACTCTTCGAGCTCTTCTGCGCCAAGCCATGGTAACAGGATCTTGGTAATGACGTTGTCGGCTTCGGACCCGTTGCTCCGGCTGAGTGTTCTCGGGGATACTGGTGGTGAAGAGAGGGAACATCTCGATGATGCACGCATCATAGAGTAGAATTCGCAGGAACCGGGTCAGGAGCAGACGTCCCGGGCGGGCAGGTATGCCGTACTGTGTGTACCTATCACGTATTCGTACGTGAGGTGGGTACAGATACCTCTTCCCCGCCCTTCCCTTTCCTCCGGGCATCGAAGAGAAACCTCCACAGTAAGGTTGTGTAAAGCCATCTCATGCCGAAGACTCAACAAAGCATGTCAACGCGCGGTTTTGACCAACTGCATGGAGTGGGCTGGCTGTCATTGGACCCGGTCCAGTGAGAAGTCCAAGCCGCACAACGTGCCGGGGTTACTGAGAATGGGCAGTCGACTTCTGGTCCAGTGGTTGCAGGCGCTGCTGCTGCGAGGCACAGGTGGCATCTTCGCACACCCACTCCGTTCCTGCCCTGCCGACTGTCGATTTCTCAGGATGATGGAACCTTGGCGAACGTGAAAGGGAAGAATTTGCTCGATCTGACCCAACCAGATGGGACTTGTCAGGGAAACGGGGAGGGTTGGCACGGTGGCTGTTTGATGTGCGAGCCGAAAGTGACCCGAAATGTTCCGATTCGATATGGCGGATTTTGATAGGCTAAACGTGAATTCTCTGGCGCACCTTCCAGGTTCTCAGAGTGTCAGCCCAAGCGCTCCATGCGGCAGCCAAGCCCCATATTCCAGAGGGGCGAAGAGCCCGGGCCATGAACGGTGGACCAAACCCAGGGCCCGTTCAAACACGATGTCTCGGCCGGACTCTGACGGCTCGAAAAAATAGCTCATACTGAATTGCTGCCGTGATGGATGCCCAACGGACAGACTTATATCTCACAATCTCACATCACATAAGGTACGACATCAGATCCGGTCATCGAAGCGAGCTAAAATCACCGAGCATGCGCCGCAGACGGAGATAGCTGCCGTGATGCCCATCCTTACATTGACCGACCAGTATCGATTGGATCCTCGAACCTCTTCCCCGAATCCCAATCCTCTCTCTCCTCTCCACTCCCCCGTCCCCGGAGACCGATCAGCCTGATTTCCAAATGCCTTATTGCAAGGATACGCTGCAATGGGACGAAGAAAAAAGAGGGAAGCCGCGAAGCGCCAGCCAAACGCAGCGCCACGAGGAGTTCCCAGCAATGGGACGGCCCGCATTGATAGTTGGGGAAAGCTCGAGCGTATCACAGCCCCTCGCATCCATCAACATGTCTCAGTCGGGCAAGTGGGCCAATGCAGGACACATGCAAATCGCCCGTCGGCTTGTCGCGTTTCGCACACCTGCAGGTCAGAGAGCAAAAGCACGGCGTCTGTCGTGAGCATCCGAGGTACCCCAATGCCGACCGTCCGCGGGCTTCATATCGAGATGTGCGTATGATGCGAGCTGAGCAGGCCGGCTGGGGAACTCGAATGGACTGGGGCGGTTCGTCTCGACTGCCAGTGGACTGACCTTGGATCTCGATATGAACTTCCAGAACCGCACGAGTTTGTGTCCCGGTCCACTGGCAGGATCTGCCGGGAACAGCCACAATGCTACCGTTCCGACCCCAGTCCAGACCACGAAAAATGCCGCTTTCGATTCCAAACGTCTCTTAGCCTCGTCCAGCATCCGAGTAACCCTCATACAAAACACGAATAGTGACTAATTGGGTAACCCTGGGAGGCCGCCCTAGCCGCCGCGACCCCGCCGGAGGAACTGTGCGCACCACGTGTAAGGCAGGCGTCAAAGCCAGCAGACACCCTCCCCATGGCCGGCATCACCAGAGGAGAAAATAAAAAAAGTGCACAACGCTCGATGGCGTTACACGACCGCTGCTGCCTCCCAGCCCGTGGCACAACACAACACCGAACGGTAATAAGTAAAGCATCTCTGTCTCCGAGGGCGCTTATACATGGAGAGAGGGGCATCGAAGCATGTGCCGAGGCCGAGGTTACGACGTCGATGCCGTCGACAACTGCGGTGCCTCCACATGGACGCAGGACCTGGCCATCGCGAGACCGCAACGCGCTCGCGTACATACCCAGGAAAAACCTGCGGATGCGCGCAGCCGACGCAGCGGCACGGCAGCGTCATCAAATCAGCCTCTTGGCCTTTGGAGCTTTGGAGAACACCATGCGGAGAAGGGGAGGTAGGTGTGTAGTGTATGTGGATGCGATTTGTCGCGCCCGCCCATCTTCGGCGTTACTCTTTCGGGGGGATGGAGGCCGCCGTCATGAGAGAGGATCCAATCCGCCCGCCCGTCATCGTGTCCTGTCCAGTCCCGCACATCCATCTAACGTACCACAGAGAGAGCAGCAGACCCCGCAAGGGCGGCGGCGGCTGCCTCCCGCCGGTTTCCCTGATGGGACATGGGGAACCGCTTGCGATATCGCTTGCTGGCACGGTACAAGTACATATCCGTACCTACTCCACACGCCGCCGTGTTGGTGCTAGCCGTCAGTTCACGATAGTAGCTCATGGGTCACTCCCGAACCGGGGGGCTTCGCTCGAATCGGGTCTCTTGTGGTGTACGCAAGCACTGCACCGCATGGCATGGCAGGGTATCATCGGCTCCCGTCCTTTTTTTTCCCCCGCCCCGGCAACAACCCCTCGTCGACTTGCTCGGTTGCCTCAGTTCCTCCACGTCCTCACGGCTTTGTCTTTCCCGCCCGAGCCGACCATCTTCCCGTCGGCCGCCCAGTCGACGGCGTAGACCTGATAGAAGGGGATAAAAATAAAGGTTAGCCATGGCAAATCGAAGAGAGATAGATACACGGGGCGGGGACCGGGTGATCCCGGAGATGGAGCTGCATACCTCGTCTTCGTGGCCCGGTAGGTCCATCGCGAGATTGCCGTTGCGCGCATTCCACACCTTGAGCGTGCAGTCCTTGCTGCCTGTGACGAGGAGCCTGCTGTCGGCGGACCAGGCACACTGGTAGACCTGCGCGGTTGAGTCAGTTAGCCAGCCTGTGATGGGTGATACGTATGGATGACGGGCTGGTCGTTCCGGAGTTGGACTGTGGCTTACCGGTGCCACATGGCCCCTCAAGCTCTTGAGGAACTTGCCATCCCTGGCATTCCAGAGTTTCTGCGCTGGGTGTTAGTACGTGGTTAAAGTGGTGGTGACACATTGGGTTCCGAGGACTAACCGTGCTGTTGTCCCACCCGGCGCTGGCGATAAGTGTCCCGTCAGGGGAGAACTGTACCTGGTTCACCTTATTTTGGTGACCCAGGAGCCTCGCAACTGGCTTGTTGCCGTTGTTGGTCGGATCCCACAGGTACATGGTGAAGTCATCGCCTAAACCACAAGTTAGTGGCCCCCCCACTAGAGGCAAGAGAATGGAGGAACGTACTGGCTGAGACAAGCCGCTCGGCCACCTTGCCCTGGATCTTGGCTGCCTTCTCAAACCTCTCCTGCGCCTTCGCCCGCTTGCCTTCTTCAGTGTCGGGGATCGCGGTAGGATGGTCGAAATAAGCAGTTCGTAGGGCGTGGTCACTCGACAGAGCAATGTGGTTAACCCAATGCCCGTGGGCAGTAAAACTGTGCACCAACGTGCCCTTCACAGCGTCCCAAACTCGTACAGCTTTATCATGGGATCCTGTGTAGATCATACCAGTCCCGCCCCACCGCACACAGCTCACCGACCCTTTATGACCGCTGAGGACGTGCTCCGTACGGCCCGAGTTCACCACCCATATCCGGCATGTGCCATCTTTGCTCGCGCTTGCAAGACGGGGCGTGCCATCTCTCCATACTGCCATCAATGTTAGCTGGATTATGGTATCGAACCCCGAGGCAAGAGACTCACAGTGATATGGCTCCCACGCTACGCCTAGCACCCACTTAGCGTGCCCCTTGAAGTCCTGCCCGACCGGTTTCCCCGTTTCGGGGTCCCATATCCGGACTGTCTTATCCATGGAGCACGTGGCCAGTTGTTTGCCATCTGGACTCCAATTGACCCCTAAAACCCAACCTGTATGTCCTTTCAACGTGTGTTTGGGCGTGCCGGAATCCGTGTCCCAGATGCGGGCCGTGTTGTCGCCGCTTCCAGTCGCCAGACGGCTGGAATTTATCGGGGAGAATTGGCAGGCCAGGATCGGTTGACCGTGACCGGGGATACGATGTGCGAGACGCGAGACGGCGTGGACCTTGAAGACCGCTTGGGGTTCGGCGCTGAGCGTAATTGTGGTCCTGGGGATGGGGTTAGCCCACGGAAACTGCACAGCACGAGTGTCTCCGAACCTACTCAAAAGGGTTGGTAACTCCGTGTTTCTGAAGCAGCCCAAGCAAATCGGTGGGATACTGGTCTATGATAACATCTTTGCCAGGGATGTGGATGCGGAAGCGGTATGGGGTGAAGTCTTCGCGGTCCTAGAGGCTGTTGTCAGGACGGCCGATAGAGCCACGAGGGACTAGGGCACATACCCTCCCTAACAATGTATTCAAGAGCGTCGAAACGTTCTTCTCGGTCGCATCGCCAAAGTTGATCTCGATCACGTCGGCCATCTGATTGCCATCGCTGTCGACAAAATTGGCCTTGAACGAGCCAAGGTCGGTCGCGAGGATGGGTGTGACATCTTGTTGTGTTGTTGTGCGTTCGATCTCCTCCCTCCTCTGCCTTTTCGACGGTGGTGGTGCAACTGTTGCCATATTCGCGGTTGTTATCGTCTCTCTCCTGCGATTGCGAGGGGCGTAGTTGCCGGGGTCTTCTGTCGCAGAACAATGGGAAAATTTTGGCGGTGAGAAGCTGCAGAACCAGATCCCCCACTTTGCGACGCTGAGGATCCAGGAATCCACACAATTCAACCCTCCCCACCTTCCCACTGCCCGTCTCTCTCCCTGCCGGCACCAAGATTCACAGAAACCAATATGCACGAGTTCGGATCAAGAGCAACAAAATATCTAATTTGCGCTAAACAAGAAAAAGGCTCGGTACATATAGCGCAACTCCAAACTCCATCCCTTTCCTCAGGTCATCCAATCTGCGCCGATACCGAAAGTCAAGCACGCTACCGCCGACTGACATGTTGCATCAACCAACACCCAGGCCCGATTACCGGTGCATACTTCTTCCACGTTAGTGCCTCTTCTCCGAGTAGTTGTCGCTGCTATCGGTGCTGTCATAGCTGTCGTATCTCTTCTCGCTCCGGCCCCTCGGTTCCTGTCGGCCAGTGCTGCTCCGACTCCGTCCCTTCGAGGAAGCAGTTGACGACGGGGCACGGCTGTATGTGGCCAGGGGGTCGATATGGAGGAACTGATCTGGCCGCGCACCGACACTCGCCCGCCGATCGGGGTGATACTCAAGGCCCGCCCGACTCGGTGGAAGGTCGACATATGGCTGAGCAGCGCGGTGCGGGACTGATTGTCGCTGCCTAGGTTGCTCGACGGCCCTCGACCGGTGGTGGGATGTTAACGGCGCCCCGTTCTCGAGAATCCTCATGTGCGCGCGAATTCTTCGCATGCCGGATACTGTGACCAGTTGTCAGATGGTTACCCTTCACCGCATTCTTTTCCTCCGCTGAAGCGTAACTCACAGTCCTTCTCCACCTTGGCCACCAGAAACTTCTCATACCACTGTTCGTATTCGATGGTGCTCATCAAGCCCTCGTAATAGGCCCTGCGTAGCCTGCGGAAGATGTAAGGCGCCTCCTCCTCGCATTCTTTTGACTCTTGCTTCCGCTTGACCATGCGGCGGAGCTCCCAGCTCGACTTGATCGAGGTGACGATGCTACCACAGGCGGCAACTGTCGCCAAAGCTACGGGAACGCCCATCACGGGAGGATTGTTTGCCCTCGGGCTTGAGAAGAAGACTCGGTTGTGTTGTAATGGTTGATGAGCGAGTTCAACATCTGTCGCAGCGGATTATGATCCTTTGAGCTGCGGAAATCGGAGCGGGAGATTCGATAGAAAAGGACGTGTCGGATGATTAACTGTTGAGAATGAGGCGACCGCCGTCCAGACCCAAGGCCAGAAACGTCCGTATCGTCCGTGTCTGCGACCGGTCATGATTCAAGCAGACTTCCGACGACTCGACCATTGTCCGTCTAATCGGCCGCCCCCAGACCTCCGCAAGCTCAATGCCGTTACTATTTTCGTCATGAAACACGGCCCCGCCCCGGCCCTCGCCGGGCCTAGAGGGCCGGGCCCACCACCTTACCGGACCCGGCTTGGCGTTCCGCAACCCGATGTGCCTCATGTGTCTGCGCTGTCCCGAGAGGACACTGTGGAGCATTCAGAGCATGCATGGGGCATTCGGACCACACCGTACACAGTAGTTAGTGGTGTAGATGCTGTTGTCGAAGCAGGCTCACAAAATACTGCACTAGGCAAACCTGCCCGCCTTCCTGGCCTTTCTGGCCGTTAGCAATGGCCGCACACGAGGGCCGCCCGACTTCTCCTAGATCGCTTTTCGATACAGCCGCCCTTCTCAGTTTTACCTAGCAAGAACACGAATGGTTACTTCCCATCACGGCGCACGGCGGGAAAACCAAGCCTTGATGTTCTGGGCCCCCACCTGTGCCTCTGAGCTACGTCAAGCGCGCAACTTTCAGGGCAATGGTATGCGGGCAAACCGGCGCAGATCTGAAGTGCTGACATGAGCCGCAGTCCAGTTGGACGGTTGTGCCAACTACCGCCTCAGCCTTCGCCAACGGAACCTCGCTGACGAGCTGCTGTGCCGCCCCCGCCGCTGTGCCCAGCCAGGTCTTGAGCACAAAAGGATGCGAAACCGGGCCTGGTCTCGTTCGACCCATTCTGATCCGGAATTGAAACGACATATAGCCCACGGCCAGCCCTGATTCTTGACCTCCGGGCCCGGAACCTGTTCCAAGAGACTCGCCTTCCTCGCCGGGTGGACCTGCTCTCAGCAACAAACCGACACCGCGGACCACTTTCAGCCAGCTTGCCGCCGTCTTCGACTCCTCGCTCACGTGCAGCCGGCCTTCCAATCGGCCAACTGCTTCACATCACGTTGCGGCCTGCTGAGTGCGATTGACCTCATTGCCAGCCGTCTGTCGTGGCCCCCAACCCCGTTGGTCAATCGCGACTTATTGAATTCGGACCCCTCACCAAGCAGGCGGGGTGGTTGCTCTTGGCGGTGGTGACGTCGACTCCCAGGCCATTGGTTTCGCTTGGGGTGTGTAGCCTTGCACCAAAGGCACAATGGGCTACTATTATGAACCGGAACCGCAGCCCGAGTATTAGTATGTCTCTCGTTCATTAGCTCAGCACCCTCTCGGCATCTCAGTCGTCTCAAATGCCGCGTGCAGCGAGGAAACGAACAAAAGGGGCTGAGCCGAAACCTCGTTGATTCCCAACTCTTAAAGAAGTTCACTGACACGTATCGGGCAATCAGCACAAGACCGCCGCCTAGAGCTTATTATCATTCCCCACCAGATGATCGTGGAGTCATACTCCAGGTCGAGGGGCCGCGGCCCATTTCGCCATCACCAACACGCGTGATTGTGGTCGAAAAGAGGAGACGGGAGGAGCCTGTGGGTTTCTTACCCTGGCTTTGTGCTAGTTTCTGCTGCTGCTTCGTGTGCTGCGAGTGTGCCGACGACTGTTGGTGTTGCTGCCCGGGGGAGGATTACGACTGAAGGGAGTCCATACAACTGCGAGGAGGAAAAGGCACTTACGATGTGATGATTACGAACTACGAGGATACCCCACCTATGACATACTAGAAGTCTCATTGAGTCGCAGAGTTGTGACCGACTCTACCGTCTGATAGACACCTACTAAGCTGGATGTGTTGCCAATAATTATCCTGGTGATTGTAACCACCATCTCACACAACAGTGCCTTCGTAAGTTTCGCATCTGTTCTAATGGTATCCACGAATGACAGATTCAAGTTGCGTCAATGGGAAAGAGGGCTGGTGGGAAAACCACTGCGTGGGGAAGTTGTACCCCCAGCGTGCAGCTGCTATGAACCTTCCCAGGTAGGTAGATTTTGGGACTACTTAGACCACCGTGACTTCTGTTATTTTTTGTTTTTTTGCCGGTACTTAATTGTTTTCACCTGCTCGCTATCATCAAGGGGCAACGCTTTCAATCCACCAGTAATCTGACCCACCACCATCCTGTTCTCTGGTGACGCAACACCCTCCAACTCGGTATGGGACGTCTGAACTCGGCCATCCTCCCGATTGTGCTCTAATCTCTTCCCCCCTGACCCCTCAGGCAAACTCTGCTTTTAACTAGAAGCTCAAACGTTTCCGGCGTTTTGTTGCTGAAGCAAAAGCCACATTCCTCAACATTTCGATCATTCTCCAAACACACACGACTGACACCGAGGATGAGTACGTCTCCCCCCAATCATCCCCTGGTTCGCGATGCAACATCCATTCGTATACGACTTTTCCAGATGAGTGAGCAAGGAATCATTCCCTTCATTGAGCTTTTCCAACGGAATACGGTTGCGAGGCTAGGGTTTGATGGCCACCACGTAGAACGTAGACGACAACGAGAACATACGCCTTTGAACAAGCTCAACGACCATCCTCCTGTTTCCGAACCTATTTCCATGCTGATCCCACTCTAGGTGAAAACTCTGACCGTATGGCGGAGATGGGTATGGCGGAGATGGGTCTCTCGCGTGAAACCCTAGCCCCTTTGGGCCCAGAACTCTCCAGCACACCCTCAAAAGTCTCACACTCGAGCAGCCTTGGCCCGAGCTATATCTCGTCCCCCCTAAGGTCAACTACGTTGCTCGACAAAATCCACAAACAACAACAATCAAACAGCGGGTCGTTTCAAGCCGTGGACCCCAACAACAGTACCCCTCACCCAGAAACTCTCCTCGGGCGCTTCCTACTCGCCGTCAAAAGCGTCCTCTCTTCTCGCATAGTCAACGTCCTACTTGTGTTTGTTCCTATGGGCATCACAGTTCGTAAGTCAGCTATCGGCTACTGTTCATATTTTTCGATGATGGGTTGATCTAACTTCCCGACAGACATGGCACGCATGCCAGTCGGCATAATACTTGTCATGGATGTCATTTCTATCGTGCCACTGGCTTCCCTCCTGCTCTTTGATATCGAGACTGTGGCTGACCGCTTGGATGATACCGCCGGTGCCTGGATGAACATCGCGTTTGGACATGCCGTCGAGTTGATAATCTTGATGTGAGACGACTTCAGCCAGTGGAGGTGTTGATTTTGGACAGGCTAACTGCTGACCGGTCTCCTAGTATTGCCCTCGGCATTGAACACATCTGCATTGGCCGGCTGTCACTTGTGGTTTCGGTTTTGGCCAACTTCCTTTTGGTCCTACGCATGTGCTACTCCCGTCTTCGATTCGGAGAACAGCTGTACAACAGGATGGCGACCCAGATGAACGCCTGCCTTCTCGCTGTAACCATGACCAACCTACTTCTACCGTCAGCATTCCATGTCTTGTTCAGCATCAACGCGGCCGCAGACGGCAGGGTTGCCGGGATCAACCGGGGCACGAGTATCATTGTGTTGGTGGTTTACTTCGGAAACCTCATTGTCCGACTCAGAAATGCGGTCCATATAATCGATTGTTTCGATCGAAAGACAGTTTCGAGGCCGGCTGCCCGGTGTATCAACGCACCTTCTTTGGAGCCATGGGTTTCGGATTCCGAAGTGTCGTCCCCATCAGTCGGTGCAGCTCGGAGCTTTGAGCACGCAGTGAAGAGAGGGGAGAAAACGAAGTGCAGCGCGGGCTCTGAGAGGGATACATCCATCCACTCGGAGACAGACCTCGCGACGTCTCTCACCCCAAGGCCAGCTGCCGATAATCCGACTGACAACAATCTCGAGGAAGGGATCGAAGCCCTCCAAAGGTTAGGGAGGGACCTCCAGCAACGCGGGAGGCAAGAGCCGCCCCAGAAACCACCACTGCCCTTCTTACCGGACCACCTAACAACCCTCGCTGCCCGACCCTCAAACCAAAACTCTCCGTCGACGGCACCGGGGGGTTCCGGTCCCAGCGTTCGCCGAGCACAGTCAGAGCCTTCCAACCGCCAGAACAACCACGACACCCAAGGCCCTACGAGGCGCCTGATAATCAGCAACCCGGAGTCCGACAACCCCCAACGCCTCCGCCCCGTCGCCATCCATCAGCAACACCTGGTCTCGTACGCATCAGTCACTCTCTTCCTCCTCATGCCCACCGTCATGCTCGTCTTCAACGCCTGGTCCATGCTTTCCTGGGTCGACAGGACGGTGTTGCTCTCAACGGCCAGCGGCTCGACACTCCAGCTGATGGACAAGGCCATCGGAGTGGCGGCCAGCGACGTTCTCCCGATCTTGCTCCTCTCGTCGCCGGCGGTCATTCTGGGTCAGTGGTTGGGTGAGGATGAACGATTGTCCTTCAAGCTGTGGCACTCGCTATTTTGTAGTGCTGCCACGTTCCTGTTTGAAATGTTTGGTGATGGAGGGGAGGGGCACTTATCGGCAGCGCATCATGTTCTATGCTCTATCTGTGGGGACTATTGTGGTGACCGTCAGCCTTGAGCCGTATCTCAAGGCGGTGAAGGTGAACGAGCTGGGAGAGGGCAGATGAGGTGATGTTATGGTTTGGGGTGGGTTTACATTACTGTTCTTATCACGGCGAGTTTCTCTTTTTCTTCTACAATACATAAAAGTTGCTGGTCGACCTCTGATCAGAGAACCGCGATCCTCACACCTACCGTCCCCATTTTCAGGGTCTCCTGATGGCTAGGTTGATGGCTACGAACCTTCATCAAACTCATCAATAACACTAACCGGCTTGACGAACCTTCCCAGCGGCTGGTATTCCAAATGATCAAAGCCAAATGCCTTCGGGCCCCCAAGTTCCACGCCCCTTTGTGAACCCGTCCACTTGTCTGACGCCGCGATGCCCAAGACAATGACCAGGAGCCCATAACGGTACTCTGGCGTGCCAACTGCCTCGCCGTTCTGGGCATCAATGACGCAGACTAGATCAGGCACGATCGCGAGGACATCCTCCTGCTTCTCCAACCCATCCTCCTGATTCTCCAGCTCACCCTCCTGACCGTCGTCACGAACCCTGATGGCGGCAATATTCTCGTTTTTGAATGGGATCTTGATCCGGCCGCTGAAGTTACCTCCACCAGCGCCCCTGGCGGAATCAGGATCAGCCACACTACCCCCTTCAATGACACACTCCCCATAGACATGCCCCTTCCTCAGCGTCCGCTCCACCCCCACGATCTTGCCCTTGAAGAGCACCCTCGCGGCGCCCGAACCCCCACACTCCTCCACGATGCTCTCAGCAACGGTATCCACACGGTTCTCGGCCCGCGCCCGCGCAACAGCCCTACCGATGCGCCACGCCTGCGAAACGGTGTTATCCACCACCCAGCGCTTCATCTCGGCGCCCGTGACGGGCGGGTCGGCGGCGGCGACCTGCGAGCCCATCTCGCTGAGCGCGGCGCGCACGACGCGCTCGACCTGCCGGTCCGACGCCGCCTTGGGCATGACCAGCACGTTGCCGTTGCCGTCGGCGATGCTCACGGGCGCCCAGATGGGCGAGCGCTCGTCGAAGACCACGGGCGTCGTCTGCCACTTGGTCGGGTACGCCCGCCCCATCCAGTCGCCGTCCACGCACGGTATGTTCATGTTGCTGCTCGCGCCGAGGGTGAGCCCTTGCAGGCCGTTACCGCCGCCGATCTCCAGCGCGATGATGTGTGTTGCTTGCTGGTCGGCCGGGCAGACCTTGTAGAGCTCGGTTTGGGCTTCCATCATCTCGTCGCCCTGCAGCTTCTCGATGCCTACCGTTGGGCTGCCGACCCCGCACCCGCAGCCGACGGCGCCCGTGTCGGGCACGTCTTGGGGGCTGACCACGCGCACGACGGCGCCGGCACGGAGGAGTTGGCGGAGCAGGATCATGTGCGGGTAGGGCGAGCCGCCGCCGCCGGTGCCGAGGATGTAGCAGCCGGTGGAGATCCAGGCGAGGTCGGTCTCGGTGATGTACCAGACGCGGTTGCGCACGTCGGGGTGGTAGGTGGGGATGTCGACGTCCGGTTCTTCTGGGGAGGCTGTGGCCTTTTGACGAGGTTGTAAGGAAACAATATCGGGCTGTTCAGTTTCGGCATCTGCTTCCAGCATGCTCGCAGTATCTGCGGCCGTGTTTGTTCTTGACATGTCGAAATCTCCGGCTGCTCGAACGATGAAACGGGCTTTGTTTGCAACATACTAACCGCGCGTCAGTCAACTCAGGGGCTAGCTGGGCTTGAGATCAGGGGGAACTTACCTGCAGTGGCAGCGTCTCCATCTCGACGACCGCGACGGACTCCCTCGCAGCTCCAGCGGCAACCGTCTTTTCCACAGCCTCTTTACAGATATCGTCGAGCCACTGCTGGGTTGTTTTCTTTTCGGTAGACCTAATGGTATCTACGACAGCACTTACGCGGGCCATGGCCGCGCCAATAGCGTTCGCAACTTGTGACCACTTCGGCCGCAGCACCTTGCTGGCTCCCTTGAGCTGCGTTGGGGCGATGATGGCGCCACCTCCGACAAGCACCACGGGGAGGTCGGCGGGCGACGTCTTCATTGTGTCGATGATGCGCTCCAGCTTATGTTGGACCACGCCCTTGAACTCGGCGAGTTCCTGCTCGGTTAATATTCCCTTGACCAGCTCCGTGTTGCCGATGTCGAGAGTCGGGTCTGCACACATAGCACAGTCTGTCGCCGTCAACGTGTTTCCACCAAACAAGATCGATTCTTTGGTTAGCTTGTAGCCCACGCTGTCCGGGCCAACAGTCATGGGAGGAGGCCCTTTCCGGACGATGGATCCACCACCAAGACCGAGGCTCTTGACATCAGGGCACGAGAAGTTCTACCGTAAAAGGTACATTAGTACAGAGAGTGTACAGTAGCGGTTCCAGGCAACTTACCATTCGTACGCCTGCCAGATCACTGTAGGCAGCCTGCTGTCTTGGGAAGCCGCTAGGGAGGAGCAGCCCGACATCGGTTGTTGTACCACCAATGTCCACGACCATCATGGCTTCCCCTTCCGAGTCCCCCGAATTCTTGTCTCCGTTCCCCTGTATGAGAAAGGCGGCTCCCCTCATGCTGTTGGTCGGGCCGCTCGAGAAGGTCCGGATGGGCAACCGTGCTGCCATCTCACCTGACAAGACCGTCCCATCGTTTTGCGTGACAAACACCGGACAAGTCATGCCCAGCTCCCGCACCGGCTTCTGGAACGACTTCACCGTCCTCCTCGCGAACTTCAAGATGGACGCATTCAAAATCGCGGCATTCTCCCTCTCCAAAAACCCCAGATTAGCTACCTCCTTCGACAAGACCACATCACACCCAGGCACCTCCCTCCTCACAATCTCCGCCGCCCTCTCCTCCTGCCTCTCCACGCCATCAATCGGACTAAACACCCCATTCACCACCACCGTCCCAATCCCCCGCGCCCTCACCTCCCGACACGCCTCCACAACCTCCGCCTCATCCACCTCCGCAATCACCCCCCCATCAATCTCCAACCCCCCCTTCACCAACACATACCACCCAAGCACAATCCCCCTCAAATCCGCCGGCCAATCCACACACGGCGGCACATGCTTCGAAAACGGCCCACACAACCGCACCACCGCAACACGAGAAAGCCGCGCAGCATCCCGCTCGACGACGGCGTTGACGAAGTGGGTGGTGCCGACGGTGACAGACGCAATATCGGCGGGCCGGACGCCGGCAGCCGCCGCCGCGGGAGAGGTGAGCATGTCGCGCAGGGCGGCGGCGATGCCCTCGCCCGGGTCGGCGGTCGTGGGGGTCTTGGTCCAGGCGAGGATGCCGCGGGACGGGTCGGTGGGGGTGGTGGTGGTGGTGGTGGTGGTGAGGGGGTTGAGGAGCACGCCGTCGGTGTTGGTGCCGCCGACGTCGACGCCGATGCGTAGGGGGGGTTGGTTGAGATGCATGGTTGCGGTTTGGGTTGGGGAGTGGGTGGGGTGCTGTGGTTGTGGTCTTTTTGAGTTGGGGGTTGCTGCAACTACAGGGAGTCCGGGATGGCGAGGGGGTGTGAGGTTGGTTCAAGGGATGATTGATTATTGGTTCTTGAAGCTAAGAGGAGCTGTAGAGATGCGACCCGTGTTCATAACAGATCAACAGAAAACCGTGGGGAACCGCAAAGGGCTGGCTGGGGTCTGCCTTGATTCCAACGAGGGGTTATTGTCATGAAGTTAGAAGCTCCGCATCGGTCCCGCTGCCATTTTGTTGACCCCGAAAACCGGTGTACGGAGTAGCCAGTCTCCACTATCATTTCTCGTACCACCACGGCATCAACCACCGGCAATCACATCAAAACATTCAAGTTGCACCGCAGAACCCATGGTTTCGGGGTTAAGGCTTCAAAGGGAGAAAGGGCACCACCCACTCTGGTGATAAGGGGGGTTCAAGGTGTATCTCCCAGAATCCGACTACCTACACTACCCAACAAGACATCCTGGGTAGGTAGGTAGGTAGTTATAATACGGGCCAGTCTATGGTCGGAACGGGAACCAAAATACCCTCGGGTTGAACTGATGAGGGGAAACACTGGATCATGTCCAGGCAGTTTAGCCGACACACGGGGATGTCTGGGACTCTGGGTACTCGGTACCTCCCTCGGGTTGTCGGCCATTACTGTCTCGAGTTTGTAAAAAGAAAAAAGAAACAAAACTGGCTGGATAGATATCTGCATTGAGATATTCGTACCTACCTAGTTACCTCCCTCAGTGGTAGGTCGGTATTTGATGCAATCGTGTCACTCATGTGATCTTGGGAGGATGTGAGCTTGACATCAATTTGTACATGACTCTTCCCGCAGCGACCGCGCTTGGGGCGTCAAATTTACTATGGTGGTATGGGTAAGTCTTTTCTCCCCTAACAAGTATCGACCGGGGGGCCGCCCAACACAACCACCAAATTTTGTCTTGCCTTCAAAAGCAATTGGTAGGGCACTGCTATCTTATATTCCGACGTCTTTTAGACTTTTTTTAACGGGTGTTGTGGTTTGGTTGATGCAAGAGTTGCTGCTGAAAAAAGGTGTAAAGTTACGCTTTGTGACGATTTGGCGTGCTGCAGGGGGGCTGGTCGGTACGCGGGAGGGGGGAAAAAACTTAAGCACAATACCATAGTAGGGCTGGAATTCGACCCTTGTCCACAGCTTCTGTTGCACAGCCATGCAAATGGTTGATTAACGAGAAGAAAGCATTGGACAACGTTGGCACGTTGGCTGTCAAGCTCTCCACTACCCCTGCACTCATGAGATGACTGCCTAAGTCTCTCATATAGGGTTACATGAACGGCCCCCAAAAAGCCCCCAAACCAAAGTCTTTGCATGATGAGTGGGACTTATGGGGCAGTCCCCGGGGCGCAGCGCTGACCGCAGCGGCAGGATCCCACAGGATTCAACATCGGGCGCCAAGGCATCAATAATCCAGGCAGCTTAAGCTTTTGATAGAATAGTTTATAAACGCTCTTCTCGTGGGAATCACGTTCGAGAGGGATATCTATCATTGTGTGGCGAAATCCCGAAAAATAAACCCACATCTACCCCTGCCCAAGTTGACAATCATGTTCTTCAAGGGCTGTTATACGACCCTGCTCCTGGCCGCTCTTGGCACAATACTCGCTTTCCAAGTCCAGTCTGCCTATGCCTTACCCCTCGGGTCGGCGGTGGCATCTCCCGCCATTGCATCCACTACACGAACAAGTTACCTCACAAAACCATGGCTCGCCACAAGAAGACTTCGCTTACTCGGCGTTGCGCCTTCTCCCGACCGCAAACAACCTGAAGACAACACAGCCTCGAAACTGCACCACTATCTCCTTCCCACCCCAAGCAACGCGCCTCGAGACATCAAGGATGTTCCACAACGACTTCTTCGACGGTCTGACATAACGTCCAACCAAACCTTCATCACGGCCATGTTTGTGCTTCTGATCGTTGTTGCGGTCCTCTTGGGCGTGGGAATTGCCTCCATCGCCGTCTGTGGCCTGGATTGGAAGAGGTACTTGTCCAGGTCAAAACCGAGGGTGGATCTGGAGGAAAAGGGGCCGGAGAGGGCGAGTGAGCCGGCGTCTTAATCTCAGGAAACTGGTCACAGTTTGGAATTTGGGGGTTAAGGGGGGACGGGGGTTGGATGGTCGGGATGGGATGGCGTTGTCGGTTTTGCATTTTTTACCCCCGTCGATACCCAAGAAGATACCCTTTTCTTATTTAAATATGATGATGATTATAACATGGCATACGTTAATTACGCCGAGTTATCTTTCCTGTCGGCCAAAACCCAGCGTGAAAGTGTCGGACACCTAAAAGTGTTCAACCGATAACTGTCTTGCCCGTGGACACTTCGAAACAATCACCGGTTGGAGAAAAGTGTCAACACTCAGGCATTCAAAATTCGTAAAGTCATATCATCGCGCAGTTATTTGTGGTACGAAAGCCCGGGGTGCCCATTTCATTTCCTCCTCAATCCTCACACCCCAATGCTCTCGCACCACCACAACCCCCTTTTAAATTCAGGCTCTCGGCCACCCAAGTCCATGACGGCGGACAACTGAAGCTAGTCAGAGCGGCATCCACAATGGCCCCTAACAATATAATCACGCGAAGCTTCGTATAGGACCCAGGTGCAGTCGTGATGTGACCTTGTCGCGGCGTAGCCATCGCACTCCCGTGTTCTTTTGTATCGGTAGTACCTTGACCGAGCGTCCATCACGTAATGACCGCAGACGCGGTAGCGTCGCTTTTGCCACCGGCACATGATGGGACTTTTGCCTCGCTTGCCGTTTTGATGACGCGTTGGGGAGACCGCCCTGGAGGTCGAAGGGGAACGATGGAGAGACTCTTTTGAACCTCTATACTCCGCAAGTAAATACCCGCCAGACTGGGCAGTTGTCTTTGCAATGTATACGCAGAGGAAGAGGTTCTGCTGTTGAAAGAGGGGCGATAGACAGTTTGCTTGCGGCTGTGATATCTTTTATATCGGAGTTCCTTGTTCGAGGGTCTCGTGTACTTGCCAGAGTGTTTGATGACGGGGTCCTACAAGACCACGTATTATCATAAACGTACGTTTTCCATTGTGGCCGTAATGCCGTGGCCAGCCACGTAGATGTTAATCCATGGTCAGACAATGGCCACTGTTTAGCTTTGTCTTCGAAAAGTGAGCGGCCCATGCTTCGCTCCATCAGAAGTTCTATTCTTACCTGCGCATGACCAAATTTGGGCTGGCAATTCATGGCCACTTTGAGCACTAACTTTACGACTCCCTTATAATACTGAATGGTCACAAACATGCCATGGCCCCAGGCTTGTGAACCATTGGTGCCACAATATTATTCTACCGGTCTCTAGATTTTGAGATAGGGTGGCAACCCTCATTATCTCGGATTAGGGAGGGGGGTTCAAAGACATTCCCGCGCCAGGTTACGCAGGACTTTGGTTGGCTGCATCTCAAGAGATTCAGACCCTTGTCAAGTTACGGTTCTCGCCCCTGGACCAAAACTCCAGGGCTCAGGAGATACACACAACATAGGTAGGGAAGGGATCACGTCATGTCGGACGCCAACTCGCGGCTGGTGAGCCTGTATGCCGCCAAGTGCTGTGAAAACCACCTCAGCCCTTTTGGGGCACGGCCGGACCCCTACCGTTGCTGAATGGCCACACACGAAGCCGCATGAGACTAAGCCCCTAACGTGCATTAGGTGGTGTGATGGCATCGCAGATTGCCCCAAGGAAGTGGGCCGTGTCCCCTATCGCCTATTGGACGAGTGCAAGTTGAGATGATGGCATCAACAGTAGTGGTGAGGATATCTCAACCCGTCGATCTTGATGAGGAAGTGAGGTACTTGACGTGTCTACTGCACTGCAGGATCTAGGGGACCGCATCTGCTCTCACTTCTTAGTTCCTCCTGGCCCCCTGTTTCCCTTTCATTCTTTTCCTCGCCTTCTCTCGCTCACTTCTTCACTCTCACATCCCCTTTGCCCCACGCTTGATCCAATCTCCCCGTGGCGTCTTCCTGGTCACGTTGAAGCCCCAGCTGTCTTTCATATCAGCAGGTAATCGCAAAACACAGCGACCGTTATTAGTCGTACCACTGTACCGATCAAATCAACGGAGGGCCGGGCATCTGATAAACCGGCTTGGTGTTGTCATCGTAGATGTTGTATTGCACGCCCGGGTGGTCCTTGGTGTAGAGGGATGTTCCCACCACGCCTTCCGGGGTGGCATCGCCACCGCCAGTGATCTGGATGTTGGTGCATTGGGGATAGAACTGGGCACCACCAACGTCGTAGGCAGAGTGGAGGGCGAGGATCTCGTGGCGGAGGACGTAGTTTCCGGCCTTGATGGAGGAGGGAATGGTGACATCCCAGTCTCCTCCAGCCAGACGCAGCTGATCGGCAGCCCAAACGCCAGCGGTGCCACCCCCGGGGCCATAGGAAATCTGGCCGACCTCTTCGATCTTGAACCACCGAAGCTGTTCCTTGTCCGCTGTGACGCAATCTCCGTTGCAGGCCGCCAGGTACGTGAAGATGGGCCCGTGGTGAGACTCGGGCCAAGCCGTCCAGTGCAGTCGGATGGTGCTGCCGGCAGCGACGGGGACGGGGTATTTGTTGGAGTTGGTGGCATTGATCGAGCAGATAATGTCGGGACTGCCCACGTCGCTACCGTATACAGGCCCCAGGTCAGTGTTCCAAGCCGGCCAGCTGATGGTACCCTGGTCAGGCGCCCACGGCGCTGTGGTCGGGTTGAACCCGGTGTAGCTTTGGCCGTCGATGTTCCATTCGTCAATGTATCCGTGGGCTGTGACAGTGTTAGCCCCAGCGAGAATAACGCCTAGAGCAGCTTGCAGCAGCATTTTGAGTCTTTGATAGTCGAGACGGGGAAAAATGGATGGGCTCAAGTGAAAATGGTTTGGGGTATTTAGATAGGTAGGTTGGTAGCCAACCCGAGTTATATCCTGCTTTTAGGATGCCTTTCAATCACCAGCCTCATTTTCTTGTCCAAATCAACTCCGACTGCGTCCACCAGTAGAAGTGTTTAGTGTTGCAGAGGACCTTGCCAATATGCGGAACATAGATGCCGTTCTGCATGTTATCCCTCCGGGTCCCGGAATTCCAGGTTTCGTCCGTGTGCCGAGCCGTTGTTGCCCGGCCCTGGTGACTCCGAGCCTGCGCAATTGGGCAACGGCTGCCCAGCTGGAAGCCGTTTAAATGATTTGGTTGGGCCCGTTGGGGGGCACCCTGCCGCCGATCCCACATGTTACATTGACTACGTGGCCCCCTCACCTGACGGCGACGAAATATTCCACCGCACATCTTGAGGGAAGCAGGGTCTCGAGGGCATCGCTCCACGCCGTCTGCCGGGAAGCCCCCCGAGAACCCGGGTTACCGGGCCATCGCAAGGGGGTATGCGTTTGTGTTTCAGGGTTCCAGTGCCGGCGTAGGAGGCCAAGCGAATTGGCATGCTTGGCTTATAAGTTATGATGCCATCCCCCCAGGGGAGGTTGGCCTGAGACGGGCCGTGTGCCATCCGTTGCATTCGTTTGGCGAAGGCCAATGGAGGACAGAACCACAAGCCCAATTCAACGTGGAAGTGGCAATAATGGTACAGGAGATGGTATACATTGAGGGGGGTTGGGGGTTATCCTAGCTAAGGTAGGTACCTACATAGGTAGGTACCTAGGTAGATTACTACCGGGTCATCGTGAAAACCTCACAAACCCCTTAGAATCAGTGCGGCGAGACTGATTGCTCCCACAGCAGCTGTGCCTATTATCCCAGCCATCGGCTTTCCGACCTCTCCCATGATAAACCCAAAAGTCAGGCTGCCAATGTCGACCGCATCCGCGATGATACCCGCCCAAACGGCCCTTCTAATTGCTCTACAGTCGTGTCCGTGTCACCACCATATATTATGTTTATCGTTTCGTGTTTCGAAAAAACGCACCTTCTCCCTCCATCTCCCGTCCCCTTATCCTCCGCGGAGAACAACAGCGCTCCGACCAAACCTTCTCGTACACCCACCATGCGCACAATGAATGCTTGGTCAGCTGGCACGTCGTGGTAGTGTAGCGAACATGTAAACCGTGGGGCGATGAGGCAGCCCGCTCCTGTAGCGATGCGGATCAATGAGAGGACCTTGATAGCGGTCAGGGTTGTCGACGACAGTGGTGTCGATGGTGATCCCTTTATGACCTTTGAGGGAGGCATTGCGCGAGTGTGGACTCTTGGAGCTAGATTTATGAGACGTTTCCGAAATGGAGACCACCTTAGGTACCTAGTACTTTGAAGTTGTTGACATATGGTACTGGGGGAGTGAGGTCGCAAACCTTTTAAATTCCACTTCGTATCGGCGGAACTTGGAGCTTCGACCCGTGAACACCCGACGCCAAGGTCCCGGGGATCGTATCTTGCCCCGGCAGACACGGAGCCCACCAGTACGAGTACTTCCTAACACATAAGGGGACCGAGGAACAGTTATAATACACCCAGCTTTACTAAACAGACTAGCCCATCAATACTAAGAGGAGTTGCTCGCTTGCTCGCCAAGTGAAATATTGGGAAACTATGACATTAAAATCTCCTGGCAGGGCATGTCGAATCCCTTTAAATACATAGAACAGCGGCCCCGAGGAATGGCGCGGCTTTGAAGTGCAAAGCCGCAGGGGGGAACCGAAGTGACAGAAAGTAGGTACCTAATTAAAAAAAAAGATTTGTGGCCCCAAGCAGCATCATCATGGCTGAACGGGATCTTCACCGATCCCATTCGTCACCCCCTGACTTTCCCCATGCTCAACTTCATGCCCAACCTCCCAGACAGCCGAGCCAGTCCTGGTCGAGCGCATCTGCAGCCGCAGACTAACTTAGGTGCAGCGCCAGTCCCAGAGTCCGCCACCGTTGACGGCGACGGAGCCCCCGCCGTAGGTTCTGGCGCAGTAGTCGTTCAGGTTGACGCCGCCGGTGTTGCCGTTGCTCGAGTTGACGCAATACCAGTCGTACTTGCCCTCCCCAGAGTGGGCGGCCGCCCATGTGCTGCCGAATTGCTGGTGGCAAGCCTCGACGATGCTGATACCTCCGCCACGGGCATCCACGTCGGCAGGGGCAGCTAGCAGGGCCGGGACGAGACAGGCGGCGACGCCGAGAAGGGCAGAGGTGGCGACCATGATGACCGGTTTGTTTTGCAGTTGAGCGGTGGGTGGGAAAGGTTGCTGTGAGGAACTGGGCCGATCTTTCTGGGGAAAGAATCGCAGAAATAGTGGTGAATTGCGAGTAGATAGATAGACGGGAGAGGATGATGAGGGTGTATGGCCGATGGAGAGAGCAAGTTGGAACGTCTGGGGACTTCTGAACGACTATTTATACAAGAATACTCAAGCGTTAGGCTCGCATATTGCAGTCCAGACCCGGATAGGCCAGATGGAGCAGCACGTGGGAGAGTTCAGGCTCCGTAGGGTCCCTATGTCAGGAATCATCACAAGGATGTTGCAAGAGGGAGAACCGTACGTACCAGGTTGGGGCGTAGGACACTCCGAACCAATTGTTGGGGCACGCGAGGGAACAACGCGAGGCTGGTCTCGGGGCTTTGGTGAAAGCCACGACACAGTAGACAGAGCAGATCCTTTCACCGAGTATATATCGCCGTTAGAGGTGAGAGAGTCAAGGACATCCCCCGTAAATAAACTTGAACACACCCGAGCACTTGAGTAAATCTCTATATTAGTTTAATAAACAACCTTGTTGTAGGGCCTGTTGGCCTCACCGAATTTCGAAGACATGCATCACCTTCAGCCCGGCGGGCCTTTTCAGAGTCTCTGTCTGGGAGGATTAGTGACGGGGAGGTAGGCTCATGCCAGTGGCGGAGCAACGGAGATGTCGCGCCTGCACCACAGGGGTGTCGTGGACAATGCGGCATCACGTCAGCGTCATGGTTGGTAGCGATACAATATCACCGGTAAATGTCCCCTAGCCCGGCTCCTTCCACATAACTGTCAGATATCGTGTAACCTCAAAAGCTTTGAACGGCGGATGGATTGGAGGCTTGCCTGGGGGATTCCTGGCGGATTGGGGCCGCGTGGTGCTTCACGCAGTTATCTTACAGGGTTCGGAGCGCCTCTTCACTCGAGGCGAGGACAGAACTCTTTCGACCACCTAAAAATAATATCTTCGGTTAATCACCTCTGCACTGCCCTTGTACAGCCCAACCTACCTTACTTACCTACCGTACTGTTGTAAAACTTCCATCAATTGGGAGACCAGCAGAGAGACGTGGCCATTAGACTTCAACAATAAGTAATCTTCGGTAGAAAATGGGTCTGTTGGTAGGAAATGACTTTGGCGGTAAAATATAGATATGCGAAGATGGTTGGGAGATGCTTTCTACGCTGGAATACGAATTTATATCCTCCTCGAATAGAAGGACACTTAACTGCAAAGGCTACTACATGTCTATGGCCTATTGCGGCAGCAGTGTGCGGCTTAGGGTTCTCGGGTAGGTAGTTTACGGTAAAGTACAAGGTAGTGAGGTAAAGTACTAAGCGGGTGAGTCAATTTGCTGCAACCTGGATGCTATCTATGTCAGAGTCTCCTAGTTTCCCGTTTAGCCAATATGTTAGCTACGGTCCAGACCAAATAGCACTCTGTAAACACCGTTTCCTATGTATAGGTACAGATGAGTTTCAAGTACGGCGCTTCGACTCGCGCCAATCCTGACGGGAAGGATAGTTGACATAGTCCGAGACATCTTTCAAGCGCGGGTCACTGTCACTGGGTGGGAGGGGGCGGCGCTCCCATATATCACGGTAGATTCCCGTGGTTTCGATGGCCTCCGTAGGATCAACGCGTTCGAGGTTCGCCTGGTCTGGAAGAAGTGGGAGCGGACAACGTTGTGATGGCGTGGTTCCGGAACCTAAGAACAGAGCAAGCGCCTCCTTTTGATCCTCGAGGAGGCGGCAGATGCGGTAGGTGACTAGGCGCCTGTCAGGATGGATGTATACTGCATCTGGCTGGCATTTTAAGGTCAGTCCGGTGGTTAATTCGGAAACACGACTTGGACATATACTCACCGCTGCCTCGCTCACCGATTCTGGATCTCGTCTATCGAAGAGCATCACGCCGCCAAGGATACGAACCTCGGCCCAATATCCAACACAGTCAGCGATGCCTTCAGGATATTGATCGTAGTCGGGATACCATGGGTGGGAAAAGACGGTCCCTAGAAATGCCCGACGATAAAACCTTTTGTGTTCCTCTGAGGGGGGCCACCTGCCGAGCGCGTCATCTTTATGCCGACTAGTGTCCTGGCGATACAGCCAAACTCCGATGTCGTGAACAGCTCTAGCAACAAGCTCGATAGGCTTGGTGGAGCAACGAGGGGTCCCCGGAGCAACAGCCTCGTAACCATGAAGGAGCTTGGGGCCCAAACCATCAGAAACACGTCAGAGCGGGGGGGGATGTTTAATTCACTGCTTACAACTATAGTTTGCTATAAGCTCGAGAGCCTACTATTGAGATAAGTCTTTATTATATACCCTTTAGCTATATCGAACCTAAAGTACCCTTAACAGAATACCTTTAACCGATACTAAACCCTAATAGGATAGGTCTAGAGATAGGTTTATTATACTAAGAGGGATTAAAGTAAGCCTTCTAGGCTTTAAGGTTGATAATAATACTATCTAGGGTCTCCTTTTACTATACCTAGGATACCTTCTTAGCAGCTCTTAAACCAAAGCCCTATATGCTCGGCTGTACTAGTAAGGCCCTCCTATTAACGGTCTCGAGTGTATTTATCGCCAGCGTTAGGCAGAGCGAGAGCTGGTGCAAGAGGTTATCTATAATGCGCCGCATTCCATCGTCTATAACGGGCGCGATGCGCGACATGAACTCGGCTTGTTGCTTGGTGCGATCCCCTATCCAACCTGGTACGGGCGCCGTAGGGCGGCTCACGGGGGCTGCTTCGCCAGTCGCACATCCGGTCGAGTTGCCTGACGAAACAACACAACCTGGGGAGTTTCGGTTTCCCTTATCAGATACCAGCGGCAATTTGGAGCATAACTGACTCTGCTCCTCTTTCCGTTGGATTCCACGCTACCACCAACTGCTTGTCATTTTTATTCTAGCTGCTACCGTCCCTCTCCCGTTACCAGGTACGTGAGCGACTGTTGCTCTAGGGGCGGGAGGGGAGCGTGAGCTGCTCGACAGGTTACTGGAGGTCCATCATACAAATTGCACGTCGACGCGTACGCTGATCGCCTCTCCCAGAGATTATCCGAAATGACTGCTGGAGACAGCTGGCGTAGGACAGTGGATATAGGCCACTGGTTGCAGTGCTGCGCCTTTGGTGTCATCGGCATGATCACTTACTCGAAGAGGATCGGCTTCCTGGGTTTTGGAGAGGACGTCGGTGATGTGATGCGGAATTTAGGCGACTACCTGGCCTACTCCAGCGTCATTGGCGTGTATTTGTGGTTGCATCTCATCCTCTTCGGGGTGCGGAGCTAACTAGCCGGCTCGCGCGGAAAGGGGAGGCAGTATATCGTCAGCTTTACAGAGGAGTGCATGGCGGCGCATCAAAGCCCAAGACACAACAGATATCCAAAGAGGATGACGCAAAGGGCAGGCCGAAGAACACCGAGAGACAATGGACTTTCTCACCACGTTGATCCAGAAACACTCGGAGGACCCGTCCGTCTTCACCTCGTACCACCTTCTCTCGGGATGTGTGTGTCCAACATGATGGCGGGCTCCGACACAACATCCATCAGTCTCAGTGCTATCTTGTACCATGTCCTGCGCAACCCTACTATTTTGAAGAGGCTGCACGAGGAAGTAGACCAATACTACCCTCAAAGCAAGGTGACCCATATCACGTTTCGCAGGGCCAGAAAATGCCGTATCTTCAAGCGGTCCTGAGGGAGGCGCTGCGCGTGCATCCAGCCACTGGTTTGCCTCTTGGAAGCGTGGTCCCGAAGGACCGCTTGGCCATCAACGAAGTAGCTTTTTCTGAAGGGGCAAGTTCGTCCTTTGTTTTTGGCAATAGTCTACCTAGGAAGTCTTGAAAAGTTGGTTAATGAGAGGCTTGAGGTCATCGTAGGAACTAACAGCTGGGTTGAGCACGGCGACAAGACGATATTCAGCGACTCTTACCCGCGCAAGGGGGGGGTCGAGGAGCGGTACCTGGACCGGTTATCAACACCACGTCAACAGTTCACGAAAACACCAGCGGGGAAAATTTAACTCACCTAAAACAGCGGCTCTCGAGCGGTTCAAACTGAAATGAGCGGCTCGATTGACATACGGCTCATTCAAGGAAGGGGCTATAGCCCGCTCCTTCCCCTGAGGTGTTTGAGAGCAACGTGTAGATCGCTCAAGCGGCAAGAGCGACTCCTACGTTGAGCCGTTCGCAGATCAAGCGGTTAAAGTACTATTGATGCTCTCCTCAAGGGTATTTAAGCAGTGTGTTAACTATTTAACTGTTTGGGTGGTTCATTACAATAAGGTGGAAAGATTTGACTCCCCAACCCCCCCCCTTATCCGGGTAAGGACGGCGTAAACACGTTTAGCCCAGAGAGATGGCCCCATATGGACAAGGAAAAGATAAGTGCCATGAATCGGCACTGGATGCCGGTAAGTGCTCACTAAGGTACCTAGTTACATATCATCAACTCTCAGGATTTCTGTGCTGTAGCAGCATTACCTAGGTAAGTTGAACCCTAAAGTTTGGCTTGGGCTCCCGTAGCTGCATCGGACGGCACATCTCGATGCTGGAAATGTGCAAACTAGTGCCGAGGTTGATTCGAAACTTTGATCTCCGGTCAGACATTCGAGAGTGGGTATTGCGAGTTTGTTTAGGATTCAAAGAAATGATAGGATGAACCCGAATCCGAGCAACCAACCAGCCAACAGCCCGGATCAATCGGCGATATGGATCCAACCTATTGCAGGTTTCCACACGCGGTCAGCTGGTTCTCGCCACCAAAGGATTGGCGGTGCCGAGGTGCCAAGTGAAAGGCGGCCATGATACGAGCTGCACGAACCGCCACCACCCATGAATGATTGGTACGGGATAGAGGTTTTGCAGGTCTAATAATAATCCAAACGGCTGCTTCGGGATGATAATCATCCATCTCTCTTACTGGTGCTTGTTGAATTCAGAATAAATTCAGGACAGCCGGCCACCATCTGACATCACCACCTACCGTAGACGCTCAAACAGAACCTCTCACTCACTCATCGGTCTTGTCTCCTTTCCACACAATGACGCTCGCATCTCTTCTTATCCTTTGCGCCGTCGGCCTCGTCCGCGGCCAGAGCGAGCAACTTGAATTCTGCGGCAGCGCGCCCTACTACGCCTCCGAATACACCTGCTACGACAACCACACACTGTGCCCCCGACTTTACGGACAACCCACCCTGCCCTGCAGCGGCGCTTGCTACAGCCCGGACATGTACCAGTGCCGCGACGGCCAGCTGGGGCTGCTCCCAGTGCACGACGCAACCGGCACCCCCTTCCAACTCCAAGTGCACAGCTCCAACCCGGCCCTCAACAACCGCCTTGCCGAGGTGTGCAGCCTGCAGTTCCACGTGGGTGAGGATGCTGAGACGTGCGTCTACTGCTTCAACGCGCCGCCCCAGTTCGTCTGTTCCGCGTATCGGAATGAGACCGTCCTGCTGCCGTCGGGAGCCATGGTATTTCTCCACTCCGGGCGTCTCGGATTGAGACTTTGATTGTTGCTTGCTGACACGTTCTAGTCTGTTGATGTTCCCGGGAGCCAGTATTGGTTCGTGGACCCCATGACTAGCAGGCTCAGAACCACGGTAGGTGGCAAGGGGGGCGGAGAGGGCATCGAACATGCTGGCAAAGGTGTCACGAGTATGCACAAAACGTCTGCTGCAGTGTAGGACAACGGAAGGCTAACCCGGGCTTCAGTTTATCAAGAAGGGTACTTCTCATACGACGGAACGAGCCATTGGTTGGCATGCAAAGAGGCTGGTGAGAGCCAGAAATATGGCATCTTTGCTCCGACGGGTAACCCGAACCAGAACGACTGCGAGAAAATCAAATTGGTGGCCATGGTCGATACGGAGCCTGGAAAGGGAGCGTATTCGTATACTTGAGCTCGGTCTCATTAGGCGAGAGCTCCTGCTACTGTTACGGCCGGTGGAAAACACTGGACAATGGAGCGGCTTCTCACTTGGTGCCATAGCCTCATAGGATCTACAGTGGGTGATGAAGCATGAGAGTAACGTGCGAAGTGGAGAGCAGAGGGCTGCAATTTATAACTACCCCAGCTGCCACCCCGGTGTCAACGCAACTTAAATCGTGTGTGTCGTATGAGTCCAATCTTGTCGCCTGTGCCACTGGTTATGGCTAGCAAACCTTTGGTGTTATATGTTCTGTTGCTCTCGTTTCTCTTTTTGCCTTACACTAGAAGGTATGAGCAAGGCGCTGACGTCGAATCCGGCACAGAGTCCTTCAGCCTGATCGGCTACGCCGGGACAGAGTTCTTTATGTTCCTGGAAGACCGGGTGGTTATAAACAAGGTTGCCGTCAAAATCTGAAGCGACGTCGGAAAGAGGCATTCCATCGACAATCTGGGCATACGTCTGGTTGGCGATCGGGCTTGATAGAAACGTTGGCGACGGCACGGACCAAGATTTCGCGATGAGGGTCCTTGAGTCCCTGGATTAGCAGTTGTTCGGACTCGGCTCTAGGTCTCCATAGTTCAGAATGATGGGTTTGGGGTATGGTGGGATGGAGATTTGAGGGGGATTGTGTTGGTGATTCTAAGAAGGTACGGGAAGCCTGCATGCGGGTGCCTGGATAGGTACAAGAGGAGAGACGGCGGGGTAAATGGGAACCAACTGCAGAGCGACAATCTCCTGCATTCTTTGGCAGTTGGCATAAAGGGCCGTGCCATTTGCAATATTTACTACTTACCAGTTGTTCGCTGCAATCTGGGTGATATGTCCGCGCACAGACACCATCATCCGAGTCCTCCTACACAGCAGCCATTGTTGGACGCTTAAGCTTTGATGCAGGAATCGTCAATAAAAGGAGGTGAGTTGGCACTTAATACTTGGTACTTAGAGTAAACAGTATAACCATACATTGAATTTGGAGCAGCCTCGAGCCGAGTACCGTTGCAGGTTCCTCCTAACCACCCTTACTTAAACCAAAGCATGCTCCCAAACAATCACATACGACCATACCTGCCAGAAAACACGGGATCCCGTCCGCTCTCCCCTAGTTAAACTCGCAAGGGCCGGATCAGTAGTTGGGTCGGTGACGACCAGCGAATCCCCGGTGTTGTATGTTTTTGACTTTTTTGCTCTCGGGGAGGCTCCATTCAGAGTCTTGGCGTGCTGTTGTTGACACCCCCTGAGCCCCTTTTCAACAAGGTACAGTACATACCCCAGTTACTATTTTTGTTTCACGACACAATTCACCCACTCCTTCGGTACTGACATGTCAGAGATATATTAATTGATGAGAAATGTGCGACTCTTAACTGGGGGTAGTGGGGCTTTGGTAGCGCTTCACGTGGGTTTCCTGCCGAGTACGAAAGCGAAGCCACAAGTCATGGGATGGGTGCTCGGTGTCTGCATCGCGGCCACGCTTTTGCCCGAGTCCCCGAGGCAGATGATCGATAATCACGAGCCATCGCGCAAAATACCACCGCACCACCGACAGATCGCCCCGTACCCCGCCCGGGGAACCCACAACCCTCTCCACCAGCGGCCCCATCCGCTCCGTGCTGTCTGGGGTTTAGTGGAGATTCCGTTGAGGCGGTACCTCGTGTGGGCTTGGGAATGTTACCCATAAAAGTTTCCATGTCCACTCACAAGGGGCTAGAACTGGTACATAGCTATAAGGACGAGAAAGCGGCCCCTTTGAATAACAACACAACGAGGGCAAGAAGCTGTGGTTGTTGCGGGGAGGCCGAGAACGTGGATCTGGACCTGGCAGTTCACTTTCTTATTTGAGTTATTTCGGGCCTTGTCCCGGTCAATGCTATCTCCTGCCTTGCGGCGTAACTCTCTGGCAGTCTGGCTTCAAACCATCACCAGCCGCCCGGTCTTGTTTGGAGCCTTAAACAGGGCCATCATTCATCACGTCGAGCAGCTTGTAGTGTAAGGGACCGCACCAGATACGAACCTCGCCAAGGTGTTCGTTCGGCCTGCGCCGCCTATTAGTAGTAATTACTCCAAATAAGTAAATGCGGCATCAATGTTTGTCTTCTCTTCGTACTTTCTGACTGTTTTCTTTGCTGCTTTGAGCACCGCGGCCTATCAATCAAAACACTTGCTGGCGTGCTCCGCTCGTCATTCGCTCAATGTCCTCCGCCTGTCACAAAGTGCCAAGGCTCGACTCTGTGCATGGAGGGAAGTCGGTGTGTGCGCTGAGTAATTTCCTTACAAAAGCCTCGTTCAGTGAATTACGAGGAACCTAGGGCGATTGGTCGAGAACTCGAGGAACTGGGTCTGGGCGGTTCTATAGAAGGCGGCGTGGAGAGAAACTGCTCATTTTCGGCAGCAGCTCAGGTCGCATGTACTTGTCCCTGGCCTTTTCGCACCGCCCATTTAGGAAAGCGAGATGACCGTCGCCTCACCTAAAACTGATTTTGGATTGAGGCTTTGGGTGCGCTTATGGTAGCCGTGGTAGATGACTGGCTTCCATGGCAACACTGCCGCTGAGATGGTATCATGATACGAGTTGGCAATAGAACGACCAGCTGTTGTTGTAGGTGTTTCAACTGTACCACGTCGGCTGGCCCGTTGTGCTGACGATCGAAAATAGAACAGACAAAACCTGAAGAGCTGCGGCGTGAGGTGGGTAAGTTCTGAGAGGAACGACGGTTTGAACAGGTATATATTCCCGCCTTCTCGACGTAGTGGCATATCCCAAATCTCAATCATCTCGACAACAACTCATCGTTTACCTATCACCCCAGTTCTGCTCATATCAACTCTGCTTCCCTCCATCTCATCAACCCTGTTCGCATCAGCTCCAATCAAACTCCCATCTCTCTTTTGAACAAACCCATCACACTACCAAAATGCTAGGTAGCAGCCAGACCCACAGTGTCTCGATGGACCATGTCCAGTCGAAGTCTCTGAAGAAAGAGCATCATGCCCAGTCCAAACTCCACGGTTGCTCCCTCCTCGGCATCGCCTGGCCAACCACGGATGCCAGCTCCAGAGATAGGCCCATGCCAACTGTGTATGCCTGCCTGGGGGGCACGACGATCAATGACGGCTCTAGCAACCCAAAGTCGGCAAGAAAAAAGCTCTTCGAGAAAATTGCGTCCGCTATCGACGGCCAACTTTCCGACCTTAACGCCAACCCGGTGGATATCACCTACGTCTATGCGACCATCTTCTCCCGCACGGAAGGCTGGGTCGAACAGCATCCGCAAGCGAACGCCGTCGTGCGGGACTTCATCAAGGGCCATTTCCGGAGCCGCAACCGTCAGGTGAATGTCCGCTCTGTTCCGTACCGGAACACCAACACCGCAGCTGGCGTGACCGTTTCGTACTATCCGCACTACTACAACGATCGGAAGGGCCCGGTTTCCATCTAAGGTTAGGCTCTAGCCACCACAGCGACAAAGGGACTCGGCTGCTGGCAGTGGGTATCGTGGTAGGGATTGCTGTGCGCAGCGGCCCGAAGGGACTGCCCGGGAGGCATCCCAGCCAATCATTAGCATAGATAGTACATAGTCACTCATTCTGGAGGACTCTGGAAGTTCTCCAGCTAGCAATCATAACTACAATTTGCTAGTACGAGCTCTGAAGCCTACTGTTGAGACATCATCGTTGTGCACCCTTTGGCTGCATCAAATCTAGAAGCCCTGTTTACCTTCAATCCGGCTGAACCCTCTCAGAATTGGGTCCAGGAGAGGTTCGTCACACTCCTGGACCTAGCTCCCGTTTTGGATCTCTTTGTTATCCCAGCGATGGCGGATCACTGTGAGCGGCAGTTTAGTGAGTCAAATCGAATCCGGTGTCTTCGAGGGAATGGGTGGGCGGTGAGCGAGACAGGCGGAAGTCCGTCTTACCAAAATCGCCGGTCGAGCCATGTCTGTGCAAGGCCGTACATTTGCTGATACAGGAGCCGGTGACCAAGCGGCTTGGTGCTGCAAAAGTCGGGAAACACCTGCCGGACCCGGTACCCGTGCCAATGGTGCGCGCGTTCGAGGGAACCCAGTTATGTGGGCCGTGAGTACGGATATTCCAACGGCCCGCCGAGGTGACATTGGAGTTTCACATCGGCGATGGGCTTGACATACAAGGTGTTTGTGGAGACGCTACGAAATCAGGCGTAACCTTGTGTCAACGCCACAAGAGAACGCAGGAACACAAGGGACATGAACACCGAGCGCGCAGTCACAACAACCTGGAATCCGATACGCAACGGACAACTCCGACTTATTATTTCGCCCCAGCGTGCTCGCTGAGTCCAACCGAATCTCCAGTCACTGCACAACAACCGGGATGTCCAGTCCCAAGGAGACTAAACCATGGCAAACACAACCCTTAGGCCACAATCTTCTCGGCGACCTTGCCGTCTTCGGTGAGAATGACCTTGTCGACCGTGAGCGAAGCCTTGACGGGGTTGGGCTGGTTGTAGACCCATTCGAGCTGTTCGATGGTGCGGCCCTGGGACTCGACACTGTGGGACGATCGTTATTAGCAAAAACAGAACAATGGAGCCCGAGGAAGAGGTGAAAAACCAAAACGTACCCAAAAAAGTACCACGCAATCGACTCGACAACGTCCCAGGCAACAAACACAAAGATGTACTTGTACCCGATCCTCTCGAGCGCAATGGGACCGGCAAACAGGTTGATAAAGCCCATGCCGTTGACGATAAAGGCGGAGAGGGCGAGGCCCTTGGCGCGGGTGGTGGTCTCGAGGGCCTCGGTGGGGATGGCGCCCTGCAGCGGGGTGTAGGTGAAGGAGAAGATGATGTTGAAGAGGAAGTACGAGGCGAGCGCGCCCTGGCCGTACGAGAGGTCGATCTGGCCCGCCGCCGTCTGCTGGTCAAGCACGGCCGAGAGGGCCGAGTTGGTCGCCAACGCCACCGCGCACATGAAGGTGCCGATGACCAGCACCTTGCGGCGCGGCATCTTGTCGGTGAGGCACACGGCCGTCAGGGCGCCGATGGCCGACAGGACCTGGTTGAGGATGTTGTAGCCGAGCTGCTGTGGCACGCTGGTGACGCCGAGGTTCTCGAAAATGGTCGTGTTGAAATAACCGAGACCGTTGCCGGAGAACTGGCCAAAGATGGAAATCATGAGCACCTGGGCGATGCGCCAGCGGCCGCTGTGCGTCATCATGAACGGCCGGTAATCCCACCAGGTCTTGTCCACGCCGTCCTGACGAATGCCGTCCCTCATCTCCTCGTACTCGAGGCGGACGAGGCGCGAGTTGGGGTCGCCGTTGCCGTGGTACTTGATGAGGAACGCGAGGGCCTCCTCTTCCTTGCCGTTGGCGATGAGGAAACGAGGAGACTCGGGGATGAAGAACACGGAAACCATGACGATTAAGCAGGCAAAAGCCTGGAGGATCAGCGGCACACGCCAGGAGTAGTCGTTCTCCATGTAGTTGCAGCCGAAGGTGACGATGGCAGCCGGAATGGCACCGCCGAACCAGCCGCAGTTGTAAAAACCCGTGCAACGGCCGCGCCAGTGAGGGGGAGAAATCTCGATGGCGTAGGCAGGGGCAGCGACCGTCATGACCGCGATACCGAGACCGAGGACAAAGCGGCCCACAACAATCTGCGGGAGATGTGACGAGGTCGAGATAATGATCATACCAATGTTAATAATGACACCACCTGCGAACATGCTCTTCCGGCGACCAAACTTGTCGGAGAGGGTAGCGGCGAACGGAGCGCCAACCATGGCACCACTGCAATACACGGCCCATGTCAGCTTCTTGGCCGTATCGGGGGTTCTTGGCCCGGGACGCGCCGCGACGCGGAGGAGACGTACACGACATAGAGCGAGAAGATGATAGCAGCGCCGGTTCCAACCGCCTTAACGCCAAACATCTCTTGGAAGGGCTTCATGGCGATGATGGACGTCATGAGAGAGCCATCGTACCCGTTCGCGCAAGCACTATTATCATTGAATTAACCGGCAATCCGAGCCACAGACGCGTGTAGGATGAGCATACCAGCAAAAGGCAACAAAAATGGAATCTATGTTGTCGCGGTTAGTTTACATCTTTCTTCTCTCTCTCTCTCTCATTTTTCTTTCTTTCTTTCTTTCTCGTTTAACGCGTTAATTAAAGTTCTTTGCTCACAATAGAGATGCAGGGACGTCCTGCTCCAGGGGTTAATGTTGGCCTCCTGAATGGCAGCGTAGAGCTCGGCCTATGCTTGTCAGTAAATTGAAACGACCGAATCGATTGAAACACAGCTTCGGCCTGGCAACCGTCAAAGACTTACATTGTGCACCGTCTTCTCCTTGCCCTGGACCTTGGGGGTATGGCTGACAGGAACGGCAGCGCTTGCTACCTCGGGAGCGGCGGCATGCTTCTCGCTGCTGATCTGATCCGACCCGTGAGACGACATCTTCGCGGTGGCTCGGGAACGGAATGGCCGGTGTGAAGATGGAGAGTGGTGTCGGGGAGGAGATCAGCACAACCTTGTGGCATCGTGATACATATACACAGTCGCAGCACAGCTTGATGGTTCGAGAACCCTGCTGCATGCAGAGGAAATGGAAGCTTCCCAATGAAGTACCCCAGTTTCCCAATTTAGCCACGGACGAGCATTCTCCGTGCTCCAAAAAGGGTAGCGAGGAGCGTGTACCGCCTGGGCTGGGTTCTGATTGAACAGAAATTCTCCGATCGAATATGGGGACACGGTTTCTCCGCAACAACTCCCTGGTACCGCGGGGACCGTTCGAAGGGAAGAGGATTGTATTTCGCCGGGCTGAACGCCGTGTGCGACGACCATGCGGGAGCGGCCCCAAGGACGAAAATGCGCAGTGTCTGACGGAGGCCGGGCCTGTATTCCCGGGGACTGGTTAGCGTGCGCGCCACGCCCAGGCAAACCGACAGCCCAGAGGCGGGAGCTGAGATGACACGGCAGATCGCAGGATTCAACGGTTTTACCACGCCTAGAACAGCTTTCCCCGAGCCATTGGAGCAATCTCGGGGAGACCAGCGCCGCTGGATGCAAACCAGTGTTTGGCCGGCGCCATCTTTACTCGCAGCGCACCCCTCACATCAGCGGTCCAATTGTGCGCCATCTCCCCGCGACACTGGCGCGGTCTAGCCCCTGAAGGGGCCAGTGGGCCGGGGTGACCATGCTGGGCCTGGGTACCGCGCATCCTCGCGAGCCGTCTGCACGTTTTCTCGTTGCATGTCTCCGCTCGTTTGCGGTCATCCCCTGCCCGGTCATCGCATCAGAGCGAAACCGCAGATCCGCCAACACGCACGATCGAGGAGTCAGCTCCGGTCAAGGGCCCGGAACAATTGGTCTGTGGTTCCGTCAAGCCTTGACCACGCGCATCACATGCCTGCCGGCGTCCACTCCTCTCGAGGCTCGTGATACCCGGACCTTTCCTTCTCAAACCCTCGGGGGATCGAACCAGCGGCCCAATCCAGGAAAGCACTCTGCAGGGCCTGTGGCACACACTCCTGTGCCGCTGCCGCGGGCCCTGGTTGGCGGTAATCAATGGCGTTCAGGGACGGCACCCCTGGCCCCTGACAGGTCGTGGCGTCGTTGCCTGTCTGTTTGCCCAGCCATCAAAGGAGCAGCAAGCCCACCGACTGGGTTTTTCGTCTTCGACCCAACCGATGAATTCTTTTCTCGGTAGTCAACGGTGAGCGGGTACGAAGTATTCCGTGCCGCGCATCGCTTGCTCTTGTCGAGCGTTGGGCTCGCGCTTGTTGTTTCCTTTTCCAGCATGCACGCGCCTTCTGGCCCTGCAGGAAACGGGCCCCCATGGTGGCACTTCCGGGGCCCTTTGAAAGCCAAGACGGATCCCGCCGCCGACTGGCCCCGAGAGTGCGGCTGGGTCCCTTGTCCATTCAGCGAGGTCCATGAAACTTGTCGCCTTCCCTTACTTGTGGCGCCGGCGAGGGCGAGCCGCCCTCGCGAGATTGTGCCACACCATGCACAGCGGCCTGCATCCTAGTCTGAATCGGGAGCTTTGCTGAGAGTTGCCATTGGCTCCTTCAAGGAGCCGCGGCCCGCCCCGGTCTGTCGTTGTTGTCCTTGAGCGAGACCAACAACCTGTCGAGTGGATCAAACGACGCTCTTCTGGTCCGATCGAAGATGGACCTTACTGTATGCAGGTGGCATGTCAGGAATGATCCCTTGGAGGGGCATATGGGGCGAAGGACCTCAACCTCTCAAGCGTGTTCAGCAAGCGAGAGTTGTTGGCAGGGCCGGGAGACGAACCTCGACCGAGCTATCGAGCTCGGTTATTTCTCCTCACGACGGGGGGGCCTCGGGGGCAAATTGAGAGCTTGTACGAGTCGCATCTCGGGCATTGCTAACGGGAAACCGTGCCGGTATCATCGGTCGTGGTCTAGATCGAGAAAAAGCATCATGGATGCCACTCAGTCTTGAATTGACATCAGTCGTCGTCGTAACCGAGCCTCTCGTTTCGCACGAGCTGGCAGTGAGAGAAATTTTGGAGGTCTCACAATAACCACCCACATACGGATGTGTATCGTACGATAGGTAGGTACTCGAAGAAACGCAGCTTATACCCCAAGATCATCAGGATGTGTAGTTCAGGCAAATGGATGAAACACACATTTCCCAAGACTGCCCGGTTACCTGAGGTAGGTGGGTACCTCAGTTACTTCTGGTCAAGGACAATGCAGCCACATTGTGGACGTTGGAAGGTGCTAAGAAGAAGAAGTTCTCGGCCAAGCGGGAGTCCCACCTGCCGCGGAGCGCCTTCCGAGACTTGCAACGATCTGGCGCCGTATCCCATCGACACGCCAGGGAAGGCACCCCTCGCTTACTGCCGTTCTCCCTGCATCTTTTCTCGATCGATGACACCGTGCCAGTGGCTTGCATAATAGTCCGTGCCTGCAATCCTTTTCTTGGCTCGTTCGATTGTTGTTTTCCATCAATTTCGCAGACGTGTCGATATTCGAAAGCTCCTCCTTCGCTGAAACCTCAGCGACCACCGGCGAGCCAGACGTCCCTTTGGCAACTTCCTCTACGCCTTGGGCCCTTGAACAAAAATACAAGCTTCTTCGTACTCCTATTACTTTCAATACCAAGTCACCACAGTTTTCTTTCTATCATCAGTCTCGTTAGGGGAAGCCACATCAACCCAACCATCACTTACTACCCAGGTAGTTTACACCAACCACAAATACCAGCAACTCGATCTCCTCCACGGTACAACACCTAGGAAACCAAGAACGGGTCGCCTGAAAACGCAATCGATGAAAAACAAACAAAGCGTTGTCAAGATGGCAGACGACCTTTCCTTGCCGAGACCCTGCCATTACCAAACCATACCGTGAGTTCGAATGCCTACGTTTGTGACTCCCCTCTTCTTCTCCCGGCGAACGCGGTTGCCACGCAGAAAGTCCTTTGCGCCCATGATGCCGACGCAGAGCAGTGTGACGAGGAGGATTGCAGCGATGCTGAGCATCACAACGACCGGGAACCAGATGGAGGCGTCGACAAATCTTGGCCACACCCCGTCCGGGGGCGAATTAACCATGGCGATGGCGGTAAGGACGACCTGCATGGAGTCGAGGAGGACGGAGCACACGACGAAGATGGTGATGATGGGAGCCAGGGTGTGTTCCAGGAAGGAACCCCATTGGGGGTAGATGTGGTAGTAGGCCAACCTGAACCTGAAGAACATGGCCGTGTTGTTGATGCGCGTCAGACGGAGCTCGCCGTAGTTGTAGCGGTAGTTGACGTGTTTGTCGCCGACTCGGGCGAAGGGCATGATGAACCTGCACCATTCTTCGTAGCTTGGCAGCCTGCCCTTGCCCTTGCCCTTCCTCGGTATCAAACCCAGCTTGCAGGCCTCCTTGAAGTCGATCTCGTATTTGATGAGCATGTAGTAGCTCCGCATGAATCCAACACAGGCCTTGTACAGTGTCTTGTCTTTCTCGCCGGTGTTCTCCAGGTACTCCCAGAACGCTGGCGAGTAGAAGTAGGCCGGGATGGGTTTGACGTAAATAATCTCGTGGTACCAGACGAGATGCAGGCCAGGGTTCTCCGTCACCTTCACGTCGCGTGCATGTGCTGCCTGGTGATGCAGCGGCATGATGTGCTCGTGGGAAGGTGTCTGCACAAAAATGAATCGCATGTAAGGGAGTAGTTCATCAAGCTTGTCGGTTTTGTGTGATTCATCAAGGTACAACAGAAGCGGGTCCTTGCCGTCCTTGGGGCCGTCGTCTAGGCATATACGTGGCTGGCCGGGCAGGAAATTCTTGTTGGGATCCACGGCCTTGAGCATCTTTCGCGTCTGCTCCTCCACTACTTTGAGGTCCTCGTTGAACTTCAAGTCTTCCACGAGGCCGGAAAAGGGCACATCAGTGGGATCTAGAGGCCGGGGAGGAAGCGTGCCAGACGGCGAGACCGCCTTCTCGCTGGAGTTGGGCAAGGCTTTCGACATGTCGTTCGGGATTTGGTGCAACGAGGCCCGATCTCGACCGTAGTTGGGCGTGGCAGTGGTGGCTGCGGTCAGGAACCGTCGTAGGACCTCTATCGCCTCAGTGACCTTCTCTGTTCTGCAACCTATGGGGAGCAGGATGAAAGAATTAAGGATGGTAGAGCGTGATATTTCAGCCAGATGCGTTTGCAGCACAGCGTGGCATGCATGAGGCATCAGTGTGTGTAACCCAACACCTGCGTCTGCCTTGGCGCCACTGAACTCCCATTGGAAGAATTTCCGTTGCCCCATCACATTTGACGAGACGCAATGGGGGCCACTGACCGGGGTATGCGGCTGGCAGCATGGGTACGTACCCCCCAGCTGAGGATGGTGAAGCCGAATTTGGGAGCCAGGCACAGCAAAGTAGCCTATAGATATTTCCTCAAAACCTGTAAGAAAGCATAAAGCGGAGGGGGGACTTCATTCCGGCGTTGTGTGGGCTGGAAGAGGCAAACAGCCTAGGTACCTCCTCTTTGCCACAGGCCGTCGGTCAGGGGTGAAGTGCTTTCGTTCGGTTACCTCGCCGGCAACCCAACGCACGTAACAACTAATATCCCTTAAACGCACACACTCAGCCCGGCTCGGGCCCCAACAGTTCGAAGTGCATATGGGCGACACCAAACCAAGGCAACGAATTAAGGAGGTTGTGTAGCCATTTGGGGAGCGAGAAGTAGAGTGTGGTTACAAGGAAAGGGAAGGGAATTTATTATTGCAACTTATGCTGAGGGCACGCTAAGCCGCCCCCAACGAAGTGTTTCACTTTTGCCAGCGTGTGACCGGATCTTGCCTCAAGCCCGTCAGCTCCATCACTAACCCCAGCCACCAACCTCGAAATGCATCACAACATCGCCAATCTATTGCTTCTCAAACCCGCACCAAGCCGCCTTCCTCTTCTCCAAGAACGCATCCATGCCCTCCTTCGCATCCTCACTCTTCGCGTGCAACGCCATCACTCTCCCCGTCCACTCAACCGCATCCATATAACCATCCCCCCCACTGCCCTCAACCTCCTCCCCATCCGGCCCAACAAAATCCCTCCCCGTCAACCCAGCCTGCGTCCAAAACGCCCACTTCCCCATCGCGCTCTGCTGCGGCGACATACCCACCAACCTCTCCACCGTCCGCAACACCTCCCGATCCAACACACCCACCCGTCCCTCCACAACCCTCACCACATCCCCCACCTCCCTGACCCCCACCTCCTCCGCCATCGCCAACATCCAAAACGCCCTCCCATTCCCCACCCGCCTCCCCACCGCCGCAACGGGACTCGAGCACGGCAACCCCAACCCCGCACCCGGCAACCTCAACCTGACACCCGCATGCGCCACCGGCAAATCCGCCGTCAGCGCGAGCTGGCAGCCGGCCGCGACGGCGGCGCCCTGGATGCGGCCCACGACCAGCGCCGGGCTGCGCCGGATCAGCGACATGACCTCGGCGCAGAGCCGGAAGGTTTCGGAGACGGCTTGCGGGGTGGGCGGGGTGCGGAGCTCGCGCAGGTCGTGGCCTGAGCTGAAGACGGGGCCGTGGGAGGCGAGGACGAGGACCGAGGGGAGGTTGTGCCGCGCGGTGGCGAAGGTGCGGGATGAGGTGAGCCAGGTGTAGTCCGAGTCGTCTTCTTCTGTGGAGAGGGGGGTGGTGGGGGGGTTGGTGAGGGTGGCGTGGGATCGTTCGAGTTTGGAGAGGAGGGAGGGCTTGAAGGGGGGGAGGAGGAGGGTGCGGCCGGTGGTGGGGGAGGTGTTGGCTTTGAGGAGCTGGTCGCGGAGGGAGCGTAGCTCGGTTAGGGAGAGGGCGTTACGCCGTTGTGGCGTGTTAAGCGTGATGTACGCTGCGCGTCGTGGTAGGGCTGGGAGAGACATGGGGTGGTATTGGCGAGCTTGTTTTGGATGTGATGAACTGTAATGATTCGAGATTGCTTTGAAATGGGGTTGGCTTTTGAGTGATGAGACCATGCCGAGGTTGATGTTGACAAACGGGAGGGGTAGTTTGGGAAGCCAAGGGGTTAACCCTAACCCCGTTACATATTCGAGCATGGTTATCGTATGTATGTGGATTGTTGACATCCAGCATAATGAATTTGGACACCAACCGCAGCTAAAAGCATCCAGCAAGACTTTATTGCTAACATCCTCGACACGGATCAGTCCTCCATTATATTCCCCCTATCCCAAGCAATAAGTCCTAGTCAAGCCGTGTCCCCTGAACACGCCTCCGAACGAAATAAAATACCAAACCTAAAGCCCAAAGCCCCACCAAAATGAGTGCCTGTGTCGGCGCAAATGCCGCTCCACGGACGACGACAAACCCGCTCACTAGGGCAAATATGATGGGAATCAAGACGAAGGGCTTGTAAGGCCTCGCCAACTCAGGCTGGCGGTACCGAAGAATGATGGCGCCAAGGACCGTCAGAAAGAAGAAAGTGTACTCTCCCAACCCATTGAACGTCAGAAGGGCGCGGAAGTTGCCTAGCAGAATATAAATGGCGGCGAGAGCTGTCGAGAGAATGATGGCGTTGATGGGCGCGTCGGGCTCAGACTCCTTGTCGGGGTCACTCTGTGCATGCTCTCGGTCAGGCCCAACCCGACCGACGACGGCGAGGGGGCGAGGAAGCCAGTTCTGGTTTGCTGCCGCGACGGCCATGCGGCCAGCGACGAAGGAGTTGCCGAGCAGAGAACCCGCAACGACGAGGCAAATGAAAACTGCCGCTACAATTCCAAACCCGGGCCCGAGCAGGCGTGTGATAGCCGTCTCGATAAAGCGTTAGCAACTGATCTTTGAAGAAATGGAAACGATAAACTTACCACTGCTACGCTGTCGGTTGTTGCAACCACGTTCCAGGGCAACAGAATGTAATATACCGCATTTGCGGCGAGGAAACACAGAATGATGCTGGGAAGGGAGGTGTTGATGGCCAGAGGCAGTTGGCGAGCAGGAGCTGAGAGCTCCGCGGAGATGTAGATGGCCTGCGTTGAATGTGAGCATTTTTCCGTCAGTTCCCCTGGACTCCCTAGGTAGCTTACCTTATCCCATCCCGAGTATGCCCACAAAGCTGCATACAAAGCCGCCGAGAGATGCCCAAACATATCCCACTGCCCCAAACCGTCCCAATGCGTGACACTGCCATCCGGATTGACACTGTCCCTGTACCCGAACCACGGCTTCTCTCTCCAGTCCCCGCCGCCGACCTGCCGATTCGGGTCGACAAGCTGTAGCACGACAACGACAACTCCGGCCAGGACGATGGCCGCAATGGTGATAAACTTGGTGGCGACAAAGAAGTTGTTAAGCCGTGTGCTCGCCTTGGTGCTGATGGAGTTGGCCACGCCGATGCAAGCTAGCACTGCAATCGAGAGCAACTTATGCACAATCCTGTCTCCTTCGCCCGTCACTCCAGCGGCCGAATAGATGCTCTCGATAAAGACGATGCTCAGGATGGCCAGAGTAGCAGGCATGACAGCAACGACCCATGTCCACGCGGCCAGAAACCCAAACACATCCCCGAAGATGTACTTGAGATACGGCTGCACTCCCCCTTCACCCGGAATCGCCGTGCCCAGCTCGGCCATGGTACTCGCCCCCGTCCACGCCAACACACCACCGACCAACCAAACCAGCAGCGCCGCACCGGGGGACGGCACGTTGGTGTCAATCGACCCGGGCGACGTAAACACGCCGCTACCGATGACGATGCTGATGACGATGGCAAACGCCTCGACCGCGCCGAGGTTGCGGGTGAACGTCCCAACTCCCCCACCAACCGCCCTCTCTTCAGTATCGGCGTCCCCGACCCCATCACCGGACGCCCGGCCCTCCCATTCCCGCTCTCCACCCGTAGTCACCGCGGCGAGCAGCGGCCTCCGCTCGGGCCCTCCGTCTTCGCTCGGTGCAGACATGGCCGAATGGAACGTGAACGGTCCCGACCTCACCGCCGACGCAACAACAACAATCTCGTCTGGGCGGCAACTCGAACCGATGCTGAGCTCCGGAATGCTAGCGCTACTATCGCTCTCGTCGACGTCGGAAAACGGCGGCGGGCTGGACGGCGGGGTGATGAAGAGGGAAAAGGACACGAGCGACGATGCCGCGTCGGGTGAATCGAGCGGGCTGGGGCTTGGGCTTGGCGGTGAGGGTCGGACGATGGTCACCGGGCGCTGCTGGAGACCCACTGCCACTGCCGCCGCGGCGTCTGGGGCCTGCTGCTGCTCGCTCGGCACGCCATCTTTCCCCGCGTGGCGTCGTCCCCAGCCGCAGGCACCGTATTGGCTGGCCCCGCGGCCGGTGTGCATGGGTCGCGGCAATGAGCCGCCGGCTGCTCTGAGGTTTGGCCGCTGCATGCTTTTTTTGGTGACGCTTGGTTGAGAGAATGCGGCGCTGATTGGCCGGGTTTGGGTGTCAAGTTCCAGTGGTGATTGATGACTCGGGAGCAGAGGGCGGATGAGAGTTTGTCGTGGTTGGCTCTGAGAGGAGAGGAATCAACAGCTGATTTGTGGTTTAATGAAATCACTGGAAGTTCTAGAGAGGTCGTCGTTGCAAGCCGGGCGACGGATTGAACAGGAGGAAGACGTTGGAAGCCCAATCAGTTTGTTGGGAAAAAGACGAGCTGTTATTCCACAAAGTTGAATCTTTGGTCGGCAGCTAACAGTCCGTGTTAGGAAACTTAGGTGACTGTTGATGCCAACGGCTTCGACCTGATACCAGGTATGTACCGAAGTAGTAATGTAGCGTTCCGCCGGATGGTAACAAATAGCACCCCATGATCCGCGCCGACCATGCCTCACAGAATTTGGAGACGCGGATTCATCTGGTTTTACACTCATATACTTGCACTCAATTTCCTACTACCTTGAACAGTGTGTATATAGTAGAGATCACTGGCCCTAGACTTTGAACATCATTCAAGCTCTCGAACACAGGAAGGGTGAGGTGGGGGGGTAGGGGGGTTTTGGTAACGAAACAGCAGAAGAACAAAAGTATGTGAATGGGGGAATAAAGCAACCCACAATGCTGGAGTGCAGTGATTCGGGATCGGACTACACAACTGTACTTAGGTAGGTATTGAGTCCATATATTCGATTTGTGCTGTGTCAGCGGTGTCAAACGGGATCAAGGTGACCCAACACAGAGCCCAAAACTCTTTCATTCAAGATCCCAACTAAAGCACTCTAGACCCCATAACGCCTCGTCTTTCCCCGCAACGCACAAGTTCATAGTGGTGTCGATCTTGGTCACGCATTTACATGATTACGAGCGGTCTATTAGGGTCAAGAGAAGAGGAAAGTCAAAAAAGAAAAAAAAAGAAGAAAAAAGAAAACAAGAAAGAAGAGCCGGGTGTTTATTATTATTCAACGCCTGTTCCTAATGGACTAGCGTGAGTTTTAGAACACATTCATCAAACCATACCGGCGTCATCAAACAGAGTTCTGCTCTGTGTGACACCTTTTACGGCGCCAGTTCTCTATTATCGTGTTGCCCGATTGTATCCTGCTAGTGATCCAGCAGAATCGACGGAACGTCTTCAAAGACGGGTGCAGTACCCCACGACTCGATTTCATCAAATTCGGTCTGCGTGCAGGTGGACTTATCAAAACAGTACAGCAGCATTGAAAATTGAAGAAATGGGGTGCATAATATAGAGCCTCGGAAGTGGCCTTCGACAGAAACTATCATTGGGAAATGGTGCCCGCTCGGAACATCCTTTGGAGTGAAGCTGGCAGCAACAGTGGTTCCCACCACTCGACCGGAGTGCATGGTGGAGCAAACCCTCAAGAAAAGCATGAATGATGTGTGGCGGCCAATAGAACACCCAAGGATGATTCAATACAAGGAAAAACAAAACTCTTTCCTTGTTTAATTTGGAAAATACTTGTGTGGGTTGTCGTTCCTCGTGAAGAACGAATTGCAACACCAAAAAACATCGCCTTCCCTTCAGCCAAAGTTGTAAGAAAGGCTTCACTTTCCGCCAACGGCGAGACTCATTCGCAACATTCAGATTAAAAGTGTGACGCGCTCAGTAACCAAATGCGTTACGTCAGTTGACCAACTTGCCATGACATTAAAAGACATGGCTGAGAAAACAAAGGCACAGACAGCCTCCAAGATTTATGAGAAACGGCGGCCGGGTACCGAACCTTGTTTCTAATCCTGGAGCACCTGATGAACCGACCCGATGCCGTCAGGCCGACATGGTTCTCAACTTTACCCGGCCACTCAACCCCACTGAACACGAAGATGACACGCCGGTTTTGCTGTAAAACGCAGAGACATCCTGGAAAGGCCGGGCGAGGACTTGGTCGAAACAACCGCAAACATCACCATCCATGCACTTCATGTACACGGCTTGGCTGGCAAGCGAAGATCACGGCTCGCTCCATGTGACCGGAAACAGGCAGCGGACGCGGACACGGGGTTTGGACAGGGTTAAAAAGCATGGACGGGGGACTGGCAGGGCTGGTTGGCATGGAGAGCATGAGCGAGGAATGTCGCACTCCATGATGCGAGTCAAAAAGGGCGGCCTGCGAGGCTGCGGCAGTTGGCCGTGGCTTGGCCAACCTCCCAGTCAGCTCGCGGCAATCTGGAGCCCTGACGTCAGTCAGGGGGCGACCGCGCCCCAGTCCCCATTCTTCGTTGAACCTTGAAGCGCGCAGTGGCGAAAGGAGGACCGATCCCGTGGACTCGGTCCCGATACTTTCGTCCGAACTTGTGGTAGGCATCATGCCCGTTTATTGATCTCTTGGCATTTTTTTCTTTCTTGGTGCTTCCTCGAAGTCTACCTAACGACCAAAGACGTTCCTATTTACACATTCATCTGAAAACCGGTAAGTAATCGTGGGTTAAGGGGGCACGGTTCTCTCCGCTCCCTTCTCAGAACGTAACAAAATGCACGCCCTTCCGTCAAACGCCTGTGATGTGGTCGTAACACAAATGCTTCCCATCCAAAACACCGCTCGCCGAGTTCGTTTGCCAGTAATCCCGCTGCCCTGGCCATTCCGATGAAAAGTCCATCCCCGGGTAATTTTCTTTGTGCTCAAAAAACCGTCGAATCGAGGCCGCGCGCGTGGTGGTATCAACGTCTTTCGGTCGGTATCAAAACAAATCCGCGCACAATAACCCCAACTCCTGTAAAACCCGCACAGCCGTAACAAAGCCAAAAATAAAGTGTGTCGGCGGCCGACGTTGAAGAGGGCGCGAGGTTGGCAGACCCGGGGGTCCCAAAAACCTTCAGTGCCAACGACCCAAGTCCCCAGTCGATCCAGACCCGTCGGAGGGATGGCGATGTCATCCTCGGCGGTGGTGAACGCGTCGCCCTTGCAGTCGTCCTCGGTAAGTACGCTCGGTCGGTCAGGACACAATCGGCGGCAGGTAAGCTGTCAAAAGATGCCGTTCGTCCAGCCGCCGGGCTTTAGTATGGTTCAAGGTGGCTGTATTGGTACGGCCGTAACATCTCGATGTCGTCATCACCTCCTCCCCCTTCGGGCCGACCCCCCTTCCTCCCTCCCAAGCCTTCCGGCATAGCGTTGCTCATTTCTTGCTCCGGCTGGAAGACGTGATCTTGCTAGTCGACATCAAGTCTCCGATATACTTTTGGAGAAACTTGTTGTGGCTATCGAGTTTGTCATGCTCTTCCTTTACCGCCTCGATTCGGTTGAAGAGGGTGACTAGAGAGTCCTGCAATGCTTTGGCGTGCCTTCGCGCAGCTAAAGTTAGCTCGCTGTTTCATCTTCTGGCGCAGACCCTAGGCCGTCCGTCGCAGGCGCGAAGCCAAGCCACTAGGCCTCTCCAGACTCACCTTTCTAGCTCGGCCCTCGCCTCTTTGCCGAGGGTTTGGATATCTTCGCTCGTTCGTCTCGGGCTCATGGCCCTCACGTCGTCCGGACCGGTGTGCACATCAACCGGCCCGACGTCTGTGGAGTCGCGGGGAACAATCATGGTGCCGCTGCTCTTGCGGCTCGGCAACTTTGGTCGCACGGGTTTCGGCGCGTGGATGGGTTGGTCGATAGACGTTCCTGATGATGAATCCGACCAGTCCGGACTTGCAGTTTTGTGCAGACTGGCGTCTCCCATTATGGATTAGGTGCCGACGAGGCGTATCTGATGCAAGGCTGGTCGACCAAGTCGTCTTAGCCTTGGGAGCGGGCTCGCAAAAGGTTCGAGTAATAAAGGGCTAGCGATGTCTTGAATGTCATGAGCGGAAATGTCCAGCTCCTCCGAACGAAAGTCAACCCAACGAGGTCTGTGTTGCCACCATCCGACGGGAATGGAATGGGTGGCGCAGGGTTGGGTATGGTCGAGGAGTTGGGGTGGTGGCGGTGGTGGTGAGTCGCGGTTGGGAAGGGTTGAGTCCGGGCGGTTCTGGGATGGAGGAAGATGGAAGTTCAGGGCGCAAATTCGGAGCGGAACCTCTGAGGGGTAGCGCAAAAGACAGCTCACAGTCCACTCTGGGCGGCGAGGCGGTGGTGGGGGCCCCTGGCCAGGGCCGCGGGTCCTGCTCGTGGAGTCGTGGGGCCGACTGGGACCGCCGCCAGCAAAATGGACGAAGGACGTCAGTGGCCCAATCACTCGGCAAAACGGCGAATTACTGTGGAGGCCAGCTTGGACAGCGGAGACCGGTTCAGGAGTGGCCACTCGAGGTGGGAAACAGCTGACTGAAAGAGGACAGGATTGAGGCGCGGGAAAAGCCGGCGGAGCGCAATTGGGCACTCGCTGGCTGACCAGGCTTTTGCGGCAAGACCTGGTCGATTTCCGGTGGATGCTGGTGTGTGGGAAGCGGAGGAGAGGCGTGAGAAGGAGCAACGCAGCAACGCAGCAACGGCAGCGGCAGCGGCAGGGTGTGTGGTGTGGAGTTGCTGGGCGGGCACTGGCGGGTTGACGGGGGCTGGTCAGGAGGTGGCTCTGTCAGTGTGTCTGTGTCCTGTTTCCACTGCCGCGATCAGCAAGCCGTGCCTTGGTGCACACTGGGCGTCGAGTGGTTGCGAGGGGGTGCTCCCTCGGTGTGGTCACAGGAGCGGAGAACCGGGACTTGTTTTGGGCTGCTTTCTGTGGAAGGCGGGACGACGATCGGTCGAAAGTAACGGCGTCAGGGTCAGGGTCAGGGCTCAGGCCCGGGCTTGGAAAATGACGCGGGCTGCGAGATGCTGCTTCCCACAAACAAGCCCGCGAAGTTCGGGTTTATGGTTTATTGTTGTTGGGTGACTGGATCAAAGAATACGGCCGTCGGGTCGAAGCGAAAGGAAGCAAAAGAAGGTTTTCTGAAACATCGGCAGCGATGAAGCAGGGCGGGAAAGAGGAGCGCCCGCCAAGGGTCCAACAACTTGCGAGGTTCATCGGTCACGTTGGGTTTTGGGCGTTTGCGGTCCCACTGTACCGGAAAAGAACGTAATTTCCAAATCGATAGTTCGTTTCTCCGCCCGTTTCCTGCCTCATTGCCTCATGCCTCAGGCACGATCCGCCCACACGTGTCGGGGACTGCACAGTCAGGGTGCAACAACAGCGGCCGGGGATCGGCACAATGACGCCAAAATCCGACACATTCATTGGTGTACTGCAGCGGGTCTGCAAAGGACCCCCAAAATCGGACAGCAGGGGTCAGCACGGTCAGATCGTCTTCGTTTTGCTCCATGATGCAGTGGCTGCAGAATGGGATTTTTTTCATCCACCACGACCGAGATTTCATTTCCGGCATCTTGCTGCCCGGGCACATTCTTCGTTTTCCCGGGTCTTCCTGCACCCGTCGCAGCATCCCTCCAGGCAAAATGCTAGTTTTTCTCCCGGCGAGGAAACCGAAAACGGGAACGACCCTGCGCAGGCGGCAGCGCTTTTTAATTTCGTCGCTAATCGGATGCGGGAGGCGCGTTCGTTAACGAACGAACTTGGATGCAGATTTGTTCCAGGTTCAAGTTGCAGACTCTGATTTCCGCCCGCCCCCAAGGCCGCCGCACAGCCAGCAAAACCATGCCATGCCACACGCGGATTGAGGGAACCGCCGCGGCGTCTTGGTTGCAACTCTGCCTTCCCTGTTTGAGCAAGCGTGAATCCAGGGCGCTTCCCCGCCGCCACTGACGAATGAGCGGAGCGAGGATTGGACCCTGATTGATGAGCCCGAAGAGGGAATCGCACTGTGTCCCCTCCATGCACGAGACAAACCCAACGTCGCCGACAAGAGGACGATTCGCGGAGAAGCGCCATTCTTATCCGGCGGAGGATTCAGGACGTCACCACCCGAAACGGCAAGACGGACGGTTCCCCACCCTCACCACCCCCATGCTCGCTCTCGTGATGGTTCTGAGTCGGGCTTGACTCATGGCATAAGTAACCGGTCGTGGCACCATCGCGTCTCCCTTTCCCGCGTCTCACGGTTCACAGCCCAGCCGGTCCCGTCGGTTGGTTGCTCGCGGGTTGCAGCAGGGGTTTACGACAGGGGGCTTTGGCCTGTGGCACTCTGGTTCGATAACGAAGCCGGCGACGATTAATGGAAGCAAACATAACCTCATTTTCCCGGCGACGACACGAGCCATCGCGCAGCAACCTAAAACATCAAAAAGGCGCGAGAACGGGAGCCTGAGCCAATCCCAGGCCGGCCAGTTGGCGGAGCGGAGGAAGGTGCCGGTTCCGCACCTCAACCGGCGACCTCCCATCGCGCTGGAGTGGCTGACAACTTAAAGTTGGTGCCCGTGTGTGGAAATACACGACCCGAGGGCATGGGCAACTCCGAGTGATCGCAAGGGCCGCCAGTGAGGAAGAAGCTCACCGCCTGAAGCTGACAAAACGGGCGCTGGGCTTTCTCCAGAGGCACTCATCACTCGATGTCACCAGGTTGTTTGTTCGACCCCTCAGACAGAGAAAGCGTCTTGGCTGTCGCCGTCACCGCCTTGCTTGAGGATTTCCCGCCCAACCACATGAATCGCACTGTGTCGACACTTGTCGATCGCTCCACGGCCGACATACCCGAGCCAATCTTTGCCGACAGCCAGGAACGAATCACCGTTGTGTTACACCGTGTCACCTGCCGACCTGGTTTTCGCGGGAGGGAAAATTCAGTCATGATCCCAACCCCGAGTCGCGATATGTTCTCACAACGTCAGTCTGGCGGTGGCTCTCGCTGCGAGGCGCCATAAACCGACTGGCACGTCGATCAACTGAGAGTCATGTTTTCCGAGCCGAGCTCGCGTCTCAGGCTCGTGCTGTCTTTGAGCAAGCTGGAGGGGGAGCTGTTGAGCGAGGCCCCACGTGTGCCCTCTGAGGAGGCCTTGAGGGCCCGCTGCGGTCAGTCAAGGCAGCCCGGCACTCGGCACACGGTGCTGTGCCAAGCCTGGTCTCATGGCTGAGATGAGCCACATGTAACACCCAACTCTCAACCGCGCGCTGGCAAACAGGCACTCGTTTGAGCAACATCCATTCCTCTCGCTGTCCGCGTGCAACCGCCCAACTGTGCCCGGAGGTTGATCACCGGCCCCGTTCCGTCCCGTCTTGACTGCCCTAAGGGGACAACGAACCTCTCTGAGCGAGTTCTGTACTTCGTATCCCCTGCCAAAACCCAATAACGAGACGCGCTCATCCTCATCAACTTCCTGCACGGAAACCACGGCCTCCGCCCGATCGCTGGTCCCATCGTCCCCACCGGGATGCTTCAATCTCACCCACAGCCCACCACCACACGGGCACGGCAGGGCTGAACCACAATTGCCTTGTTAGGCCAGGCTGGGACAAGCTCCTCGCAGCCGAAAACCTTCTGCACCAACTTCGCCGGGTACCCCTCCCTTTCCTTTCCGTCATCGGTCCGCTTCCGCAAGGATTCGAATCAAGGAACCAGCCCAAGCTTGCCAACGGTGCCAAGTTTAGCGTTGCCAAGGCTGAATCGAGACGGGTCGCGCCGTCCGAGTAGGAAGTATGGGAGTCGCTTCCATGCGGAGTCCTGATCTGAGGAGTCGAGAGTGAACTACCACGTCGGCAACTGGCCTGTGAGGGCTTGTGAGTGAAGAACGTTTCAAGGCCCGTTTTGCAACCCTACTCACCGGTCTGGCCACGACAAGGTGTGGGTCCCAACCAACGGTGGCAGCGGAGAGGGTGTGTGAGCTTGTCTGATGCCATGTTGGCGACCGTTCCTAACACTCGGTCTCTTTCGTTTACACCGCCAAACACCGCCATGGTACCTTTGAGATCACTCTAACACGACATCCAGTTCCCACGTTGGGTGTGTTTCTGACACAAAACTGATAACGCATGTCAGGATGGAACCGATCAACGACAAACAGAAATCTCAATTCTCATCAGCACAGAATGCGCCGATTCGTCTCCGAGGCCGGCTCTTCCAGTTAATGCTCCGCAATTAAGCTTCGTGATATTACGGTGGAGCCCGAACAGCCCATTTCGAGTCATGGGACGTGGTAATGCATGAACATTGCAAGTGTTGGGAGGAGGGAATGTGGGCTTGAAATATTTGTCAATGAACTGAAACATTACTCGCGAACGAAACCCACCCGCTAGCCCTGCATACCCTGTTGCTTACATTTGTCTGTCACATCAAGTGACTGAAGGATTTTGAGCCAAATGCCGTCCCTTGGAAGGCCCGAATCGAAAAAGAACTCACGACAACACACTGGTGCTTGGCTTGCCTTGAGTCCAGTTTATATCCACTGTTACGTGTCTCCCACCGGTCTCCAGGTCAAGGGAGCGGGAAGACCTGACGAAGTTTTATCGCGGCGGTAACTCGCTGTTTTTCGCCCAGAGAGGTTAGAGTCTGAGCATATAGCGCCTCCAGGCCAGCACACCGAACACGTGGGTGGTACGGTATGAGGAATCAAGGCACGGTGGAATTTGTCGGTGCTGCGTAGGTCTCGTCGTCGCCGAGCTAAGTTGCAACTCGGGATTATGCTCGCGAAGAAACGCAGATCAAACTGAGCTATGAGCGGGTCGGAACTCCTCCGACTGCTTCACCATGTGCTCTCATGAGTTGCTGGAACCAATATAAACGGAACGTGCTCCGAGACAGAAAGCCGCTCGCCACTATTCCACCGTCAGGTACGCGTTGAACTCCCGCCTCTCGAGGCAAGACACAGTGATAACTTCTCATGCTCAAATCACACTCCCACATTCCAGCTACTAAACGGACAATAAACTAGTTACGGCCCCACTAGCGGTGATCCCCGACAATGAAAATACCGAGACAACACCAGTTGCACATTGCGGGTAATGTTAGGACTGAATAGGGACAGAATTGAGTGCGATATCGCGGCCAAACGAGGCGTAGCACTTTTTTAACTTGTAGTTACCTCCCTACTCATGGTCTCCATTGGTTGAGTTGAGTCTCTACCGAGGGACTGGGGCATGCAATAAACGCCAAGTGATGAAGGGCAAGAGATTAGTTACGGAGAGAGAGTTTGAAGTACATGCTAAACTACACCACTGAAACGTCATGGTACTTGAGGTATTACCTGATAATTATATCGGGAACTGGTATAGTAATATTTCAAGGTTGGAAGATCTTAGAACAGTCCTTAAGCTCCTTTATCGCATGCAATGATAATCTTGAACCCTGGGATGCCATCAGCTTTGTTCTAGCGCAGGGATAAGAAAGATATTATGAACATGAATGTCAGGTTTTTTGGAGACAATGGATATTGCATTCGACATAGGGGTCTTCGAGTTTCCAGGAGCCATAACGGACACACCACATCGGTCTCTACTTCATATTTAACAGTACAGACACCTGGGCATGTCTAGAGTTTCGGGGTTCTTTACCTATATACTTATATATATATATCCGTCCGGACAACCACTTCAGCCCCACAGACATCCGAGTCAACGCCCCCCAGGCAACGTTCCATATTACCAAAAGACGACCTAGAATAATCATGGCAACTAACGCGAGCAACCTTCGGGCCGCCCACCACAACCCCCCCAGCGTGGGCGAGCTACCAGTGGGCGAAGCGCCACCTCTCTATGATGGCGTGCACCGTAACAACGGGCGTAAGCCGAACATGTCGCAGATTGCCAGCGAGCGCGACTTTTGGATGGGCATGGCTGAGTTCGGGCCCTGGATGCCCGCCGTCGGGCACAGAATGGAGCCGATGCTGGCGGAGTTGTTCAACCACCGGCAGGGGCTGGAGGAGCAACGCGACGCCCTCGACCACCAAATCGCCCACCTCTCAAAGATGATCAACTAGCTGGACTCTGTTCTCCAGGCGCCCGGGGGATCCGCCCGCCAGGGCGGGCCCCAAGAGCGGCCGCAGCGTCGCGGCACCGTCCAGCACGAGGAGGCATCCGACCGCGGCCAGGGCTTCAAGGAGCAGACCGCTTCCTTGGGCGATGGGGCCTCGGAGGTGGAGGCGGAGGACGAGGACGAGGACGCTACAGACCCCGGAACCCCGGCGACTGAAGGCCGTCATGGGACACCGCAGCGGGTTAGGTTGGACAAAGCGGGAGGGTCGTATCCCTGGCTAGGAAACTGAAGGTCGATTTGAGTATGACCTGTTCGCCTTCTCGCAGTACAGCGTCGCACCTCGTTGCCAACGGGAGGGTGGGTGACTAAAAACAATGTAACTTGTATTTGAGACTGAAAAAGATTTGAAAATTCGGTGACTGTGTTAATTTCCTCCTGTGTGAAGTGTAGGTACAAAAAGACAAAAGCTGGGTGGGCTGGTGCGGTGGTGATGCCCTCGGTCGACGGCTCCGGGACTCCCTTCCCGCAATCATCATTATAGCAATTGTGGTTCCGTCACCAGACCTCTTTTACAGGTCAGTAGCTTGTTCCGCCGGTAGTGTTGGCAACGTCATGTCCAAATGTAAACCGGCCTTGTCCTGTAGCTAAATCGGAGATCGGAATTTGATACTTCTGTCCGAGCAGAGACCGACCACCCGCAAGGGGCTGCGGCCGCCGTCGTTATGAATGCACCTACGCTGATGTGGTAATCCTGGGATCAAGAACTGTTCATCACTGCCCCTGCAAGAAGTTCTAGGAGAAGGTCCTCGGATGTTAGCCAAGACTCGTATGAGGAAGGTTGGCGCATCTGTTTACCCCCTTTTGGGCACCAGCTGAATATTCTTACCGCCGTATGGCGGGTCCCAAAGGCCATTGACAGCTTACTACCTAAGCGGAGTTATCCCGGTCTAAGGAAAAGGAGCAGCCCCAGGCGAGTGAGCCGGAGGCTAGCCGTGGGTTGCTGGCTTAGAACCTTGGATCGATTCGATATACAGCCCGCTCCTTCCTCTAAGCTGGTACCCAACTGCTCTTGTCTTCGAGAGCGGTCGCTTTGGCTTACAGGAAGGAATGACTTCAACAAGTAAGCCGCTCAAGATCACAAGCGAAAAGAGAGGGCTTGTCCATGTATTTGGGGGAGGCTGGAGCGTTGTTCATCGTCGAGATCACTTGGTCATGGCTCTATCTCATACATTGGATAAGTCTCCCGAGGAAAAACCACAGATTATGCTAATGACGCTGGTGGATGATGTCCAGTCGTTGATCACCAAGGTTTGAGGGAGTCGTGGTCCAGCGTGACGGGGTAGCGTTTGAGCGGTCTCTTGGAACCAGCACGCATGGAATCCAACAGGTGGGATTCTCGCTGTTTACGGAGTTAAGGCGGACATGGACATACCGACGTAGTCAGCGTGGCTGACGTCTTATTGGGCATTTGACGAATATTTATATCATACAACTCCCTGCGACTTTTGCGAGGTGGGCGAACAAGCATTCCAAAACACATCAAATTGCACCAAAATCCACCAAACACACCGATACTCGCCAACCATGTCCCTCAACGGTAAAGTAGTCCTCATCACCGGCGGCTCTAAGGGCATCGGACGCGCCACCGCCGAGCGGGTAGCCGCCGACGGCGCCTCCGTCGTCATCAACTACCTCTCCGACAGCAAAGCCGCCAACGAGGTCGTGTCCCAGATCGGCGCCGACCGCGCGCTGGCCGTGCAGGCGGACGCCTCCAAAATCGCCGACATGGAAAAGCTGGTCGCGGCAGCCGTCGACCGATTCGGCAAAATCGACGTCTTGATGCCCAACGGTTCGCACACCCAACCCAACCCAACCCAACCCAACCCCTTACCCCTTAGCCCTGACCTGACCCCAAAGCGGATTACTACTAACCACCGCCCCCCCCCCCCAGCCGGCCTGATGCGGATGCACGATCTGGCGCACACGTCGGAGACGGACTTCGACCAGCACTTCAACCTAAACGTCAAGGGCCCGCTGTTCCTGGCGCAAAAGGCCGTCGCGCACATGCCGTCGTCGGGCGGGCGCGTCATCTTCGTGTCGTCCGGCCTGGCGACGTCCAGCAGCGTGCAGCCGGGCCACCTGCTGTACGCGGCGACCAAGGGCGCCGTCGAGCAGATGGTGCGCACGCTGGCCAAGGAGCTGGCGCCGCGGGGCATCACCGTCAACGCGGTGGCGCCGGGCCCGACCGCGACGGAGCTGTTCTACAACGGCAAGAGCGAGCAGATGGTGGAGGCGCTCAAGAGGCAGAGCCCGTTTGCGAGGTTGGGCGAGCCCGCCGAGATCGCGGGCGTCGTGGCGTTTTTGGCCGGCGAGGAGAGTAAGTGGGTGTCGGGCCAGACGCTGCGCGTGAATGGGGCGAACATGGTGTAGGTTGCACATGGGGTGAGGGATGGAGCGAGGTAAAATAGCATTGATGTATAGGGGTATTCTAACGACAAAATACGATCGCTCCCTCTTGCATTTATCCTACCTAGTATGTAAAGCGGAATCCCTCCTGGTGTGTGTTAGTCTATTACAAACAATGTTCGGGGGGGCGTTCAGGTCCCTTACCGTGTTCTCCAAAACGGCAGACCTCTTGCTCTGAGACTTGTTGGCAAGGTAAAAGTGGACGGAAAGCCCAGCAACAACCGAAATCATCAAGAGATGCGACCTGAATAGCATTAGACGCGGGTGATGGTGCCTGTGAAGAGCTGGACATACCCTATCGACACCCAAACAGCCGTAGCATAATATGGCGCCTCGAAATTGCGCACGATGAAACTCCCGGCAATGCCACCAGCGCCGTTGAACATGGTGCAAGCGGCCGCCGTAAAAACGCGTTTCCACTGCCTAGAACCCTCAGATTAGCCCTCCGAGCCCTCCTCCTCATAACTCCACACATGAGACAAACGTACCCAACGACATTGTTCGCCTGATACGCCGTCAAGGCGGCCCAGTTCCCGACGTAGGCCCCCGTCGCCAGGAAGACGCCAAAATAACGAGCGCCTGAGTTCTGCGCAAAACCCAACACAGCAAAGCCGGTGATCAAACACAGGGCGTTGAAGACGATGACGGGGCCCCGGATGCGGAACCGGTCGGCAAAGTACGACGAGACCAAGACCGGGATCACGGCGTAGAAGTAAGGTGGTGCCGATAGGATGATTGCAGAATCGGGCGAATACCCCAATCCATTTTCGAGGATGATGGGAACAAAGTAAGCCAACGCGGTGGAAACGGTATTTTGCATAAAGAACAGCGAGGCAAAGACCCAGACTTTGGGGTCCTTGGCGTGGACGAGAACCTTTGCGAGGGCAAAGTCCTGGGCGACTAGGTCACCGCGGTCGGTCTGGATCCGCTTCGCGACAATGCCGACCTCGTCGGGCGTGAGGAAGCGGAAGCTCCTGTGCGAGTTCTCGGGGAAGTCGATCATCCACCAGTAGGTGACCAGGCCGATGACGCAGGTGCAGAGGCCCTGCACAATAAACATCCAGCGCCAGCCCTCCAGGCCGCCCCGGCCGCTCAGCCGGTTTAGGCCGTAGTTGACCAGGCCGCCGGTGGCGAGGATGATGACCTCGCCGCTCTGCATGAAGGCGAAGCGCAGCTGCTGCTCCCGGCGCGGATACCACGTGCTGATGAGGTAGGACAGGCCCGGGAAGATGCCCGACATGGCGGCGCCCAGCAGGACGCGGAGCACAATCATCTGCTGCCAGGTGCGGACGAAGCCGGTGCACAGCGTGATGATGCCGAAGGCCAGGGTGATGGCGGTGAACCAGACGCGGGGGCCGAGGATGCGCACGGCGATGGTGGAGGGCAGCTGGAAGACGATGCTGGAGATGGTGAAGATGAAGATGGAGACGGAGAAGCGGTTTCCCTGGTCGAGGCCGAGGTCGGACAGCATGGAGGTGACGGCCGCGCTGGATAGGACGCCGCTGTCCAGCAGGTTGAGGCTGCATAAGATGCCGGCGATGGTGCAGAGGCGGAAATCCACCTTGAGCCGGATGCGGCGTTCTAGGCTATCGTCGACGGCCATAGCCATGGTGTCGGTGACTGGACCGGACCCGGTCACATTCACGGCATCTTCCTCGGCTCCGGAGACGGCATCGTCCGAGGGGTCCGGGTTGGAGTCGACTTTGACAGTCTTGCTCTCGAATTGAGCCTTCTTCAGTGGTGCCGCCGGTTCGGGCGATACTGAGTGCGACATGGCTTTCCCGGAACCCCTGACGGAAATGGGTGGGTGGAGGAGGAGAGTTGGGGTTGCGTTGTTGTGAACACGTCTGTCTGTCTGTCAAAACTCGACTCTCCCCCTCCGAGGCCGAAAATGGCCGGGGTTCGGGCCGCCTCTTAGCTTCACTGGTCGCCCTCGGTTAATCCCAACCAGAGAGGCTGGAAAAGACCCACTGATCTTGCTTCCCGCGTCCGACAAATGCTTAATCTGGGCTGACTAATTCCTCGCGAGACTTTGTCACATTGTACAGACGAATCGAAAAACGGTGGACCGGAAGTCCATGCTGTATAAACATGACACAAGCACGCCTGTTCGAATCATTATACCAACCTTGAAGAATACCATACTCACATAACAATGGATGGAAGAGCACTTAGACTAGAAGTACTTAGCTATCTTCCTTCTCCTTTCCTTCTCCTTTTTTATTTCTTTTATTTCCCACTTTTCCCCCTCTTTTCCCTGTCTTCTTTTTCTTCTTCTTCCGTCTCTCTGGTCTTCCAGAGGGTCGGTAGCCTTTTTCTCTCTCTTTTGCTCTCTTTTCGCTTTTCTCTTTTCCTCTTTTTCTTTTTTTTTTTTCACTTTTTCTCTTTTTTCTCCTTCTTTCCAACAAACAAAACCCACCCCCCCCCCCCCCCCCTGTCTTTTTTCTTTCCTCCTCCTTCTTTTTTTCTTGCCCGCCTCTTTTTTTTCTCCCCTCCCCCCCCCCCCACCCCCCCCCTTTCCCTTCCTTTTTACATGGCCTGTTATGCCCGCAGCGTTTTGTCTCCGGGAGAGGATGGGGTAACTCATGTTTACCCATCTTGTGATGGGGCCGGCCCGTTTGACTGGCTCTTCAGACGTTAATATCAGGCAACTGAACGGAGACACAGAGAAAGGTAAGAACAATGATGCGTGCTTGCCATCGTCCACCAAAATTGTACCGCACCGTTTGGCAGATCCTACGTGGCGGTGCTGGTTATAAGCGCAACACAAATTTTCAATCGGCCTGAGATGAGTGCTAGCCACAAGGTATGTGTGGTATTGGGGCATGGAGACATGGAGCGTGTGGGGTGACCTGACGGGTCCCAAAGACCTTAAAGAGCGCAGAACAATTTCGGACTGCGTCCAGGTCAGTCATACTAGTTCATTTCACGAGTGTCATATTTATAACTTGTACTTTAGCTACGACGACGATAATTCCCACGTCGCTGTAGTCTCACGGTCCGTTGTCCAGGGCATGTTCTGGATCTACCAGGCAGCCTGTGTTATCAAGGAGATCCGGTTACCGGCGTACCTTGTTGACCGTGGGAAAGGCCACTTCTACATCATTATTGCCCTGACCGAGACCTTTGTCGACCAGTTTTACGCTGCCTTGCGGCGGCTGACGAAGGGCGGTAAAGTCGTACACTCGTTTCCACGACGAATCGGAAGCTAGTAAGGCCGAAATCCGCCGCTGGTACGTCTAATACGCTTGGTTAATTCAGTCTGAGCAGTTCGATTAATACAATCTAGGGACTGTACGATCGTAGAACATCCAGCGGCAGTGGACGCCCTTGTCGACCACCTTGTAGATGATCGCGGGCTGGTCATATCTGGATACCTTGATGATGATAACAAGACCTTCAAGGCCAAGGCCTTTGTCAGTCGCGCAAGGGCCAACGAGCAGCTGAAGCCCGGGGAATAGCATCAGCACTGTGTCACCCTCAACTTCGATATCGACCCCAACGACACCCGCCCGACTTCGGTTGCTCTATATCCATTGTCAACCTCTTGGCGGTGCAGGACCAGCGGTACGTGGACGCCCTGCTCCAACAGACACTACCGGCCAACCGCGCCCCGTTCCGCGTGTACCTGACGAAGCGAATCCTAGGAATCGAGATCGTCACCGTGGTAGGTTGTGTCCTGGTTATCGCGTTACCGTGTATCGACAGCTCACGGAGGCACCTGGATCTGGCAAGAGCACTTTGTTGTCGGTGGCGGGCCTCGCAATGCAGGCCTCTCTCGGCCAGATACTCTGCTCTGGTCCGTCTAACGCTGCTATCGACAATCTAGCTCGCGGCTTGGATCAAACCATTAGGTCCATCTGCGCAAGGTATGACGAGGTGAACTGGCCAGAAGACTCTATTATGTCCCGTGCCCCCGGTTATTTGAGGGGCAGGGAAAAACGGGGGCCTCTAGTGGATGTAGCGGCCGGAACGAGTCGGGAACGATGGGGATAAAATCTTTAAGTCCGGGTGAACTTGTAGAGCTTTTCGAAGTGAACGGGAATAAATTCACCTTTTTCTGCGAACCAGATTGTCCAGACTCTAGAGCCGTCGTTGGAGACTTCACGAACCCTCATCAACCGAAAGATACGGGGGCAAATGGAGGCCGAGAAGGTTAAAAATGACGAAAACAAACTGGAACCGAGCGCGACCGACGGGCCGCAGCCAGGATGTGGTGATGCGCCCACACTGATGGAAACAAGGGTTTCAGAACGCCTGTCTGTCCAAGACTCACCGGAGGTTGTTCAAAGGCTCGTAACTCCTCCGCCCCAGGACCGGTCCACCCGTGGCTCTGCCGGAGTCGAAAAGGCCGATGGGAAACGCGAGTCGGGAGTCATGGTTGGGGGAGACGAGCCTCAGGACCAGGCCCCGTACAGCGTGTTTGACGCCTGGGAGAAACGTTTTATCGTCTTCATGGTGGCGCTCGCCAGCTTCTTCTCGCCCGTTAGCGCCAACATCTACTTTCCGGCGCTCAACACCCTTGCTCAAGACTACCGTGTCTCAACCACGCTCATCAACTTGACAATCACCGTGTACATGATATTCCAGGGACTTGCCCCCTCCTTTACGGGTTCACTGTCAGACAGCATCGGCCGGCGGCCCCTGTATATCCTGTGCTTCGTCGTCTACATTGGGGCAAATATCGGTCTCGCGTTGCAGCATCGGTTCGCGGCCCTCATGGTTCTACGGTGTCTTCAAAGCTCCGGTAGCAGCGGCACGATTGCACTTGGCAATGCTGTCGTCTCCGATATAGCCAGTCCTGCGGAGCGTGGAGGATACATCGGATACGTTTCCCTAGGCGGTGTGGTTGGAGTCTCGCTTGGCGCCATCCTCGGCGGACTTCTCAGCGACTTTCTGGGTTGGAGATCCATTTTCTGGTTCCTCGTCATTTGCGCTGGTGTCGTCGTCATATTGATCGCTCTGTTCCTGCCGGAAACGGCACGAGCTGTCGTCGACAATGGTTCCGTCAGACCTCCCAACTGGAACCTGTCCCTCTGGGATCTGCTGTCACCCACCAGGAGCAGGAGAACAGCCACGCCAGAGACGGAGAGGTCAGTAAGCGGCCTGAAGGGCCGCAACTTTGTCAACCCCTTCATGACACTCAGGATATGCGCCGACAAGGAGGCAGGCATCGTGCTCCTCGCCAACGGCATCATGTTCGCGGGGTATCTCGCCATGGTAAGCGCCATACCGTCGCAGTTCCAGAAGCTCTACGGTTTTAACGACCTCCACATCGGTCTCTGTTTCATCCCCGGCGGAGTGAGCGCCGCCATCTCCGCCATCGCCGTCGGCTACGCGGTCGACTGGAACTTTACCCGCCACTTGCGCCGGCTGGGCGTCAGCGCCGGAGAGGCCAAGCAGATGAGCCGGGACCTCGGCAGCTTCCCCATCGAGAGCGTCCGGTGCGAGGTTGCGCTCCCGATGTTGGTTCTGGCCAGCGTTTCCTTCATTGTGTACGGCTGGCTACTCTCGTATCAAGCCAGCGTGGCCGGGCCCCTGGTCATGCTCTTCTTTGCCTGTTTCGGGGTGAACGGCTTCTTCACCGTCCTCAGCGTCCTCATGGTGGACGTGTATCCGCAGGCTCCGGCCACGGCGACGGCGGCTAACAACCTCGTCCGGTGTTGGCTTGGGGCTGGCGCGTCGGCCGTGATCGTTCCGATGATAGATGCCATGTCGAGCGGGTGGGCGTATACTTTTGTCGCGTTGGTATACCTCCTGCTCGCGCCCTTGCTCTGGGTTATAATGCGCTGGGGTCCAGCGTGGAGGGCAGCGCGCATTGTGGCGGAAAAGGCGCGGGTGTCGAACGGCCTGGACGTGGAGGCATGAGACGGTGGTATTTGGTAACGGAAACGGTGATTTGGCTACCTGTGTAGTAGAGACGTTTGATTCCCAACTGCTGAACTCTCAACATCGAGGTCTGCCAGAGACTCAGGTCACATTTCTCGCCCAAAGAACATCTGTCGCATTCGGAGCCTGCCAAGTCCGTCGTCGGACGGCTAGACATGTGCGTGGAGTTCCCATTCACCCGCTCGATACAGCACAAGTTGGGCTTGGCCGTCGTTGGGATGGTTTAATGAAAGGACGCATTATAGACTGGGAAGTTAGCGTGTTTCCACCGACCTGGACAGTCCCCCACGTCGAAGGGGAAACGGAGAGCTCTGTCGGCAGGCTGCCTCACTTGCCGTTGTGCCCCGACGGTTCTATTCTAAGATTCAAATCCTAAAAAAGCTGGCAGCTCGAGCTCATATTGGTGGAGGTTCTTCAGGCACCATGGCCGTTTTCAGATCGCGTTTTCCTCAGCATCCTTCCTGCAAGAGGATGAATCACCGCTGTAATTGGAATCACCGAACACCGACATCCTTGGGCTATACCCAATACAGAAGGCAATCATCAAATATTGCCGGAAAAACCTGCTGGATGAACTCGAGACGTGGAGTTTTGTTGGGGCACGACTTCCACTTCTGGCGAGTTGTTGTTGGAGCGGCTAATGCCTGCTATTTCTGCTGCGACAACGTGAAAAATCTGACACTTGGATGGTGCGAGAGACTCGCCTCGGACGCGAAACAAGGGTGAATATTTTCAGCGTGATCAAAAGGTTGCGTTTGATGACGGCGCTGGTTGGCCCTACGGCGGCGCTTGTGCGGCCGGGCTCCACGGGGATTCAGGGGCGGCATCCGGAGACGGGCCGAGCGGACTTGGCATGTCGATCCACACAGCGCACTAAAGGCAACTACCGGGATGCGGCTGGGCGGTTGGTGGTGGTTGCGAGTCAGGTACCGAACTTTGCCCGTCGCCGTCGTGGCGGATCCGAACCGGCACGGCGGACGGTAAGCGGGCTTATCTCCTCGGGGCCGAGGCCGCCCGTCGGTGAGGCGACGGCGAGGCGACGGCCACGGCGATTTGTGGCGCTGAGATCATCGGGAACAGCGCAGATGCGAGATCGGAAGATGGTCTGTCGAGCCTGTCTGCCGAGCATCCATAGCCAAGGCGTCGGCGTTTCCCGTGTTTCTTGAACCACACCTCAATCCCAACAAAGCCGCAAAGTCTCGGCGCATCTGATGGAGGGCGGGGTCTCAACCACAGGCTCCCTCGCCGCACGAGTAGAAACCATTGGCGACTGTGAACACACATTGCAAGGCAGTTAGTTGCATTCGAGAATCAAGCCAAGAAGCGGCTCTTGTGACCGGCACTGACGGCACAGAATTGTTATCGGGTTGTTGCTGGCGCTGCAAGTCGAGCTAGGCAAAATAAAAGTGTAGTCGAAAAAAAAAAAAAACGTGGTGTTGCAGCGTGGATACAATGCTCGCCGGCCTACCAGACCGCTCGTCTCCATGTTACCGAAAAGGTCGTGATTCCTTCTCGGCCAACCTGGAGCAGCGGGGAAAATTGGTGACCGCTTTTCTCATTCGAATACCGTGGGTCCCGTGGGGACGCACAAACGTGGAGGAAGGAGGGGTGTAATTTTTCAGGGTCTTCGGGGTTCCCCAGACTGCGAAAACGAGAATGAAATTCGAGTGAGGGGTTGCGCATCATCGCTCCATTGGGGTTTCCCCGAGTGTGGGAAAATAATGTTTGGGGCAGGTGCCACCAGCGTCATGCGGGATGTGGGTTTGAAGGTTTCATCACACGGCGCACGAAAACATGCGGCTTTCCCCAGAAACGCCTACGGGTACGAGGAGTTCGATTCATGAATACTTGGGATACGACGATGATAACGATAATTAACGAGATGTGCGCCTTGTTCGATAGTTTTGCAGACCGACTCTTGACCCAGCCTGAAAAGAGAAAAGAAAAACAAGACAAAAAAGGCCAGCCAGGGATGCGATCGTCACGCCTCCCGCCGCTCAAGACCGGGTCCGAAGTTTACATACGAGGAACTCCCCTGGTTGGTTCCGGATTTGAAATCCTATGTGACGCCACGGTCCCACCGTGTGGGCAAAGGAACAACGCCATTTTCCGGCGTTTTCCACGCCAAGCCTGTTGTTGCCTTCCTTGATGCGACTGCATCGGAGGTTTCTGCGGATTCAGACGAACGCGCCTCCCACTGGCTGCAGCTGCGAATCCATGTGATGCTGAGTTTCATCGATTTATCGAACATAGCACTGGCATGTGCACGCGGGGAACACAGCAGGAAAAGAAGCGTTCAAGCCGCGCTAAACCCGCGCCAATTCCTCAACTCGATCGCGGCGCTCCATCTCTCCCCAACTTACCGCGACGCTACTCGGTATACAAGCCTTCTTCACAGGCAAGCTTTTCGGGTCGACAGGTGCCGAGAGGAGCCAAGTTGACTTGGCAGTTTTCGAGATACCCACGCGATGACCTCATACTCCACGGCTTGGTGGAGTTGACCGGGCCGCAGGAGGGTCCAACGTTGGAGGACATGTCTCTGTGGCTGGCCTATGACAATTGTGTCTCGCTGCTACGAGCAGGGATGGTATCTCTGTATTGCCGATGATCCCAATCCTGACTCCGGGATTTGTCACATTCTGCGACAAGCCCATCGGAACGAGATCGCCTCTCTTGCCATCCAGGAACATGCAACTCGCCCGAAATCTACGCGAAATCTCGGAGTAACGTGTTTGCCTCGGCCAGGGTGGCCAGGCACCCAGGGACATGGCTCCTTTCACATTCGTTGTGTCGTCCAAAGTTCTTCCAGATCTCCCCCACGGTGGCTGATACCGGGTCATAACGCCGTCTCCGTCCGTTCCACATGGCCGGTGTGCTGCCGCATGCACGACCGACGTCCGAGTGAGACCCTCGCCCCATCTGCAGCTTGGCCTTAACTCCCCTGCACATGTCTCGCTATTTAGGAAGACGTCTTCCCCCTCTCTCGACTCTCCCCGGATTGTCGTTTTGCTCCTAATTCATCCACCCCAAGTCTTCGACAATGGCCCCTCCCAAGTTTATGGGCCTTTCGGGCAGGCCCCTTTCGCTAGCAGTTTCGACTGTTGCGACAACGGGCTTCCTTCTCTTCGGATATGACCAAGGGTAAGTATTCTCAGCGGCATGCGCCCGCGGCTCCCAATAATAACACCTCGACTAGTGTCATGAGCGGTATCATCACCGCCCCGGCCTTCAACCACATGTTCAAAGAAACCGACGACAACCCGACGATGCAAGGGTTGGTCACCGCCATCTACGAGATCGGCTGCTTGGCGGGTGCCATGTTCATTCTCGGTGTGGGCGACCTCCTCGGCAGACGGAGGGCCATCATGCTGGGTGCTTTCATCATGTTGCTGGGCGTGATCATCCAGATCACCGCCATGCCTGGGGCATCACCCCTCGCGCAGCTGATCGTGGGCCGAGTCGTCATGGGTGTCGGAAACGGCGTGAACACGTCGACGATCCCAACCTACCAAGGTGAGCCCGAATATTTGGAGAGTATATGACATCATGACACTAACATGACGGAACAGCCGAGTGCAGCAAAACATCCAACAGAGGACTCCTTATCTGCATCGAGGGTGGTGTCATCGCCTTCGGTACCTTGATCGCCTACTGGATCGATTACGGAGCTTCCTACGGCCCTGATGACCTCGTCTGGCGATTCCCCATTGCCTTCCAGGTCATCTTCGCCATCTTCATTATCGTTCCCATGTTCTTCCTCCCGGAGTCTCCCAGATGGCTTCTGAGCCACCAGCGCATCGAAGACGCCGACAAGGTCATTTCCGCCATCCGTGGCTACGAGCTCACTAGTGAAGAGACCCTCCTCGAGCGCAACCTCATCATGGACTCCCTTCGCGCCGCCGGCGGGTTCGGCCAAAAGAGCACCCCGGTCAAGGCTCTGTTCACGGGCGGCAAGACGCAGCACTTCCGACGTATGCTCCTGGGCTCCAGCGCCCAGTTTATGCAGCAGATCGGTGGCTGCAACGCCGTCATTTACTACTTCCCAATTCTCTTCGAGGAGTCCATCGGCGAGGACCACAACATGAGTCTTCTCCTGGGCGGTGTCAACATGATCGTCTACTCCATCTTCGCCACCACCTCGTGGTTCCTCATCGAGCGCGTCGGCCGGAGACGCCTGTTCTTGATCGGCTCCATCGGCCAATGCCTCAGCATGGTTATCACCTTTGCCTGCTTGATCCCCGACAACAGGATGACGGCCCGTGGTGCCGCTGTCGGTCTCTTCACCTACATCGCCTTCTTCGGCGCCACCTGGCTGCCGCTGCCTTGGCTCTACCCGGCCGAGGTGAACCCGGTCAAGACGCGCGGAAAGGCCAACGCGGTCAGCACGTGCGTCAACTGGCTCTTCAACTTCCTCATCGTCATGGTCACCCCCATCATGGTGCGCAACATCGGCTGGGGCACCTACCTCTTCTTCGCCTCGGTCAACGCCTGCTTCATCCCCGTCATCTACTTCTTCTACCCCGAGACGGCCCGCCGCTCGCTCGAGGAGATCGACATCATCTTCGCCAAGGGCCACGTCGAGAAGATTTCGTACGTCAAGGCCGCCAAGGAGCTGCCGCACCTGGAGCCGGTCGAGATCCAGCAGTACGCCAAGCAGTATGGTCTCGTTGAGAGGACTTCCGCTGAAGGAGGCGGCCGTGACGCTCGCGACACCGAGGAGAAGCCCGCCCTCAGCGGTGGCTCGTCCAACAACAGCAACGACGCGGTTATCAACGAGCGCGGTGCGGATGCTGGCCTGGGCGATGGTGTGAACGCGTCTGACCGGGCGGACCGGGACTAGATTTGAGAACGGCAGTGTGTGGAGAGGTTGAGCGTTGATTATTGATGAGATCCAGGAGACAGGCCTGGATGATTGGAGATGTGTTGTTTTCATTCTTCAAGAACTGATGCCGTAGGGTTCCTGTTGCGGTGCAACATTGGAAAGGGATGTGGGCGGCCTTGTGCATACGGTGCTTGATCAAGGTAGAGCAGGATACCCCGGGGACGGTGTGATTTAGACATGACCATAGATGGTTAAAGGCTAGACAGGATCTTTTATCTCGAGAGCATCTAAACCTAATAGATGACTACAAAGGTTCAGTTCACCTTATCCCCGCTGTTGAAGCGTTGTTTTCCGGTCATATTAGTAGCGCAACGCCCTCGCCGAGTCTGGCCCGACACCCCATGGCCGGCATCCGCACTTGGAGTTCGGCTTTTTTAGCCCATGAGCTGCCCAACAACAACTATAATCCCCGATGATTGCCAACCCTCCATCTCTCACACACCCACCGCCTCCAAACGGAACCCAAACTCCATCTCCTCCACCGGCACCAACAAATCCTCTCTCACCCCCGGCCCACACGCCGCCGTGCCCACCCCCGCAACCCTCCCATCCAACCTCAACAGCGTCGCCTCCTCCTCCACCAAATCACACGGATGCCTCGCCGCCTGCACCACCCGATCGGCCACCGTGCCAACCCGGAAACTAAACCCCCCCTCCTCCTCCCTCTCCCCCCCCTCCTTTGACTCCTCACCAACCTTCCCAACCCTCACCCCCCCACCCCCATCACCCCCACCACAAACACTCACCCACCTCGTCCCCATGCGATTGCCCCCCTCCTGCGGCACCTCATACTCGCCACCCTGTAGCTCGCGCACCTCGCGCGGCCCCCACACCCCGACGCGCTGCGCCGCACGCTTGTCTGGGTACGACTCGCCCGGCCCGAGCCCCCGCCAGCGCACGGTGGATAGGGTGGGGGGCAGGCGTAGGTCGAGGCCGGCGCGTGGGATGTGGGTGGGCGGGTAGGAGCCGGAGGGCTGGAGGTGGATTGTTATGGTGAGGGCGCCGCCGGTGGTGGTGGTGGTGGTTGTGGTGGTGGTTGTTGTGGTTGGGTGGATGGTGTAGGTGGTGGTGGCGAGCAGGCCCCAGTCGAGGACGGGCGGGGTGTGGAAGGTGGTGAAGGTGATAGTGGTGGTGGGGGTGGAGGCGGTGGGTGGGGTGATGGATGTGCCGCGGAGTTGGGTGGTGAGGGCGTCGACGCCGAAGCGCTGCCAGTAGGCAAACGAGGAGGCCATGTCGTTGTCTGTGGGTGGCCGCCAGAAGGAGGGCGTGATGGCGGCGCCGGTGGTGGGGTCTGGTGAGAGGAGGGTGGTGCCGTTCGCGCTCCAGTGCGTGAGGTAGCCGAGCGCTTGGTCGAAGGTGAAGGTGAAGGTGTCGCCGGTGACGGTGATGGTGCTGTCGGTAGTTTTGAGGACTGGGCCCCGAGGCAGGCTTGGTGTTTCCGTTGGGCTGGGGGCATTTGTTGCTTGGAGGCGGTGTTGGAACCATGCTATCTCGTGGCCGGCGCTGGCCCATCGTGTTTCGGTTTTGAGAGTGAAGGATACGGTCAGGTATACTTCTGCGCCCGCCTCACATTGGAAGCGGTGTGCTGAGCTTGGGAGGGGGACCTTCACGCTCGAGCCCGGCTTGACTTCCGGCAGTATTATTGCGCCAGAGGCTAGCAAAGTTGTGCTAAACGCATGTTAATGGGCTTTTCTGATACGGGCCAGGGCTTCTCACCTGTCGGCAAACTGTTCTAGTTTGTAAGTAGCAGCGAGGTGTTCGAGTCCGACAAACTGGTAGAGGTTTGAGATTACAAGCTCATCCCCGTCGATTGCCACCTTCACGGGTTCGATGACCTTCTTGAGCTCGATCAAACCAGGGGTCGGCTCGTGCGTGCTGTGTAGTAAGCCATCCATCACGAAGGTGCCGTCGTTTGGCACATCCCCAAAATCGCCACCGTAAGCGTAGTACGACTTACCGTCGGCGTCCTCCTTCCACAGGCCGTGGTTCGCCCACTCCCAGACAAAGCCTCCCTGCAGCCGGGGGTGAGTGCGGAAGGCCTCCTGGTATTCCTCCAGCCACCCCGGCCCGTTTCCCATGGCGTGGGCAAATTCGCATAATATAATGAATCTATCGAAGCTCCCGTCTGGCTTAACGCCCTCGGTCTTCGCATGCTTGATCAGCGTGTCGACAGACGGATACATGTACGAGTACATGTCGGCAGATTCGGCATCTGCGTCTCCTTCGTAGTGAACCAGTCGTCCGGGGTCAAACTTCTTGGCGTACTCGTACATGGCCTTGTGGTTCTGGCCGTAGAAGGCCTCGTTGCCGAGAGACCAGATGATGACCGAAGGGTGGTTCTTGTCGCGATGCACCATTTGTTCCATACGATCGACATAAGCGGGCTGCCAGGATATCTTGTCGCTGGTGTACTTTGCAGCCTTTGGAAACGTGAGCTTCTTGCGCTCTCCATAATCCATCTCCTCGGGTATGTTTTGGGGCCGCGCGACGGCGTCGTAGAATCCGTGGCACTCGAGGTCTGCCTCGTCCATGACCCACAGGCCGAGCTCGTCGGCAATGTCAAACAGCCTCGGGTCGCTGGGGTAGTGACTGCACCGGAGGGCGTTGATGTTGTGCGTCTTCATGAGGAGCAAGTCTTTCCGGATGAAGTCTAGGGGGACAGCGCGGCCGAATCGGGGGTGGTGATCGTGTCGGTTGACTCCGTGAAGTTGGATGGGCTGGCCGTTGACACACATCAGGCCGTTCTTCAGCTCCACCTTGCGGAATCCCACGTTCTGACGCACTGTCTGCGTGTTGGAGGGGGTCGTGATGGATAGCTCGACTAAGTAGAGATACGGGGTCTCTGCGGTCCACTTGGCCGGGTTCTTGACCGGGATGCTGAGGTGAATCTTGCCGCTGCTGTCGATAGCGTGTTGTGCCTCGACAAGCACATCGCCTCCGTTTCGAGGCAGCTCTCGAACCGTCACATCGATTCTGGCGGCTTTCGAGGTTACGACGTCAATGGCAGCATCGAGTGTTGCATCCTTGTATTCGGCGTCCAGGTCAGCACGAAGAAACCAGTCCTCGATCCGCGTTTCCGACGGCATGGATATCAAGTGCACGTCGCGGTAGATTCCTGTTTACAATATTAATAACCCCCAGCCGACAAAAACGGCCCTTAGCAAGACGAACCGGAAAGCCACCATTGGTCCTGATCCTCGATGTAAGAACCATCAGACCACTGATAGACCCTCACGCAGACCTCGTTGGGGTGGTCTTTTGTCACGCCAAAATCGGTAATATCAAATTCGTGGGCATTTCTGGATCCTTGAGCATACCCAGCCAATATTCCATTGACCCAGACGTGGAAGGCGCTATCAACGCCATCGAAACGCAGCCGAAGTTGCGAGTGGTCGTCCCAATGGGAGGGCACGTGGAAGGTTCGGCGGTAGGTGCCGGTGGGATTGTCGGTAGGGACATGCGGGGGGCAGACCGGAATAGGGTACTGGACATTCGTGTAGTGAGGGATGCCGTGGCCCTGTAGTTGCCAGTGGCCGGGGACTTGGATGGCCGTCCACTGCTCGTCGGGGGAAGATGTCGGGCTCGGAGCCTTTAGTGGAGTCGGAGCATAGTGGAAATCCCAGCGGCCGTTGAGGGCGAGGGCTGTCTCCGGGATGTGGTAGGACCGCGGAGGCAGCGTGTTTCGTCGGAAAACGGCTTCATTGGCATAGTCCGGTGTGCCATTTGTTTCCTCCTTGGTGATGCCGTTGGAAAGTCTCATCTTGACGGTTGACCTATTGCTGACAGGTTGACAGATTCAATGCAAAGTTGTGGATGGATGGATGAAAGGAGATGGCCATGGGTTGCTCATCACTTGTTTCGTGTCTGATGTCCTGATGTAAATAAAGGATATCCCGTTATGACGTCCGAATTATCGGCGGCATTCACGGCAACCAACACGGTCCGCTCATCGGTCCCGTTTCGGGTATCGGATGCGGGGGAATGGGGAGCGGGGGCGTCATCGGCTCTTAGAGACTTGAAATGGCTGGGCCGGCAAAATGATGCATCACGAGAATATCCAAAATCTGGGCAGTCACTGTATCACGCATGCAGGGAGGAGGAGGGCTGTGGGTTCAACCAAATTGGGAAACCGCAACCTGGGGATGTGAGGGGTCGAGACCGGCAGGTACCATTCGGGTACCTTAGCACACTTATTACGGGTTGGGGAACAGGTTGGACTTATTTTCTTCCTCCACCTAATGGACCTGGACACTTCCAGTCTTCCAGTAGTTTAACCAGTCCGTCAGTTCAGTGTGCCAGTGACGCTAATCCAGCCACCGATTCAATCATAATTTCAATCACCATCGTTTTATTTCTCTTTGACGATGGTCAAACTTGGAAGCTGTGAATGGGAGTGATAGTGGATTTCACGTAGGTACCGACCCTAACATCGTCCATATCACGAGCGCTAATTGTGGTATCCAATTACAGGACGATGATCTGAGAAACCTCCCCCCCCAATATCCCGCCAATCGGTTGCTGCCTTCAAAGTGAAGCCACAGTGCCTGGGTAAGTTTAGCCCGGGCGTGGTTCCATTCGTACTGCCCATGCATTTGGGCTGGCCGCTGGACTCCGGCCCGGGGATTTGGACTGCCTGCCTGGGTTGAAAGATGTATAATCCCCTGAGTTCAAGGCGTCACTATCCGTACGATGAGAAAAATAACAGTTGCTACTAGGTCTTATTGAGTGCCAAATCCAAGGTTCATTCCAGGAGATCTCTTCACCTACAACTATGTTCATCCGAATCTCAAGAGCTGCAGATGATTTCCATCTCAATCTCGGGCAAGCAAGGACCGAGCAGCCTTCCCAAGAAAAGAAGCCATGAAACCCCTGCCGTGGCATCAACCAGTAACCCACGGTGACACAGACCGCCTTCCGAATGCCGCCCCAATCAAGGCCTCGCCCGTCACACGACAGCAATTGCTTGGTGTCCCTTACGGGCAATATCGCCCGAACATACGCTGGTCCAGAAAAGGAAGGTCTGAAGATATCGACCATTCCCCGTACCCGTACCACGGCGCAGGAAATCAAATGCATACCCAAGCGAGTCATTGCATCATGGGTCCCCATGGGGAGACAGAATCTAGGCCCTGCAGCTCTATTGTATGTGGCATTTGATTGAGGGGTAGACGCCCAATATAATACTCCAATTCGAGCTGAAACTTGAAGCTGAAACTTGTTCACCGTTCTTTATCTCTTTTCTGCATCATCGTCATCATGGACCCCAGCGACGAAAAGGCTGCCGCGACCGGAGTCGAGCACGCCGACCTTGCATCCCGCGAGAACGACGTGACTGTTCAGCTCGCCCACGATGCCGACGACACCGTCTACTCGCCATGGTCGCCACGGATGCTCCGCCTCTATCTTGTCTTGTCGCTGAGTTATCTCTGCGGCTGCCTCAACGGCTACGACGGCAGCTTGATGGGCGGTCTGAATGGTAGATATCCGCCATTCCTTCGAGATCGAGCCTTCTTGGGTGTGGCCAAACCTAACCTCGCTTGTGCCCAGGCATGATAAGTTACCAAAAGTATTTCAACATGTGAGGGTTCTATAAGGATACTAGGGAGACTAGGCGGCTGCTGACAAGGACATGTACAGGACCACGGCAGGGTCAGCCACGGGGCTGGTCTTCGCCATGTACAATATCGGCTCTGTCGCTGCTGTCTTCTTCACGGGCCCCGTCAACGACTACTTCGGCCGGCGGTGCGGAATGTTTGTCGGCGCCCTGATCGTCGTCATTGGGACGTGCGTCCAGGCGCCCAGCACCACCAAAGAGCAGTTCCTAGCCGGCCGGTTCGTGCTCGGCTTCGGGGTTAGCTTCGTCGTCGGCCGCCGACCACTCCTCCTCTACACCATCGTGTTCGCGTCCGTGTGCTTCGCCATCATCACGGGCACCAGCAAGCTAGCCACGGACGACCCGACCCAGGTGGCAGCGGCCAACACGACCATCGCCTTCATCTTCATCTTCGGCATTGTCTTCTCCTTTGGATGGACGCCACTGCAGAGCATGTACATCGCCGAGACCCTGCCCACGGCCACCCGCGCCAAAGGCACTGCCGTGGGCAACTTTGCTTCCTCGGTCGCCTCCACCATCCTGCAGTATGCGTCTGGCCCGGCCTTTGAGAAGATCGGTTACTACTTTTATCTTGTCTTCGTGTTCTGGGACTTGCTGGAGGGCGTCTTCATGTACTTTTACTTTCCAGAAACCAAGGAGAACTCTGGAAGAATTATCCGAAGTATTCGAGGCACCGAATCCCGTCAAGAAGAGTCTGGAGAAGAGGAGCGCGCTCACTGTTCTCAATACTGTGGGTGCTCAGAACGAGAAACTGGCTGATGTAGCTTGAACAGCAACCAGGTAGAAAGGGGCAGTCGAAACTTATCCATCTATTCAATTGGGAAGTGGTGTTGCAGGAGGCTAGAAACAAATGTTCATCCTAATAGTGGCCTTTCAAGGTGCAATCTTCTGCCATCCTCAAGAGAGGAAGTGTAGATTCCAGAGGGTTCTTCAGTGGATTCACATCGGCTCCGAGTCCTCACCTACCCTAAGCTTAGAGGATGGGATTCACATTTAACCAACAACGGCATTCAATACCCCATGACTCCTTACGAAATAGGGAAAGAGCAACGAGTTTACATACTCAATCCAGGTTCACAACCGCCACGTAATTCCGACACTCCGATCACTGTGTCCACGATCGTCGTTTTAAATTCTAACCCCTTCGGATAACAGTGCCAGGCCGTATTGACCCACTGATTCAAACCGGTGTGATATATTCCCTATGCCCCTCAGTGCAGTACAAGACAACAATTGACTCCTCGGAAAGCCCCAAGTTCACCCGCTCGGTCTTGCAGGACTTCTCTAGAGCGGCGAGAGTAGAGGAGCCACAGGGCCCTGCTTTGAACCCATGCACTTCTAGTTCCTGAACAGCATTGTGTGCTTCCACATCACTCACCACCACGGTACCGTCAATCCCCAACTTCAGGATAGGCCAGGCTGTGGTAGACAACGTCCCACAGTTCATGCCACACATGATGCTATCCCCAGTCGGCACGCTAACCATCGTCCCGTTCTCGAGCGATGCCCTCAAGCACGCCGCCGTGTCAAGCTCGACAGCAAGCACAGCCGCCGCCGGGCTATCAACACCCCGTTCCCTCGTCGCGCTCTTAAAGTGCTGCGCCACGGCCTGAGCAACCGAGCCGCAGCCGACGGGGACAACAGCATGCGTGGCCGGTCTGCCGCCCGTCATGCGAAGGACTTGTGCATCTGACTCATCCAGCATTGTCTGGTAGCCTTCAACAACCCACTAACGCGCAGTTGTCAGCGGTGACACCCAAACCCCCTTGCAGGAGGAAACCCCCCAACAAAAAAGAAAGGGGCCAAAAAAACAAACCTGCGGCACGACCTCAAACCCCTCCCACCCAATATCCATCACCAACACCGCCCCATCCCCACCACCCTCACCACCCCCCTCCCCCGCCGCCCGCCTCGCAGCCCCAGCCGCGTCGTCATAATCCCCCTCCACCACCCTCACCTCGGCCCCCTCCCCCCGAATCAACCCGCGCGTCGCCTCCGGCACGTGCGCCGGCACATACACCACCACCGCCACCCCCACATACGCCGCCATGCGCGCCACCGCCCGGCCCCAGTTGCCCTCCGTGCACGTCACCAGCGTGAGCCGGCGGCCTGCGGCGCGCGCCGCGGCGCCGAGGGAGGTTAGAGGATCGAAGGGCGGCCCGTTCTTCTGGGGTGGTTTTGATGGTGATAGGAGGTTGGAGATGGCGTCGATGCCGAGGGCGGCGGCGACCGCGCGGTAGACGGCCCAGGAGGCGCCGAGGATCTTGAAGGAGGGCAGGCCGGCGCGGTGGGACTCGTCTTTGAGGAGCACGTGGGCGAGGTTGAGGGCGGTGGCGACGGCGGGGAGGCTGTGGAGGGGGGTGGGGGCGTGGTTGGGGAGGAGGCGGTGGAAGGTTTGGACGGGGGTTTCGGTTTTGGTTTCGGTGTCGGTGGGGGGAGGGTGGTTACCTGTGGGAGAGGGGGGTGTGTAGCGCCAGGATTTGGCGGATGGGTTGAGGAAGACGGGGGATGGGGATGGGGATGGCATGGTGTTGGGTTGGGTTGGGCTGGTAGTGACAGATTGGAGTGTGATTGATACTAGAAGGGTATGGCTATTGATCGGTGGTGGTTTGGGGTGGAGAGTTCTCCTGCTTCGGTTGCGATGCGGGGTTCGAAGCTCAGCCGGGCCCGAGAAGAGATCAAGCCGGCGCAATCCCGGGCCGGTACCGGGACAGGAACGGCATCCACTAGGGCCTGGTCGGGGAGCGAGATGATGGCCGGAGCAGCGCTGGTGTTGCCAGTTGCTTTGAAAGCTTGAAATCACAATCCCGTTCTGGATCTGTACCTAAGGTACTCCCTAGTCGATCGAGCCGGTATTATGGAAAATAATGTGACACGGCCCATTGAGGTTGCGTTCACTAACACCGTCCGCCGGTACCTGAATGAAAAAAGGACCCAAATAGAAGAGACTGGCCCCCGTTGAACCACCAGCCTGTAATGACATCAGACATCGTCAATCATCTCATCCGTCAAAAGTCTACCCGGCAAGCACCTCCAACCAGCACCTCGTCTGTGCTCCCATCCTCGGTGACGGGGGAAAGACACCCATCACTTCTCCAACCTCTTCCTGCTCAACTGAACCGCGATGTCAGAAGTCGCACCGTCTATCCAATCATTCATCAAAACAATAAGGTGGTTGACGTCGCAAGTCCGCAGGATATTGTCCCTGCACCACGGTAATGTCTTGGAATCGCACAACCCCTTGGTGGCCAACAGACAGCTGGTGGTGACGCTCGACTCCAGAATCGAATAGACCACAGCCTTGATGATGTTGGACGCGGTCGCCTGGCACTGGATGTTGGTAAAGGCCTTGCCCTTCTGCTTGCCCGCCGTCAACATCTTGGGCAGCGCCGAGAGGATGCTGTCGCCGTCGAGCGTCGCGTTGCCCTCGTCGGTGTAGGTCGACAGCGAGTCGACGCTGTCCAGCATAATCAGGCGCTTCTTCTCGCGGCGCAGCTGGCCGATGGTCAGCCGCTTCATGTCGGTCAAATTACCCGCCACGATGCTGCCGTCGGCGTGGCGCAGCGCCTCGTCCAGGTACTGCTTCTTCTCCTCGCGCGACGGCTTCGCGCACACGTCGGGCACGCCGTCCCACCGCAGCTGCACCACGACGATCTCGGCCGGGTGCGCGCGCAGGAAGCCCACGACGCCGCGCAGGAAGGCGTCGTACGCCATGCCCGGGATCGCGCTGTGCTGGAAGTACAGCCGGTCGGGCAGGGCGCCCGTCGGAATGACCGACTTGTGCAGGTGCGCCGGGCGGAACTCGAAGTAGCGCGCGCCGATGGCCAGCATGGCCTCCAGGCTGTCCTTCTGCGTGATGGCCAGGCCGAAGATGATGTTGGGCGCGATGAGCGCGATGGCGCTGGCCGAGAGCTTGTCGGCGAGCTTGACCAGGACCCGGTTGTCATTGATGAGCTCCGCGACTATAGCGCCGCCGACCTTGCGGAGCACCGCCTCGCTGCTCTCCATGCTGTTCATGCCCACGTCGTGCGCCGAGGGGAGGACGAGCCGCGCGAACGGCTTGTTCTCGAGGTCGGAGCCCGGCGGCGCGACATTGCCGATCCAGTTGGAATAGTTGGGCGTGACGGTGATGTAGCACTGGTGGCGGTTGGGAAGCAGGTCATGGCCCCCGCCGGCCTCGTACATGCCGTACGAGATGATGATGTCGTCGCCGTGGAAGATGGAGGGCGTGTTGGCGATGGACTCCATGGTGCCGCCACTGGCGTTGCCCGTAATGGCGTTCACATCGATCCATTGCTCACAGATCTGCTTGCCATGCTGAAACACCTTGAAGGTAAACCTCCCTCTCTTGTCGAAGAAACTCTCAATTGCGGACGTCTCCACCTCTAAGCAGACATCGCGGAAGCGGTGCAGCTCCTTGACTGACACGCTTTGTCCAGGGACCGACAGCTCAATTGAGCAGCCATGGGCCGCGAGGTAAGTGAAAGCATGGACTCCTTTGCTGGGCATCTTGACTGGTCTGGTTAGCGACAGCAACGTCGTAGATGTGGGGGTTGGAGATCTGGATCTGAGATCTCTCCATCAGGGGGGCGGGGAGAGGTGGCCAGGGGGGGGTCTTAAAGACTGCCGCCGTCGGCTTGCAGCAAGCCTGAAACGATCGAATTCGGAGCTTGGCCGGTGCCAATCCCAGCCGCGGCGAGGGATTTGACCGGCTTCACCAATCGCTGGGCTTCATTCAAGTGCGTGTGGAGGCTGATAGTCGCTGAGCCCCCCAGCCCAGCTGTGATGGTGCAAGCCCCAAGCATGCGTCGCCCGTGTGCGGGGATAGGCCATGATGGGAGCGGGTGAAGTTTCTCTTCTACACTGTCCACAGTATAACTAGGTAGTTAGTACGAATGATAAATGCAGTTCTTCATCCAAGCAAATTACCCCTGAATCCGAGACACGCAAGCTCCACAGCCACGAGTCAAAAAGGGGCTTAGACGGGTTAGGGTTACCCGCGATATTTGGTGGATGACTTCATGTTGTTGAGAGCTTGCGCCGTTCAATAGCTTAATTGATGCAAATGCTCATGTCAATTAGAAGACGCGCGTTGTCAAACACAGTCAGATACTCAAAACAAGAAATGCAATGAAACGTGGGGTTCCCACCAAGTGCCGCGTCGGCAAGCCACATCAAACATTTCTTCTGCTTCCTACGCCGCTTTGCCGCAGCCTTGCCTCCAACGTCTGATGGAGATAGAGGGGTATCATCCGGCTGTATGTCTGCATGCCCGAATGGACGCAGAATCCATTAAAGGGTGCCGAAGTCATCTTCAAGCGCCCTCGGTGACCGGTGCGTCCCCGCATTCTTTGTCCAAACTTCAACCTCCCCCGAGTCCCCTCACAACTCCGATGCAATTCGGCTCTAACAGAGGCAAAACACCTCTCCGATTACAACGTTGCTACTCAAAAGCCAGTTAAAATGTCCACCTATATAGAACAGGTAATTTTGACCGCACCTTTCCCAGTGTTGCTCGGCACATCCTCGACCTCTACCCCAAGAAGCTAAAGTAATGGACCACGACTAATACCCCCCTCACAGTTACCCCTTCCTGCCCTCCCTACCGGGGATTTCTCAACCGTCACGCCCTTATTCAGAAACACAACCAACAATGGCCAACCACAAACAGCACCTCTCCCACCAACATACCCCAACGCAGCATCACTAAACCCGCCCTTCTTCGACCCAACTGCGCCCGCCCCTTATCACGCCAGGCAGTTCAGCAACGGCCACCCAACCTCCAGCGTCCACAGCGACAGCACCGGAGACTTCATCACCCCACCGACCCACCCCAACCCCGAAATGCCCAACCCAAACCATCACCACCACTACCAACCCTACCACCATCAACCCCCCTACCACCACCACCGCCCATCCCGCCCCAGCCCGCCAAGCACCGCCCGGCGCTGGATGCTGCGCATCAACGCGATCCAGCGCTCCGAGCTCGGCGACGGCCTGCACCTCCCGCGGCGGAGCAACAACACGGCGGCAGAACCGAGTCCCAGCGGTGGCGACGGCGCAGCAGACGGCGGAGGGCGTGGTCAGACGCCGACGCCGGGGTCAGTGGCAGCCGCACACCAGCAGCAGCACCACCAGCATCGGCGGCTGGTGAAGAAGCAGCGGGAGCGGGAGCGGGAGCGGGAGAATAATGAGAATCACAGGGGGTTGGTGGGTGGGTTTCGGGTGCTTTGGCATCGGGGGTGAAGAAAGGGGTGGCGGGTTGATGGTGTGGGGCGGGGTATGTTTTCGTGGGGGATGGACGGAGTAAAATGGCAACTATGGGGATTGGGTGTGATTGAGGAGTTCTGGAACGTCTGGTTATTCATTTTGCTTGGGTTAGCTTGGGTTCGACGAGAACCCCCCCTTGGGTCTGGATATGTGGAAAGACGAAAAGGGGATTGCGAGATACGTTTGGAGGGGCGAGATTGGGCCGCGCCCCCTAGAACAATGCAAGGGAGCGCTCGAGTGAGATTGGGATTCGAGGTAATTGTAGGACTCAATGGAAAGGGATGCAATGGATCGCGACCTGGGCGAGGGAGTTAAGGAGCGCGGCATGGTTCAACAAGATGTAAGCAAAGATAAAACGTGATGTGGGCATTAAGTATATACAGCCGACGCCCTGTATCCGGAAAACATTATTCACAAAGCCTTGTTTCCAGGAGAGCCCAGCCAATACTTTGTCCCAGCCAAACCATGGATATAGCGAACAGAAAAGCAAACCGGGTGCACACAAAAGCAGAAGCGTCGACCCCTATCAGGCGCCATTAAATTGTCGTATCGACACCGTCAGTCGTGGAGAATGAGAAAACCGGAACCCCCAATCTAAGAGAAACCGACGTAGACCTTGATGACGGTCTTGCCGGGGACGATGTTGAGGCCAATGCCGTCGAGCTTCTCCATGCCCTTGGTGTAGGCGTTGTCGCCAATGCCGCCGGCGAGAATGGTCGAGTCGACGCCACCCTCCGACATGCGGCAGCCGGGAACGTCCAGCTTGTAGTGCTGGGCGACGAGGGAAGAGCAGTCGGCACCGGACCAGCCCGTGTTGCTAGTGTTCTCGAAGTCAAACTCGGCCCAGACACCGGCGTATTGGCCGTGGAGGGTCTTCTGGATCTTCCCGGGCGCAAAGGCGCAGACACCCTGGGTGTTCTTGTCGGCCACCACAGTCTTGGTCTCGCCGGGCTCGAGGTTGAAGATCAGCTGCTTCTGGCCCTCGACCTCGAACATGCCGGTAAGCCCGCCGTCAGCGCCCATCTTGTTGGCGCAGATGACCTGGTACGTCTCGTCGGCGACGTTCTTGTACTCCTGGACGTATTTGTACTTGTCGGCGATGCTGTTGGGGACCAACATCAGGTTGGAGTTCCACTCGCAGCCGTTGTTGGTGCCTTGGTTTCCAGTGTACATGACCTGCTCGTACGTGACACGCTTCGACTTGCTCGAGGTGCCGCCGCAGAAGGGAATGAACTCGTCCGACTCGGACTCGTTATCCTCAGAGGGCTTCGGCTTCGGGGAAGGAGCGACGCTCGGGGCTGGGTCGGCGACCTTGGCGGCGGCGGCGGCAGACTTGGGGATTGGCCTGTTGTGGACGTTCTTGACGTGGGCCGGACCATCGCGCCTAGCCTGGACGCTGCGGTGGAGGTGAGCATGGCCCGACGGGTGCGCGGTGGCGCCGAGCGCACCGGCGAGCAGAAGGAAGTGAGTGAGCTGCATGGTGACGGTTTGTTTTGTGTGGTTGTTTTTTTTTCTATCCAGATGTCGTTGGTTTCGTGAGTGGTCGTCAGGGCCTGAGGCGCTGTAGATGGTCCAATGTCGCAATTGGGAAAGGAGTGCGGTTGTAATTGAAGCTTGCGATCGTCTCGAGAGAACGGAATAGTTTGTCGCGCGCGGTTCAAAGGAGTGAACTGAGATGCAAGATCTCCAAAAGAGTGGATGTGATCGCGAAAAGCGTCGTTGTTGCTTGAAAGATCGCGGAAGGAAAGGAGAGACGGGTGGGGGGAGATGAAGGTTCAAAAGCTGCTGCTGCTGGACAGGGGGTGGGAAGTTAAAATGAGCCGAGAGTTGGTTCCTGAATAATCCCGGTCAATTGCCCTGCTTGGCCAGACCGCTGGCGAGGGCCCAGAACGGAGATCCCCAGACGTCCTTCCTGACTGGCCGCTTACGACTGGACCCACAGTTAGAACAGGGCCAAGGCCCAATGGATGCAGGTCCACGTCCATTTTCATTGGCTGCGAACCAGTCGAAGGCCTGCTCCCGTCGCAGTCGTGCCCTGATCCAACAGGCTGGCTCGCTGCCTGTGTTGATGTTTTGTTCGCGCCATCCAGGCTTCGATCTCATGCTCTGTACTATTCCGTACGAGAACTTGCATTCTCCGACTTGGCAACGACAAGAAAAAGGAGGCATATTTCAGTCGAGGGCAGTGCAGGTCGGTGGCGGACGCTTCCATGGTCTGGAGCTGAAATTCATGGATCTCTCGCCGGGTTCCCTTGCGTCTCATCACGGTATTACCCGACCGCTGGGCGTTGGGTTTCCAAGTTGTTTGTGGAGATGAAAACGGTCGAGAACACTAGCACTTTGTTTGCGGCTTTTCTGCACAAAGTGTTAAGCTGTCTTGGCCGCAACGGCCCCTTTGATTGCAGCGTTGCGCGCCCATGCTCGGCAGATGGCTTGCCCAAAGCCATGGCTCGCTGTTTCATCAAACACCCAAACGGCCTTACACCGTGTTTTAGCCGCCCCCATGGGCCATGATCGGACTTTTCGACCTTTTGGCCCATCCAACATCAGATGCCAAATCCGTGTACACAGTCACACAGTAACCATGGACATGCTATTTCCATCCGATGAACATTGTGGCAAAGCCGCCCTGTGCCGCCGATCGTTGCTCATGGAAGCAGTCGAGACCTTCCGAAGCTCCACTCGACATCAGGAGAGCAAGGTCCAGATACGGGATGCCAGGGAATGCTGAGAACAATCCAGGAAACTGATCTTTCAGGGGACGAAGAGGCGGTGCCGACGACAAGATTGTTTTGGGAGCCAAGTTTATGCAAGTCCCGATCTCGAGGATCCACTGTTACTCGGTGGGCTTGAGGTGGCCCAAGCTCCATCTCGCGAGTGCCCCGCAACCTTTTTTTTCCCATTCGGGATTCAGCGACGGGATGTGAGGATTGGTTGCAGACATCCACGCCGCACAATCAATCCGGATTGAGAGCGCCTTCAGGACTCTTTCTGCGACCCTATCCCCGAACTAGAAGGAGTGGGCAACCCAAATTCCCTGCCAGCCGCGTCCCAGCTTCGACGCAGATCCCAAACACGCCGACCCGCCGTCCGGCCTCAGGGAACACCCGATAGTTAGTCCGAAGTGGGATGCGAAAGCAGCCCAAAGCACAACTGACCGAATTGTGAACAACCCGACCACCCCGCGAGACCACCACCACCACCACCACCGCCACCACAGAGCTTCCCCACAATGCCGCTCGACACATCGACGTACAATCTCGCGCTCCTCCGCGTGGACGGGCGGAGATGGAACGAGCTGCGCCGGGTGCACGCCCAAATCCGCACGCAAGCCGCGGCCGACGGCTCCAGCTACCTCGAGATGGGCCACACCAAAGTCATGTGCGTGGTGACCGGGCCGAGTGAACCCGGGCCTCGCCGCGGCGGGGTCGGTGGAGCGGGAGGAGGCGGAGGAGGCGGCGGCGGCGCAGGCGGCAAGGCAGAGATTGTCGTGGGCATCGTGATTGCCGGATTCAGCTCCGTAGACCGGAAGCGGCACGGGCGAGGCGACAAGTAAGTCTTGAACCGCCCTTCCACCATGGCGGACGGAACGGCCACACGGCGGGGCGGGGCCGGGTCCATCAGCAGTAGCTAACCCGGGCACAACAGGCGCACGCTCGAGCTCGCGTCGACGGTAGCCAACGGGCTGGCGGCGAGCCTGCACACGCACCTGTTCCCGCACAGCCAGATCAACGTGTCGCTGCACGTGCTGTCGCAGGACGGGTCGCTGCTGGCGGCGCTCATCAACGCGGCGACGCTGGCGTGCGTGGACGCGGGCATCCCCATGACCGACTACGTCGCCGCCTGCACGGCGGGCTCGACGTCGACCTACGCCGCCAATGACGAGGGCGCCGACCCCCTGCTCGACCTGAACCACCAGGAGGAGCAGGAGCTCCCCGGCCTGACGGTGGCGACGCTGGGCGAGAGCGACCGCGTCGCGGTGCTGGTGTGCGAAAGCAGGGTCCAGGTCAGCCGGCTCGAGGGTATGCTAGCGGTCGGAGTGGACGGGTGCAAGCAGATGAGGGAGATATTAGATAGGGTTGTTCGGGATAAGGGCAGCCGGATGATACAGGAGGGGACGGTGGAGAAGGGGGTCGGGCTAGACGATATGGAAGTCGACTGATGCTGGAGGTACGTCGGGTTGGGTTACGATACAGGTACATGCCTACTGTGGCGAACGGTGCAGGTGAGAATACCCATTTTTTTATTACACAACCTCGAGACAACCCACCTCAAACCTACACGACAACCAATTTGGTAATTTCATGATACTGTGAATGACCCAGCTACGCCCGGCGATGCCGCCGCTAACAAAACAAACCTAGCGCCCACCGAGTCCGGACAAGTAACTAAAGCACATCAAAGCTCGTCGTGCGCGGTCTCGGGCTCCCCAGTGGGGTCAGCGGCCTGAGTCGACGTGGACTCGGCGGAGTCGTCGGCCGCGTCACCGCTAGCCTCGGGGGTAACCGGGGTGGCTTCCTCGCTCTCGCCGGCCTCGGTGGCATCGGGGGTGGCCTCCGACGACGCTTCTGGGGTAGCTGACGTAGGCTCCTCCACCGCAATGGCAACAATGCCCTCGGGCAGCTTCTTCTTCACTCCCTCGCTCATGCGGATGGCGTCGATCCAGCTCTCGACGCTCTCGTGCCCGAAGTCAGCTGCGTCATAGTGCCTCCACCAGCCGCGGCGGGCGTTGATGGCGATGATCTCCACGTCCCCGACGAGATCGAGGGACTTCAGAAGAGCCGCCGCCCCCTCGTTGCTCTTGGAAACCTCGTAGAAGGGGAACAGGTTGCGCTTGCTCTGGGCGTGCTTGAAGGCCAGCTCAGAGAGGCTGCCGAGCGCCTTCTTGGCCTTCTCGTCCTCGCTTGAGGAGACAATAGCCAGCACGCAGGTGTGAGACTTCTCGGTCAAGCACTCCTTGATCAGCTTCTCGGGCGAGTTGATGGCGGGGATGGGTAACGCGGTTTCGACGATGACCGGTGCTTCCTGCGTGGCGGTCTCTGTTTTGGACTCGGGCGCGGCGGATGAGGACGAGGCCTTGTCGGAGGCTTTGTTGTTTTTCTCCTTGTTTTTCTTGCCGTTACCCTTCACCGGCGAAACCGGGTTCGGTTGTCCGGCTTGCGAAAGGAATTTGACGATCCCCTCCTTCTTTAGCTCCCCATCGTAGACAACGGCATCAGCGTCACCGCCTGGCAGGAGAACCAGAGTCGGAAACTTCTCGACGCCGAAAGTCTCAACCGCCTTCGCCTCCTTGTTCCGTGCCTGGCCGATGGTGATCACGCCCGCAAAGTCGATGGCGACGCTCTTCAAAAGTGCCGAGGTGGTGCCCTTCTCCGTGAATAGAATTGCCTTGGGTGCCTCCTTGTCGCCCAGGAACTTATCCAGCGACTTGTCCTCGACCTTGACAACATAATTGTTGATCTGCTGCACGACGGCCTCGACGATGGCGCTGGCTGTCCGTTGTCCTTGGTAGTCCTGGACCATCGGCTTTCCTCCTCCCTTCTTTGGCCGGACGATCTTCAGGGTCGGGAAGCCTTGGACGCCCATCGATCCGCAAAGGGGCTTGTTCGCCTCATCGTCGCAGTCCACGGCGGCGACGTTGGCCAAGCCGTCGAGGTTCTTGGCCGCCTTCTCGTACGCCGGCTTGAGGTTCTTGCAGTGACCGCACCATGGGGCGTAGAATTCGACGATCTAAGAGGCGAATGATCAGCATGTGGATAGATAAACGAATCAACGGCGCCGACTCACGGAGGTGTAATTGCTCTTAGCAATCAATCTCTCGTAGTTTTTGCCGTCCACCTGTAACACGGGTGATTTCTTAGTGTAGAGCCCTGCCTGTGCTCCTGGGAGGGCGGACAGCAAGGCGACCGCCACAGCGCAGAGGGTGGGGTGATGCATAATGCGGACGCTCGATTCACAGCAACGCGGAGATGGATGTTGTTGCTCAAATGTGCTTGGATGTGCTTGGATGCACAGGAGAGTGGGGTATTTACAGAATCGCAGGAAGGGATTCAATCCGTCAAATTGGGGGATCAATGTATCGGAAGGTACTCGTGTGTCTTTTTATCCCCATGCGGCGAGGAACGGACGAGGAAGAGGAAAGAATCCAAGCTGGCATCTTTCCATCTTCGGCAAAAGAACACATTTCCAATGCCGCAGGAGCTGGTGCCACCCGCGATCGAGAACCCCAAAGGGAAACGCAAGCTCGGTCCGAAAGGTGACCAAAGCTCCCTGCCCCTCCTCGTTGGCGATCAATTACGAGGCTTGGCAACTTGAAAGTGACGCGAGGCGCTCTCCCACCAATGCACCAACAAGCAGGCAGAGTGACGACGAGCTCCAGGCGCAACGCAACTTACAAGGCAGCAGGATTCCTTTTCCTGGCGACACCCTTCGTACTTAAATCTACTTTGCCTTCTCCCCAAACCGGGATTTATTTTCTTGTTGATATTCGCAACCCGCAACCTGCAACCTGCTTCTTGCATCGCATCCCCGGCACCTCCCACCATGGCCGACGCTGTCCCCGCTGCCCTGAGGCAGGCCGATGTCAACATTTGGAAATGCGCCACCAAAGCTACGCAACTTCAGGCCGTGAAGCCCATTATGTCCTATTGGTGTATGTATTGTACAATGAATGCGAAGGGGTGACGGTCTCTGATTTTCCAGGCGAATACTGGGCTGTGAACCAAATCCTAGCGAAACAGCTGCACACAACCGACGAGGGCATCCTAAACTACACAACAAACTTGATGGATAAGCTGGAGCAGGTACGCGAGTTTTAAAATCTTTGGAGGTGATTTAGTAAAGCTAATGGACACTCGCCAGACGAAATCAGAGCACGCGACTGAAGACGCCATTACCGACGATCTCGCAGGCCAGGCGTACGTGGAACAGTTTGCACAGGAGACATTGGACCGAGCCGAACGGGTGGTGAACGCGAATCGGGTGACACAGTAGGCTTATGATGTCTGTTTGAGACCGGCGCTCGCTGACCGGTTGCCAGACAAACCGCGACAACATTCGATGCAGCCGCAACCTTCTTCCATGTCGCGAATATTTGGGGCCCGGTGGATCAGGAGACACAACAAAAGATCAAGTACGCAAAATGGAACGCGGCGCGGATTGCCAAGGCAATTAGAGACGGCAACGACCCCAATGAGTCGAACCCGCGACATGAAGAGGCGCCCCAGCCGGAGCTAGATCCGAACGACCCCGCGGTTCAGAGCTTGAGCGGCGCGTCGCCAAACACAGGGCCGAGACCTGTGACGGTAGAAGATGTCCCTGACTCGGAAACGGCCAAGCACGCATCGGGCGTGTCGTTGCCGCACAGCCCAGTCCTGGGCGAACCATCTCCGATCTCTGACGGCGGCCTCCAACTCCCGGGGGTGCCGACGGATCTGGCCGAACCTTCACCATCGAGTTACTTTGGACCAGAAGCATCGGTAACCCCACCGCCACAACATCCCGATTACTCCCAAGCGTCCCCCGGTCTCCCACCCCCACCAACCGGATGGACGCCATCCCAGCAGAGCCCAACAACGAGTATTCCGCCAACAACGTGGTCACAGGGCCCTGTTAGTCCATCCGGATCTGGCTTCTATCACCAGCCTTCGGCTCCTACAACGATACCGCCAACATTCGCCACAAATCCCCCATCAACGGCTGCAGTGGCGTCACCCCCCGTTAGTCCGCCCACCAACCCTTACTACTCGCACGCGGCTCCAACCGCGAATACCGCACGGCCGACAGCCCCTCCTGCAGCCCCGCCGGCTAGCTATGTGCCGGTTCAGTCTGGGGGTTTCACGACGGATGAGGCGGCAATGGTCGGGGCACAAAAGCATGCGAAATGGGCCATATCGGCTCTCAACTTTGAGGACGTGCCTACCGCGGTAAGGGAATTACGAGACGCGCTGAGGTTGCTCGGGGCGACATAGGGAGTGGGAAGTGATACGAGCTACGTAATGATGGTCGTGATGAAATGCCAGCGTATGATTCGAACAGCAAGAGTCTTGACGTATTCGTTGTCTCAGGGGCCCTACTCCGGCAGATTCGTTGTACCCGAGACAATGTTCGTCCCGTTCTGCCGCCCGCCCCAAGCGGAAACAGCCAGCAGAGCACTGTCTCACAACATGCTATCTAGCCGCCTCAACGATCTGACGGCTACCCACACGGCAGCCCTAGCAAAGCCAATCTTGTACCACCACAACACTTTTCTGTGCCGCGGATCTGGTTCCAAGGCCATCATCGTCCTTCCTCCCGACGCTGGCGATGCCGGAGCGCATGGTTACAGCGGCTCGGTCCGAATTGTTCGCTCGATGTATTGAACTACTGCGCCCGGCAGCTGTTGTGTATACACCCCACCGAATCAGAGCCGCTCAAGAGACAGCCTGGAATCGGAGCTGATACGGCAGGTTGGGTAGATGAGGCTAGCATCCATGCGGCCCTGCGGCTACAATGCTAATTCGGATGGAGATTATTGGCCCTGGCCTGTTCTTCAGCCGCACAGTGTTCCCCAACGTTCGGGAGGCTTGCGCGGCGCGGGTGGCCCGGGGGAGGTCGTGGGGGTCTCGGGCGGGCTGTCGACTGGGGTCTGAAGGTTTTGAGATATAATAGAGGTCTCCAATGCGTTGACACATGAGAAAAGGGAAGGAAAAGGTTCAAAAGCCCTCTTACACTCCCTGACGACTTGCCAGCCGTCTATGGTCATCGCCTTGCTACCTCTACACCAAAATAACCAAGTAGCTGTCTATTAAAGTAAGATTCCGAGAGAAAAACAAGTGAGTCGAGTCAACATGTTTTCCACGCCATGCCTAACTCGGGAGGCAGTCTCCAGGAACATCCGACCCAGCAGTCAAACTGAAGATGGACAACGAAGAAGGCAGTTACTCATACGGGAGCTCTTCATCAAATTCTACAGATGCGGTTAAAGGCGACTGGCGGACACGCGTCTACACACCATTGCCGGCCCCACCGCCTGGAGGAAACACTGGAACCAGAGACGGTTCTTGTCGGGGCAAGCGATGAGCTCTGGAGGTGATCATGAAAAGCTGTCTGAACCCGGCTGGATTTATTATGGAGTCAAACATTGTTCCAATAGTTGAAAAGCAAAGAATCCGGTGGTTATAAACCCATGCCTCAAAAAGAGATGGTGGCGAAGTCAACTAGACAACTAGAACAGCCATAACCTGAACATCAAGAAGGGGAAAAAGCCGAACTACTCTACAGTTCACTCAGTGAAACATCCAAACTTGCCCCCCCAGTTCCTGCCATGTAATGTTCCCATCGAGTCCTGAGTTCATGAGAGCTATTTCCAAAGAAGAAATTGATTATGTCAAGGTAAATATATCCACGGCTACCATCCAGAGTCAGACACAGTGCTATTCTGACCTACCTTTGTCCATCCGAACTAAAGAGCCCGAGCCATGCCTGTTGCCAATATGAAACAAGAAAGCTGGCACTTGTTGTCCAGGAGTCACAGTAGTCGGGCACAGCTTGCAACCTAGAGATAATCTATAATATACCTAGGTACCCGGCTTTCTTCCTCCCGCAACGAATCGGCTAGATCTGCAACCTTTCAGTTAAGCTTTCACATCTCTACCTAGTATTTATCGACCCATGATATCAGCCCAACCATAATTTGACTGGAAATCTACAAAAATGATGTCGCCGATGGTCTCGGCGACCGGGATCGCGATGCTTCTCCTCGGCGGAGCTCACGGTCACATGGTCATGAACTCGCCAGCTCCTTACAGCCTCGACATCCAGCCGCTGCTGCAGGTTGATCCCATCAGCGGTGGCCTCTACCCGTATCCCTGCCACAACCAGTACGGCTTTACCCACCGTACCGCAGTCGAGGCTGGCGGTGCGACCTTGGTAAACTTCACAGGGTACGTCCATCAAGTCTATTAATACCGGTAGTGATACAAAAGCTAACACAATTGGGTAGTGGTGGCCAGCATGGTGGCGGTTCATGCCAGTTCAGCATCACCTACGATGAGCCTGCCAACGGAGGCGACTGGAATAAATCGGCCGAGTTCAAAACCATCTACAGCATCATCGGTGGTTGTCCTGCCGTATTTACCGATGAGTCCCACAACCTCGCCCCCGTGGCCGTGGACCAGAATCGGCGCCAAGATGGCAAGCATTGTGGTAATGACTCTGGCGTTGACTGTATTCGCCAGTTCATGGTTCCGATTCCCAAGTTGTGAGTTAAAGCTTGTCCTACATCCACGTTCATAGCTCGAAGAGATTATTGGATTGACTGACACTCGTGAACAGCTTGAAGAACGGCCCGGCTACTTTTGCCTGGACCTGGTTCAATAAACTCGGAAACAAGGAGATGTACATGTAAGTTGTCAAGTTGTCACCAGCTAACTGATTGCTTCCCATTCCTAACCGCTCTGTCTCTTAGGAACTGTGCTCCGATCGAGATCACCGGCGGTACTAGCGATGAGACGGAGATGAAGAACCTGCCCAACATATTTGTGGCCAACTCCCCCAACGACCCCGAGGTTCCGAACTGCATCACCGGTACTCGCGCCGACAATGTTGTTGTCAACTTCCCCGAGCCGGGCAAGTACGGCCGCGTTCTCCAGGCCCCAGTTGAGCCAATGAACAAACCATCGGGTTACTGCACCCAGATCCCGGCCGCTCAATCGCCCCCGACCTTCGAACCAGACCCGCCCTTCACCGTCGCCAAGATCAAGCAAGCCGGCCCGGCCGCCACCACTCCCACCCCGCCGGTGGAGGACACCACGTCCCCAACACTAGGCCACTCCGTCAACCAGCCCATCACCGAAACCGCCAACACCACCACCACCAGCACAGCCGACCGGTCCATGACCCGATCCCCGCCTCCAATCATCGTCCCGACTACCCTGTCGACGACCATCTCAGAAGTCTCAACTATCAACCTCTCCGTCACACCCACACCGACACCTACGGCCATCCCAGCCCCCGCGGTGGCGGTGGCGGCGGCGGCTGCCATGGCCAATAAGCCGAACGGCAAGGCCGTCGCCTGCGCGAGCAACGGCGCGCTCGTCTGCCTGGACGACGGCACCTTCGGCCTGTGTGACTGGGGCTGGCTCACGCCGCAGCGCGTTGCGGAGGGCACTGAGTGCAAGGAGGGCAAGATCGTCAAGCGGGACGGGGGTGGGGAGGATTCTTGATACTCAGTAGAGGACTGGGACGGGGACGCACAGCACAGCACACTTTGTTTGATGCCATACTGGAGGTTGGCGGGGAGTGTGGCTGGCTGGGCTTGAGGCGTAAGCAGGTACCATAGCTTTGAGGCATGGGGCCGTTATTCATCAGCTTAATTTCTGATCTTCCGTTCTGCTCTCTTGTGATGCGTATTAGTTATTAATTTAGGGAAGGCCCAAACGGTACCTCCCTACCTATACAAGTCATGAGTTCTTGACTATATTGTAATGTCAGTAAAAACGGCAACATGAGACCCCTGATCACTAATACGAGCTTACATATTATTGCAAAGTCTACAAAGGCAGAGGCGTTGTGATATGTATTTCACCCTGGTGGGCTTACTGAAGCTCCGACAACGGGCAAAAAGCTGACAGACCAGCTAGCCCGTATGTAAGATCATCTAGAAAGTGGATTCAAACCCCTCAAACCCCTCTCGGATCCTTTTAGAGAGGTACGGTATAAATAAGCCCAGTCATCTACGCCAAGTCCGATTTCCCCCTGTCCACAACTTCAACTTGAGGTTCTCTGTTCTAACCCCTCACTCCCACGCCCGCTTACTAGGTCTCACGGTCTCACCCCCAACCTCAAACAAAACCTCAACATCGACTTCAACCATCAACATGCCTGTCGACTTCCATCTCGGCCCAACCGAGGCCGCCACCCGCGCTGCCGCCGCCGGATTTGCCCAGCATGTCCTCAAGCCTGCCCGCGCCGAGTACCTCAAGCATGCCCAGCATACGGAGAGATTCCAGGCCACTAAGCCGGCCTATGCCGCCGCTGTCCAAGGCGGCTTACTGAAGGGCCAAATCGCCCCTGCCCACGGCGGCACCGGTGGTAGTCTCATCGAGGCGGCCATAATGGTCGAAGAGTGCTATTCTGTCGAGCCGTCGGCGGCACTCACGATATTCGTATGTAGAGCCTTTCCATAACCAACCAAAAATGTAACAAACTAACCCTCTCCGTCTGTCAGGCCACCGGCCTAGGTCTAACCCCGCTCAACATCGCAGGCAAGCCGGAGCACGCCGAGTTCCTGGCACCCTTCCTCAGCGGCGAGGGCACACCGCTCGCCTCACTAGTCTTCAGCGAGCCCGGCGGCGTAGCCAACGCCTTGGAGAGGGGCGCACCGGGCTTCCAGACCACCGCCCGCCGCGAGGGCGACGAGTGGGTCATCAACGGCGAGAAGATGTGGGCGACCAACTGCGCGGGCTGGGACTTCCGGGGCTGCGACCTCGCCTGCGTCGTCTGCCGCGACGTGACCGACTCCCCCACTTCCACGGATACGGCTAGCGACCCCAAAGACCACGTCATGATCATCCTCGTCACGCGCGCCGACCTCGACCGCAACGGACCCGGCGCCTTCCAAGTCCTGCGGCACATCGCCACGCCGGGCCACACCTCGGTATCCGGCCCGCACGTCCGCTACACCGACGTGCGCGTGCCGGCCAAGAACGTGCTCTGCCCCCCCGGCCAGGGCGCGCAGGTAGCGTTCGGCGCCTTCGACGCGAGCGCCGTGCTGGTGGGCGCGATGGGGGTGGGGCTGATGCGCGCGGCCTTTGACGGTGCGTTGGCGTTTGCGAAGAGTGATGCCCGCGGCGGTGCGGTGCCGCTGCTGGAGCGCCAGGCCGTGGCGGACTTGTTGTCCGGGGTCAAGATGCAGGCCGAGGCGGCGCGGGCGCTGACGTGGAAGGCGGCGCATGCGATGGAGCATGGGCCCGGGGGGTATGAGGCGAGGAGGGAGTTGGCGCTGGCCGCGAAGGTGTTTTGTAGTGAGGCGGCGGTGAAGGCGTGTGTGGATGTGATTAATGCGGTTGGCGTGTAAGTTGTTTATTTATTATTGGTGACTTCGTCGAGCAGACATGCTAACGCGGACTCGACAGTACGGCGTATGATGTCGAACAGCCCTTCGCGGAGCTCTTGAACAACGCGATGGTGTTGCCTATTTTTGACGGCGGCAATGTTGGGATTCGGAGGCGCCACTTGCAGCAGTTGATGCTGTCCCCAACGTACGACGCGTGGGCGGCGACGTATGGCCCGTCGGAGAAGGCATAGGTCGAGGTCTTTACAGGGGACGCTGAGACTACAGGAATCCTACCTACAATGTTGATCTTATCTACGAGGTGGAACACCACCAATAGGAAGAATTGTTAACCGCTCTGGGTTCAAGTTCCTTTTCTCTCCTTAATCGTTCCGTCCGCGCTGAATCTAATTACCATCACCGCCTTCATCAAGACCTGTTTTCCCCCTGTATTCTTTTCGTACCTTTTATTCTATTATTGGATTTATTCGTTCTCAAGAAAAAGCGCCCTTCCTGATAAGGCATAGCACTGAATCAGAGCTGCATCAGAACTGCATAGAAAAATTGCGGTGTGAGTAAGGCTGTGAGCTAGGCTTACTTTCCCTTCCTTGCTCTCAAAGCCCTTCTGTGCTTTGGCATAATTCTCTACGGATTCCTCAATCCTGACCTTCAAGTCCTCAGCCAAGGTCGCCTCAATCTCTACCTAGGTATTGGGCTTGTCAAAATGCCGGGTGACCTTTTGTTCGAATTCTTGAACAGTGGAACCTCGTTGAGTTTGATCCGCCCCTGAACGTCTCGGTCTCGAGCAGGAGGGACGGTGACATCAAAGAGCAGCTTCAGCACAAAGTCAACATCAGGATCTCGGCAACAGATAATTAATGAACAGGATATCATGAAGTTTGTTCGTCACCAGATCTCAATATCCGTCTCTCTCTACAATGCTCCCACATGCTGTGCTGTACCTCGTCTTGTCTTTGACGAAACGGACTGTAGCAGCTCAGGTGCTCGCCTGACTGATACGATCGCAATACCCCCTCACAAACTGCTCGTCAATCAACGGCACAGGGTACGCGTCTCCCCCTAACACGTGCTCTCCAACCATGAATGCACTCTTCATTATCCCGCCCGCCGTCTCAGCCGTAAAGCCATCCAAGACGGCCGTAATGCGGGCTAGCGGGCTTGTCGGATGCTCAGCGGCATAGTCCAACGCCCGTTGCTTCCAGATAGCGAAATCTATGATTTCCTTGGGCTCCCCACCGCTCACGGCCCCGATCAGCTTAAAAAGGTCGGTCGAGGTCGGCGCCCGCGGGTTCAAGAAATCCCAGTCGCGGCCGAGCCGATCGAGATCGCCCGTCATGACGGCGACGATGGTCTTGGCCAGGTAGTCGACGGGCAGCACGGCCGACAGGTCGGCATCCAACGCCGGGAACGCGCCCATCTCGAGGCCCCCGACCACCAGGTTGTGCAGGAAGTCGCCGCGGTGGTGCCGGAAGTGGCCGGTCGCGGCCGACGCCGTGACGTACGGCAGGCGGTACACCGACGCCCGGGCACCGCGCCACCGCGCCGCCGCCACCAGCCGCTCGGCGGCGTACTTGGACGTCGCGTAGCCGTACTCGACATCGTCCTCGCCAACGTCCAGGCCCATGTGCTTGGGCAGCGTGGAGACGGTGGACACGAGGTGGACAGCCTTGACGCGTCGTCGCCGACCGCCGCGTGCGGCGGCCAGGCGGAGGACCTCGTGCGCGCTGACGATGTTGGGGCCGACGTACTCGTCCAGGGGCCGCATCCAGTCGACGAGCCCGCCGGCGTGGCAGATCGAGTCCACCCGGTCCCCCAGCTCGGAGAAGGCCGCGTCGGACAGGCCGAATAGGGGTTGGGCCATGTCGCCGACGATCGGTCGGACCAAGGACGCGAAGCGGTCCTCCCAGAGACTGTACTCCTGCAGCGTGCTGACAACCCGTTGCCGGGCCCCGTCTGTGTCGTCCGCGCGCACGAGGCAGTGAGTGGTGATGCCTTGCTTGAGCAGCTCGTGCAGGATGGAGGCACCGACGAAGCCGGTGGCGCCGGTGAGGAATACAGACTCTGGACGTCTAGTATCGACATGATCCGAACGCTCGAACGTGAAACTAGCATCGAGACACCCTGTGCGGACCGCCGCCATGTTTAGCAACCCCCCAGCAGACGCAACTGCAGCCGTCGACGCATCCATATCCTGCAGCTGAGCGAGCAAGGACCGGCTGAGCACCCTCAAGTTTGGATGGAGAAGAGCGATGTTGGCTGGGAGCGCCAGGCCAGTCAACGTCGCCAGATGGTTCCGGATCTGCACCGCGGTCAACGAGTCGATGCCGACATCCTTCAGCGGACGGTCGACCTCCGCATCGAGCGGGTGGCTGAACCCCAACGCCTTGGCGACGACTTGCCGGACCATGTCCAGCAAGATGCCGGGGCGCCGTGGGGGTTCCGTCTCGCGCAACACATCGCGCAGATGCTTCTTCTGCTGGGAGGGGCCGCTGGGAGTCTTCGTCATGGTGACCCCGTCCCGTTGTAAGAGCGAGCGCAGCAATGGCGGTACTATGCCGCCGCGCTGTTCCTCGTAGAAGGCCCCGAGCCGTGCCGTGTCGAGCACAGCGGCCACGGTTAGGGCGCGCTTGCTGACAGCAGCCTGTGCGAGCAGATCCAACCCGTCGCTGGGTGCCAGTGGGTCCAGGCCGAAGCTCACGAGGTGGGCGTTGGTGGCCGGGCCGAGCCGGGACGCCATACCGTCGCCTGCCCAGGTGCCATACGCTACCGAAGTGGCTGGCAAGCCCTGGGCGCGGCGCAGGTGCGCGAGCGCGTCGAGGTAGGTGTTGGCCGCGGCGTAGTTGGCAAGGCCCGGCATGCCCATGACGCCGGAGAGGGAGGAGAACATGACAAAGAGGTCTAGGTCCATCCCGCGAGTGGCTTGGTGCAGGAGCCATGCCCCGTACGCCTTGGGGGCGATGGTCGTCTCGCACCGCGCCTGTGTCATGGTGAAGAGGATGCCCGAGTCGACCACCCCGGCGGCGTGCACGACGCCTCGCAGCGGCCGGTCTTTGTTAAAGGTTGCCACAATGGAATCGATACTGGCCGGATCGGCAATGTCGCCGGCCATGACGGTGACTCTGACGCCCAGCTCTGAAAGTTCGGCTACCAGCGCATCCGCACCTGGGGCTTCCACTCCCTGACGTGAGGTAAGTACCAAGTCGCGGATGCCGTGTTCGCTCGCCAACCACCGGGCCACGCACGCTCCAAGGCTACCGAGGCCCCCTGTTATTAACACAGCTCCGTCCGGTCGTATCAATCGGTCCTTGACGCCCGGCAATGGCGCTGTTACCGCATCGACGCGCTGCATCCGTGGAACAAGCACCAGACTCCGGCGCACGGCGCATTCCGGTTCAGTGTTCAACAGCAACGCCGACGAGAAAGAGGCGTCGGTGGTTTCCTGCCCCAGGTCGACCAGCCGCAAGCTCAGTTCGGGATGCTCGCTCCTGGCGGTTCTCATCAAACCCCAGAGCAACGACCCTGCCCCTGGTCTCATGGCCCGATCATCACACTCGATGCCGACACCGACAGCGTGGCGAGTGACCCATATAAGCGGAGGCGTAAACCGAGTCTGAGCTGCCGTCTGCAGCTGTGCCAGCGCCTTAGCGATCAGATCTCGCGTCTGCGATATCACGCCGGTATCCGTGTCCCAAAGGCAGACTACGCCGTCCAGCTTCGCAGCCTGCCCGAGGTCATCGATATGGACCAGTCGGAATCCGGCTCCTGACAGGGCGGTTTTGGCACTCGTTGTCCACGTCGAGTTTCCGGCTGCAACCAACAGGGCCCAGGTCCCGCTGGGTTGTTGATGAGTGCCGTCCGTCTGGGTTGGCTGCCACGCGATGCCGAACTGGAAACGATCATTACCGTGGCCGTTGGGGACACGGTGGGCGGTATGGCTCAGACCAGTGCTGGTACCATTCAAGCCGGGAGCCCTTCCCGCATGTGGCTGCTCGTAAGTGCGCTGGAAGGCATAGGTGGGCAGTTGTACACGTCGACACCGAAACGGCTTGAAGTAGGCTTGCCAGTCGAGGGACAAGTGACGCATATGTAAGTGGGAGAGACTCCGTTGGAGAGCCGCGGTGCCGTCCTTGCGGCGTAGGAGAGACGGCAACCAGGAAACAGGGATGTTATTATTGTTGTTGTCGCTATGATGGTCTGCGAGACACTCTGCACCCATGCCACAGAGCACCGGATGCGGCCCTATCTCCAGGAAGACGTTGACCCCCTGACGGGCCAGCGTCTGGATCCCGTCAGCAAAACGAACCGGCTCCCGAGCCTGCCTCAACCAGTATTGCGCCTGTTCGAGCTGGCCCGGCTTTGCCAGCCTGCCGTCCAGGCTGTGGATAACCCGTATCTTGGGCGCGTGGAACTTCACCGTCTCGGCTACGGCCAGAAAGTCGGCCAGCATGGGGTCGATGTACCGCGAGTGGAACGCATGTCCGACCATCAGCAGCTTAGTCTTGTAGCCCCGGGAAGCGAAATGGCCCGCAATGCTTTCCAAGCCATCCGTAGTACCGGATATGACCGTCTTCATGGGCGTGTTGTATGCAGCAATATCGACCTCTGGAGTACGGCCTAGCGCCTTGACTGCTTTGGCGACCTCAGCGGCGCTTGCTCCGAGCGATACCATGCCGTAGTCGCCGGACTGGGCTTGCATCAAGCGACCGCGCGCCGCCACCAGCCGACACGCGTCGGGCAGGTCGAGGATGCCCGCTACGTGAACAGCCACAAGCTCGCCCAGGCTGTGGCCGAGGACGAAGTCCGGGTTTACCCCCCAGCTCTGCCACAGCCGCCATAACGCCACCTCCAAAGTAAAGAGCGCGGGCTGGGCAAAGTCGGTGCGGTCGAGCAACGCGGCTTCTGTGCTTTCGGGGTTCGCCCACATGACATCGAGGAGCGGCAGTTCCAACCCGGCGCCGTCAAACTCGGCCGCGATCTCGCGGACCGCTTCCCCAAAGACGGGGTGCACCTCGCTCAGGTCCTTTCCCATGCCTGGCCACTGGCTACCTTGGCCAGTAAAGAGCATGGCCAGCCTGTTGTCGGGTGCCTCGGCGACATCGCTGGTAATACTGGCAGGACTGGCAGGCAATGCCGAGCCCAGCTTCTGCACCAACTCGGCCTTGTCCCGGGCCATCAATACCAACCGCCTGCGGAGATGGTTACGAGTGGTTGCGAGTGAGTAGGCCACGTCACCGAGGCCATCATCCGGTGAGTCCAAGAGGTGTTGGCAAAGCTTCTGGGCCTGCATGCGTAGGGCCGCGCTGGTGTCGCCCGAGATGAGAAACGGCAGCATGACCGGGAGCGGCCTCACTGCTGTGTCCCCGTTACCCACGAGACGGGCCACCCTCGGCGGCTCCTCGACGATAACGTGAGCGTTCGTACCGCCGATTCCAAACGAACTAATGCCCGCCCGGCGCACCCGGCTTCCCTTCCTCCGACTCGACCGCCACGGTCGTTTGTTCAGCACCGGCGTCATGTTGGCGCCCTGCCAGTCCACGGCCGGAGTAGGCTTAGCGACGTGTAATGTCTCGGGCAGCATGCCGTGCCGCATGGATAGCACCACCTTGAGCAGACCCACGAGACCGGCCGCGGCTTGCGTGTGGCCGATATTCGACTTGGCCGAGCCGATCAAGAGAGGCTCCATGTCCTTGTCACCAACTCTGCCAGGCCCAAACACCTCCGCCAGCGCCGTGGCTTCGATCGGATCGCCCAGCCTCGTGCCGGTGCCGTGCGCTTCGACGTAGTCAATATCCTCCGGCCGCAGCTGGGCCGCGGTCAGCGCCTTGCGGATGAGCTGCTTCTGGGCCGGGCCGCTGGGCGTCGTCAGGCTGGCGCCGCGGCCGTCGTGGTTGACGGCCGTGCCACGGATCACGGCATGCACGTAGTCGCCGTCGCGCCGCGCGTCCGCGAGCCGCTTGAGCACGACGGCCGCGGTGCCCTCGGACCACCCGGTGCCCTGCGCGTCGGCCGAGAAGGACCGGCACCGGCCGTCGGCCGACATCCCCCGCAACCGCGAGAACTCGACGTGCAGCCCCGGGTTCAGCAGCAGGCTCACCCCCGCGGACACGGCCATGTCGCACTCCCCCTGCCGCAGCGCGCTGCAGGCCAGGTGCGTCGTGACCAGCGAGGACGAGCAGGCCGTGTCGATGGTCATGGTGGGGCCTTGAAGCCCGAGCTGGTGCGAGATGCGGCCGGACATGGAGCCGCCCGCCGAGCCGGTGACGGTGTATCCGTCGAGGTCTGCGAGGTCCCTGACGGCGGTGGCGTTGAGGGCCTGGTGTGCGAGGATGTTGCTGGTGCCGACGAACACGCCGGTCTGGCTCCCGCGCAGTTGCTCCATGGTGTAGCCGGCCCGCTCGAACCCTTCCCAGCAGGTCTCGAGCATCAGATACTGGGCAGGGTCCAGCCTGCGTGCCTCTCGCGGTGAAATGCCGAAGAAGGATATGTCAAAGGAGTTGATCAAGGAGGAGGGTTGAAGGAATCCGCCACGGTGACAGCTCGCGTCCATGTCGCCGATGGTGTTGCTGCGACTCCAACGATCGTCGGGTACATCGCCGACCGCATCACCACCGCGCTCGAGCAGCTGCCAGAAGTCCTCGGGTGTTGCGATACCACCCGGCAGCCGACAAGCCATGGACACAATCGCAATGTCTTGGTCAGCGACATAGTCATCCACACGAGCTTGCTTGCTGGCTTGAGGGTTGTTCGGGCTATTATTAGGCGTGCCCGGCGAGCTGCCCCCGAGATATGCCGCCAACGTCTCGATTGTGTAGTGTTCGAACAGTTTGGGGACAGGAACCGGGCGGCCAAGCTGTTTCTCTAGCTCTTTGTGCACTCGAATGGCCCGCGCCGAATCACCCCCTATCTGGAAGAAATTATCCCGGACGCGGATGCGGCTGTGGCCGAGAACTCGGGACCAGATTGCCAGTATCTGACCCTCCAACTCCGTGGCAGCTATTACAGCGGCGGCGGTACAGGGAGTCTCAACGGGAGCCACCGGGTCTGGGAGGGCTTTGCGGCCTATCTTGCCATTAATCGTGACCGGGAGAGCCTCGATCTCGACGACAAACGCCGGCACCATGTAGTCGGGCAGCCGCTCGGCCAGCCAAGGACGCAGCACCTGGTCAAGCGTCGCCTCTGTCTTAGCCGCCGAAGCAGTAGTAGCCTTTGGCACGCAATAGGCAACCAGCTGGTCATCACGACAAACGACAACCGCCGCAGAGATATCCTCGCGTGCCGTAATGGCCGCTTCGATGTCCCCGACCTCGATCCGGTAGCCGCGGATCTTGACCTGGCCGTCCATGCGGCCCAAGACACTTAACTTCCCGGGCGCCACAAACCGCGCGAGATCTCCGGTTCGGTACATGACCCCTCCATCAAACGGATTCTCCACGAACCGGGCGCGACTGAGTTCGGCGTTACCCCGATACCCGCGCGCCACGCCCGCCCCGCCGACGCACAGCTCCCCTTCGCTCCCCAACGGCACGGGCGCGAGCGTCTCCGGGTCGAGCACGTACAGGTGCCCATTGGCGACGGGGCTCCCGATGAGCACCCCCGTCTCACCCCCCGGCTGCACCCGCCAGATGCTCGCGTACACGGTCACCTCGGTCGGGCCGTACAAGTTCCACACACCGCCGCCGCGGCCGCACGCCAGCAGCAGGCGGTCGGCGAGCGCGCGGGGCAAGCCCTCGCCGCCGCACAGGATCTTGCTCAGGCGCGGCGGCGGCTGCACGCCGCCGCCGCCGGGCCAGCCCGAGTCCAGCAGCATCTGCCAGAGCGTCGGGGTGCCCTGCATGACGGTGACGGCGTGGCGGTCCATGAGGCGCACGAGGGCGGCCGGGTCGCGCACCTCGCGGCGCCGCGCGAGCACGGTGGTGGCGCCGCAGAGCAGCGGCAGGAAGAGCTCCGGCACCGCCATGTCGAAGGACACGGTCGTGACGGCGAGCAGGCGGTCCGCGGGGCCGCAGCCCGGTTCTCCGGACGCCATCGACTGCAGCAGGTTGATCACGCTGCCGTGCGTCACCTCGACGCCCTTGGGCCGGCCGGTTGAGCCGGACGTGTACATGACGTAGGCGAGGTCGGTGCTACTGTGGACTGCCGCGTCCGAGTTGCTGTTGCTGGTGCCGTTGCTGGTGCTGTTGCTGGTGCCGTTGCTGGTGCTGTTGCTGGTGCCGTTGCTGGTGCCGTTGCTGTTGCCGCCAAAAGAGTCCGGGTCTACCGCGGTGGTGCGCAACACCTCCTCGATCGTCAAAGAGGACACACCCCCTCCTGGAGTGAAGGCGTCTAGCATCTTGGTACTGGTAACGAGTAGCTTGGGGCTGGCGTCGTCGAGCATCTGATCGATGCGTTGACTGGGCAAGTCTGTGTCGATGGGCACGTAGGCGGCCCCTGTCTTCCAGACCGCGAGCAGTGCCGCGACAAGGTCGACGGAGCGGTCCAGGGCCACGCCCACGAGGTCGCCCTTTCCGATTCCTCGCCGTACGAAGGCTCTGGCAAAGTGGTTGGTGAGCGAGCTGAGTTGTCCATAGGTGAGTGCCGTGTGGCCGCAGATCAGGGCGGTCTTGTCCCTGTACTCCTCCGCGGTACGCTCGAGAAGTGAGTGTATATTCTGTGATGCATGTCTTGTGGAATCATCGGTGCCGCTGGCCCGGAACCCGGGAACGATCGCCGGGTTTCGGTTGTCTCCGGCTTGGGTAGGTTGCATCTTGTTCCCGTATCGATCCGTAGCAAGTGCCGAGAGCAAAGGGGTTATGGAGTGCCGGGTTGGCGAACCAAGTCCACTACGTTCAGTGGCCAGCCTTTGAAAAAAGGGGAAATATCCGGAACTGTGAGGTGCAATGGACTTGGGATCGCTCGTCACTTCAAGAAAAGTAAAACACTGGTAATACTGTAGGTACCCATCCACATCCTCATGGCATCTATGTAGTCAGACTCAGAAAGGCCTGGAGTTGGGCTTGACTTCCGGGTTTGCCCGAGCACTGGGTTTCTTGAGCTTTGTTGTCTTCATTTGTCAGCCCAAAACGCACAATTATACAAAGTACAGGGTACTAATGGTACATGTATGTACAACTCGGTTAACCTTGACTCAACTGATCCCTTCAGTCATGGTGGGCAGTGACACGGAGGAACCGGGACGCGTACGAAGCATCCCCCACGAGTCCCCGGACATGCCGGGGTCTGCATGTCTGGTGGCTGGGTGGGTGATGAGGACATAATCCTGGAGGATGGCGCTGTGACCTTTTAAGGGACGGGATTTACCTGGTAGACAGAGTCCGAGTCCATACGCGAGGTTGGGGGCCAGAACACCTAGTCCGAGATCTACGCCCGGTGTGAGACAGGGGATAGAAGCTGAGGTGCTCCGATGTCAACCATCAGGCAACAGAGCGATTTGTAGCCGAGCTCTTCAAACACATTGCGCTAACTTTTTCGACGACGTGCAGAGTCCAGCACTTGTCTTGCCTTGAAAATCACCACCCACGATGACTATTGTCGCAGTCGCTGGCGGCTCCGGCGATCTGGGCCGTCTCATTACAGACGCCTTGTCGAAGACCGGCAAGCACGAGATTTACATCACATCAAGAAAGGTAGGCAACATATCCACCTTCACTGTATTGTAAAGCTGTTGACACCCGGATGTAGAATGTGAACACCACGTCCCGGATATCGCCGTTGACAGGCAGTCCCTACTTGCCTCTTATCCAGACCGACTACTCGTCTGAGGATGCGCTAGTCGAGCAGCTCACCAAGAGGAACGTCCGGGTCGTCATCTGCACCTTCATCATGGACTGTGATTCCGCGTCCGACGCCCAGCTCTGCCTGATCCGAGCCGCCGATCGATGCCCCTGCGTCGAGCGCTTTATCCCCTCGGAATTCAACGTCGAGTACGACGTCGACGACGGCATCCTCCCCTACCCGGAGAAGCGATTCCATGTGGCGGCTCGACGCGCGCTGGAGAAGACGACCTCGCTCGAGTACGCATACATCTACCCGGGCATGTTCATGGACTACTTCGGCCTGCCGCGCGTCCCAAGCAGCCTGCGCCCGCTGTGCTTCTTTGTCGATCCGGAAAACGGGCTGGCCGTGCTTCCCGGTGACGGAGAGGCGAGGATGAGCATGACGTTTACGACAGATGCGGCGCGATATATAGCGCTGGCGCTCGAGCTGGACAAGTGGCCGCGTGTCATGACCACGGCGTCGAGCACCGTCTCGTTGAACGAGCTCGTCGCCCTCTTTGAGAAGAGTCTCGGTCGTAAACTCCAGGTGCGGTACCAGCCAGTGGAGAAACTGCTTAGGCACGAGGCGTTCGACCTCCCCACGAACGTGGACATCGCGGGTCGCTTCCCTGACCGGTTTCCGGGGGGGTTGGAACAGCTGCGGGGGCTTATCGCTGATCTCGAAGCCGGCGTGGCGGTTGGGGCATTTGACTTTGGCAACCTGAGGGGGGATCTTAACCTGGTTGAAGCGTTTCAGGAAACGTCCCCCGCGCCAAAGCTGATCGAAGACTTGGTAGAGGAGGCCTGGAAGGATTCGAGGGAGTCGAGGGAGTGAGCAGGAAGGTGGGGGCCGCGCGTCTTGTGATGGACTTGCGCTTCAAGTAGAAAACTAGGTTACCTTCGCGACCCTGGACCCTGGTACTACCGCCCATGTATTGGTGTTACCCTCAGATGGTTAGGGTATGAAGATGGTCCGAGTGCGTAGTCCGAGTGCTCGCTTACATACCTAGCTTACATGTGATCTCCCTGCGTGACGGATCTTGTCCCAGTCCGGTCACCCCGCCGCTTGGATACAGGAACTTGCCCGGTGCCGATATAAGTACCAATGACATTCACCTCTACTTCTAGCGAGGCCGTGCCGGACCCCGTGGTCAAACGGTATTGCCAAACACGTCCACAATGGCGCCCACAAACAAAGCACAACCCCACCCGTCATGGGTCCAAACCGGCCCGAACACCTACTCGCAGCCGTACGGCTTCCAAGAGGTGCTCTACAACGCCATCTCGGTACCGCCCGGATCCCCGGCCCTCTTTCTGGTAGGCTCGTCTGTCACCTTCAGCCACACAGCCTCCTCTCCCCACGGCGAACTCTCCTCCCACGCCCTAGCCCCTCTGCTCCGCAACGCCTGGCTACAGGTGCGCAAGCAATACCCAGCGCTGGCGACCCAGAACCCTCGGGATGGCAAGAGATACACGTCCCCGTCATCCCCAGAGGACCTCGAAGCCTGGCTCGCCACCACGTTCATCGTGATCCCCGGCAAAAAGACATGGCGTGACCTATGGAAGACCCTGGTCAAGACGGCGCACATGACCCTGTACTACCTGCCGGAGGCACGACAACTCTTCCTCCAAGGCGAGCACCACACCCTCGACGGCCGGGGGTTGATGAACTTCTGGGACCGCTTCTTCCGCGCGCTCGCCTCGCCCGTCAGCACGCACGAGCTGCTGCAGCGGACGGACGGGTCCGAGGTAGCCCGGCTCCCGCCACGCTCCGACGACCTCCTCGGCACGACCGAGCGCCGGCCCGGCCGCGGCGAGCAGCGCGCCCTCGAGATCCTCGCCCCGCTCGCCGCCATGACCGAGCCCATCTCGATGCCGGTCCGCACCCCGCTCCCGGCCCCCTCCCCGCACAACTCGGCCCTCACCCTGCAAGCCCCCGGCCGCACCACCGCCGCGATCCGCGCCGCGTGCAAGGCCCAACGCCTCAGCGTCACCGCCGCCTGGCACGCCGCCGCGGTGCTCGCGACGCAGGCGATCCAGGCGAAACGCTCCACCGTCCGGGGCACGCAGTTCGCGTGCTTCGGCAACTTCGACCTGCGCCGCTACTTCCCCGCCTCACAGTCACAGTCACAGTCACAGTCGGGCCGCGAGGACTCGGACGACGACGCGCCGACCGCGCTGAGCAACCACCACGGGGTGCTGCCCTACGTGGTCGACGCGTCGCCCGGCCGGGCGTTCGGCCAGATGGTGCGCGAGCTGGGCGCCTTCTACGCGCAGGACCTGCCGCGGGCGGACCCGGAGGTGTGGAGCGCGCTGGGGCCGATGATACGGCTGATGGTGCCCGACTTCGCGGTCGCGGGGCCGCAGACAAGGGAGACGACGCCCGCGCTGTCGAGCCTCGGGGTCGTGGACCAGTTCGTCAAGGAGAGGTATGGCGAGTGGGGGGTCGAGGAGGTGTGGTTTGGGGATACGGTTACCGGCCCGTGGCTGGAGCATTTCATGTGGGCGTGGCGCGGGCGGTTGGTGCTGAATTCGTGCTATAATCCGGCGTTTTACTCGCCTGAGGAGGTGGGGGAGTTTAACGCGACAGTGCTGGAGGTGTTGTTGGACGGGTTGGGCGTGGCGGAGCGCGGTAACTTGTAAGCTTTGAAGTGGTAAGGAGGTGCGGTGCGGTGCGAGTATAATAGGTACTCGTTATGCGTTTTATTCTTGTTTCTGTGGCTTCTGAAGAAAATACATAATAGCAAACCCGGCACTTATCCCTTGAAAAGTCGGCACCTTAACAATACGCCTCATCCACCTCCCCGTAGTCACGCTTCCACACGCCGGGGCTGTCCTTTAGGAACTGGGATCGGAACCCGATCATACGCTGGCCCCGTGGACTGAGCGTCTTCGCAATCTCCTTGGAGACGATAAATGGATACGCCTCTTCCGGCGTGAGATAGGAGCACTGGAACACCAGAGTGATAGCCCTCCTCGTAACGTCCTTGGTGCGGTTGGCGCCGCCGCCGTGCACGACCTTGCCGGTGATGAAACAGGCGTCGCCCACCTCCATCTCGGCGGGAATAGTGTCTTCGGGCGTTCCGTTTTGCTGGAGGTCATCCCACCTGTGGCTTCCGGGGATCACTCTGGTCGCGCCGTTCTCGTCGGTGAACTCGGTCAAGGCCACGACGAAGTTGACGCTCGCCTGGGGCGCGTCGGGGCCGCAGTGCGTAAAGATCGGGAACTGCCACTGGTCCCGGTGCAGCGGCTGCGCCTTGCTCCCCGGGCCGATGTCGATGACCTGCGCCGAGTTCATCCAGTACCCGCCCGCATCTTTGAGATAAATCTCCTCACACAGTTGGTGGATCAGGTCGTTCTCGAGGATCTCGTGCCGAAACGTCTCACTGAGCGCGACCACGCCGTTCAGCCGCTTTGTCTTGTCGCCGTGGAAGTCCTTGAGCCATTCCTCGGACTGCTTGGAGCCCAAACCGATGTTGTCCATGGCAGGTTGGACCTCATGGTTGAGCCGGCGAACCTGGTCTTTTGTGAAGAGACCCTTAATGATAACGGCCCCATCCTCGCGCAGGGCTCGAAAGACGGCGTCGCGGCCCTCGGAGGGCTTGACTTGCTGGAGCTTGGGCGTGGTGGACATTTTACCATGAAGATGAAGCGAAAGCAGCTGACGTGAATTGGAACCGTTCGTGCCAGCTGAAATTCATCTGTTATCCGCCTACACAGCCTGTGCGATCTGCGGAAGAGATGCATGACTGGGAAACGAGATGACATGACGCGCAATCCTTCCACGCATGCGCCTCCAGGCCGCAGGGGACCGGTTGCTGGATACCTAGGTACGCTCGGACTCTGCAGTGCGAAGGATTCTATAGTGCAATTATCTTCTCCCAGTCGAGATCCGCTAGCGCGTCCTGTGACTCCTGTCTGACGTCGAAGGGGACAAACACGAGACCGGAGTCACCGGACCAGTCCATCCTCTCGGGCACGGCTTGCGTGAAGTAGACAGTGCGGAACTCTGTATTGTCACAGGCTCCAATGCTAAAGGTTTACGGGAACCGCTTTTGGTTGCCGCTCCTGGAGAGGGCGAGAACCGGTGAGGACGGTAGATCAGGCTGCGTATCCAGAAAGGGATGCCGACGTGGACTAGAATGATGAGCTATACTTCGTGTCGCCGTCCGGGCCGTCCACCAGCCAACTTTGACGACGCCCACACAACTTTCTGCCAAGGTCGGACCGCCACCACCACTACCTCGGCTTACTCGCTAGGGGGAAGCAGACCGAGACGGAGTCCGATATGTAGCACTACCTGAGTCCTCGATTACAATGCCCAGCGGCTGAACGAGAAAGAAGACTAGCGCTGTCGGATTCCCCCGGTCGCATGGCTAAAGAGAAGAACAACAGATACCAGTCTGTCTCGCCCTTTACTGTGTGTGTATCGTGATGTGTGTACGTGTCTGTTTGTCTGGTGTGTGTCTGTGTATATGTCTGTATAATATCACCTAGGTACGGGACCACTGCCTTCCATCTCCTCCTCTGAGACTCGGAACGCATAAGTGTAAACCGCCGTAGGTTCGGCTTCCCCCTAGCCTGCTGAGATATTGCGGCGCTTGTATATATGCCAGGTGTTTCCTAAAATCAGGGTCAATAAATAAGTTCGCACTTTCTTTTCGGAGTTTGTGTGGGGAATTATATGAGAAGGGCTGTATGTCAACTTGAAGCCAATGCGGCCACCGACCACATGTGGCAAAATGGGAAATACCCTCCTCCCTAGGAGTTAAACGGAAAACTGTACCCTCTTATATTTCTCTTTCGTTTTCTAAAAAATGCTAGTGGTGTATTATCGCCGAGTGTCAGGCCCGAGTTTAGGCGAATTTAGGTGCCAAGATGGGAGTGAACTTACTTTTTGACTATGACTATACTATACGGGTACTATTAACACCGGCAGGGACATATAGCCCGCCAGAGATGTACTTATAGGAGCGGCCTGGACTGCGGAAACTTGAGGCAACACTCCCGCCAAAAGAAGAGCAGTTCAACACGGCATATGTTGTCTAGAAGTGGAAAAGCGTACATTGCCCCATCGTGGTCCTGGGGCTCAACATCGGGCGCCGTTCGCTATTTCTTGAGTATCAGTTCAAGTTCGAACCCTTGGCCGAGGTCCTCGCCTTGTCCTACGTGCAAACGTCGTCAGATCCCACTGGTGCTGTCAAAGGAGGCTCCCTGAAGATTACCGGTCAGTTCTAGGCTATCGTGTTGGAAATCAAACCTCGCCCAACGGCTCCTTGCGATTCGAGCTCCAACGCTTATGCATTCATCTATGAGCCCGGGGAAGACGAGGTTCGGCCTTTCCCGGACAGAGCGATGGAGATCGGAGTATACTCTCAGGGGTATCAGTGTCTTGTTCTAGGCGCCAACATCGATACCTAGGTTCAATGGAGCGAAAAGGCTCTAGTTTTTAGTCGTCAAGGAGAAAGAGATTAGGTGGTCGGATGGGCTGCGGGTTGACAAATGAACGGGGATTGGGTTTATAAATTGGACCGACAGCTGGCTGCTATATTCGGACTTCGAAACTGTAGAAGGCTAAGCGAGCGGGTTGAGAAACAGATTCTTGCCAGCAATCAAGGAGCCCTTTGTCCCATAAGCTGGTACCTCATGGTGCCAGGTAAACGAGGGTTCCAATGGATCAAGTGGAGTAGAAACATTTGTTATAAGTTGTAGATGCCTGAGAAACACGAAGGAGAGAGATTTGGGTGTGCCTGGGGGGCTGGGCACCCAGGGGGTTTGGGGTAGTGAGAATCCAGGTTCTGGGAAGCCGTGAGGGCCTAGACAAATCCAGTTTCGACCGGACAAGTTTTGCTGAAACCAGCACCACGATTCTTGCCCTTGATTGCGCACTTCGGGCTTCCCCTGAGCACCCGACAGGTTTGGAAACTTGCAAACTACAGAAAGGCCCAAGACGCGGTAACACTAGGAGCCTACCTCGAGAAACCTTGACACTGCTTTGTACGCAATCAGGTGACGTCCCGCCGTTCAAAGGTACCTATGGTTGTAAATCCCCCTTTGGTAAGCCATCACATCGTGAAGGCAAGGGATCAAAGCTCCGTGTTCGAGTGGAGGCCGCACATCGCCAGCAGGCCCACGGCCTCGGGATACGAGTCCACAAACGGGCGCCAGAACTCCCAATATAAAACAACTGGCACATTCTCCACCGTCAGCTTCCACCTCGCCCTCTCGCCATGCACCTCCGCATCGCGCGCGAGTCGCCTCAGAATCCACAGCACCAACTCGGCGATACGTCTCTCCTGCTGCCCACCCGTACGATCTGGTTGTTGGCGCACACAAAAGTACCACGCCCTGGCAAACTCATCCAGCAGCGTCGGCACCGCCATCACCCTGGCCTTGGTACGCAGCATCACCCCCACCCACCCGATGTACGGCTCCGGCATGCGCAACGGCCGCGCCGTCTCCAGCCGGCGCCACCTCGCGGCGCCCACCGTGCGCAGCCGGAACCCGACCACCTCGGCCGTGCCCTCGAGCGGCACCCCAATCACCTCGGCCGTGCGACTCCGTTCCTCCCCTTCCGTACCCCGACCCCCGTCGTCGCCATCGCCATCCACACCATCCTTCCCCTTTACCGCCTCACCATCATCTTCCTCCCAGCCAGGTTGACCCTCCTCCACCGCGGGCGGGTACACGGCCCACCCCACGGCGCACGCCCACGACAGGATGATGAGCTTGTCGTCCACCGGGCAGACGATGCCGACGTAGGGGGGCATGGCCAAGGGGTCGGCGGCTGGGTCGGCGGTTGAGTCGGGGCGGAAGCCCCATACGGCCAGGGCCGAGCGGCCGCAGACGGCGTAGTGGGTGTGGGCGAAGGCGGCGTTGAAGGTGTCGAGCAGGCGCTTGAGGGAGGCCGGGGTTAGCGGGGTGGTGGATAGGGGTGGCGGGTCGGGGCGGCGCGCGGCGGGGCGGCCGGGTTGGGCGCTGCTTTGGGTGGTGGTGGTGCTGGTGGTGTTGGACATGATGGGAGTGGGGTTTGGGGTGAGTTGGGGGGTTGGTTGGAGGTTGTTGAGGCAGGGAAGGGGAGGGAGTGGACGGCGCGTTTGGCGGTTGGGGCTTTGAGCGGCCTTTGTGTGCGTTCTTTTGAACGTGTTCTTTGCAACGGCCGGGTGATGGCTTGTTGGCAACCTTGGACAGGGCTGATCGGTTGGGGAGGTTCTCATGGCGTGTCGGGGTTTGGCCCGCGGTGTTCTGGCGGATGGCCCCTTCGAGGAGTTGGGGAATGTTGTTGCGACTTGGTAAGTGCGAGGTACAGATACGTCTGCTGCGTTTGGGATATCCAGGCCAATACCCTCATCCGGCTCATAGATTTGGGGTGTTTGTTTTGCGCTAGTCTGAGGAGACCTTGTTGCTCTGTCAGCGTTGGCAGGAGTAAATGGGATGATGCGCGTTGGAAATCTATCTGCCTCGCTACGTGGTACCTCTTTAGTTTTCGGGAGTCTACTAGCATCACTTCCTCTGAGCTGTTCCACTTGGCAGTGATTGCTGAGACCGTTACTAGGGGGGTTTGCAACTCGTGCGGCACTATAGGTTCTGCTGCTTGGGCATTGCGGCTCTTGTTCCGCGTGGGCTTTGCTGCCACAACCAAGAATACGCCAGCGAGAGGGACGTCGATCTCGGGAGTGTGTTGCGGTTGGGGAAACGCCGGGTGGCATTGCGATTATAAATTCTGAGAACGGCCGTTCTCCCTTGGGGTCTGGGGAAGATATAAAAGTTTGGGATTCGTCAAGACGCATGCGCGTTTCCGCTTTCAAGGGCGCACGGCGGGTCAGCCAGCTGAATGCATCAGCTGTCTTCCAGAGGAGTTTTTGCAACATGGTGAAGCAAGGGTGGCGAGATAGGGTGTGCTTTGAGAGCATGGGTTGTCTTTAAATGGAGGGCAACTATCGAGGTCGACTCCTTGTTGACATCTCGGCCCTCAAAAAAGGACCGAGGGTCAGAACAATACTCGAATGACAATCACCCCGAACCCCCCTCGGAGGCATGAGTCCGGAACAAAGGGGCATGCGACAAAGAACTTACCACAAAGTAGCCACCACCAATGTTAAGAGGCAGAGCACTAGGCACATGTTTTGCTGGGTCGCGGCAACGGACGAGGCGCTAGAATGCGCCAAACAAATGGCTACCCGTCTAGCTCCCTTGCCCTACCCGAACGCCTAGTCATACAACGCCTGGCCGAGGTCACCGCTCGCCCAAGGGTATGTCGATTTAGCCGTGATTTCAGAGCTCCTCTTCCTCTACTTCCATCTGGTCACCATTTCGCTGGCTACTCGGCCCACCCGGCGCGTCCTTCTTCGCCATCGTGGCCTCCTTGTCGATCATTTGCCTCGACACCGCAACAATGTTGTCTTCGATTAGCTGCTGCCCAACATCCTCCAAATGCTTCTTGGGGTCCAGTTTGCCAACGTAGCGTGTCTTGAGTTGGTCCTTAGTCAACTCTGTCTCCTCCTTGACCCTCTTCTCGTAGCCCTCGGCGAGGCTAACCAGCCGCTCGAGGCGGTCCTTCGTCCGCTGACCTTCGGTTCGGAAATCCTCCATCTGCAGGGCATCTGTCCATGGGTGCTTGTGCAGGTTCATCAACATGTTCTCCTCGAGGGCCGTCTTCCTGTAGTTGATGCCGATGGAGTAGTAGTGGCGGTTGAGGCCATGAATAAGCGCCTGGATAGAGGGTTTATTCAAGTGACCCAAGTTCGACGTGGTCTGACGGGGCTCTTGGCCCATCATGAGAGACTGTGGGTTGATCAGGCGGAACGCATCGATAACGACCTTGCCCTTGACCGACTGAATGGGGTCGACGACGACCGCAACCGCACGCGGGGTAAGCTGCTCGAAACTTTGTTGGGTATTGATGTCGACCGACGAGAGCCAGCAACCGAAACCGGGATGGGAATGGTACCAGCCAACGACGGACTCGGGTCTAGAGCATGTGTCAGTGGCTTGTTCCAAGGCAAGGTGTTCGCCTCCACAATACACACCTGCCGGTCTGCCGCAGCATATCCATCATCTTCATTTGGAAGACTGGGTCGACAGCCTCTACACTGACCCCGGTACCGCTTTGGGGCATGGCAAACACATCCACCACACGAACAGTAAAGTCGTCCACAAACTCGCCGAGCATCAGACCCATGACTTCCATGGGTACTCCGGCGCGACCGTGCCGGAGCATCTTGAGGAGGGCGAGGGATGAGATGTGGACTGTTTCGGAATTGTCGATGAGGTTGGTGTTATCCTAGGAAGGCGCTTGTCAGTAAATGCGGTACAAAAACAACAAACTCCTAGGAAATCGTACCGTCCCCGGGGCAGAGCCGCCTAAGCTCATGCCGCCGCCGAGCAGGTTTCTGAATCGCTCCATGTTTGCTCGGGCAACTGCAACGAGGAGGGGTAGAAGACGGGTGGAGGTGGTTGTCTGGTTGCAGAAAAGGCAAATCGGTAGGACAACGTCACCCAGTCGAGAGGTCGAATAGTAACCTAAAAATGGAGATGGCTAGGCGTCGTCGATGCGGGAGGTGGGTTGTGTTGTTGGGGGTGGGAGCGATTGCTGTTGGAACTGGAGCTCCTGCCCCAGGCTGGTGTTGACGAAAGCGCTGGCAGCCTGCAGCTCACGATTACCTAAGCTTGGTGTGTGCGCTCATCGGCAGTCTTGCCCCACAGAGCTCTCGCCCCCATCGATATCATGCCCGCCCACAAAAGCCCAGGAACCCAGCCTTGCATGTCTCCAAAAGCCGAAGTTTAACCGCTGCCAATCAGCTCTCCCAGTTTTGCTTGACGCACGAGCCTTTCATCCCATCATCCAATGGGCATTGCGATACCGATAAGCTCTCCCCATGCGACATCCACCAAGCGGCTCTTCGCCCTGGCGTGTCTGGGCAAGATGGGTGCTCCCCCTGCGAACCAGCAACTGTGATACCTCTGATTCAATCTCCTCAGACGACCATTGAATTCTACCTATCTCGCAGATCGTACAGCATTTGGCCTCCTGACCTAACTATCTTCTAGCGAGGGATCGGCCAGCGAATCTGACAAGCAAAGCGATCGTGACTACGAACAGAGGGAAGACTTGGTTATCGAGCAGCGAAGCAAGCGCCGATCATCCCGCGAAAAAGGTTGGCAACAACCTTTCACCTAGCATTGTTTTCGACCCGGCACCTATCAACTCTTCGATTGCGAATCTCGACCGCCTAGTTTCTGACGCCAGCAAGGCAACAGTTGTTAAAAACATGCCGAAAACCACTGATCCGTCGGGAGTCGAGCGCACCCGGCCGCTCTATGAAGTTGTCAATAACGACAAAAAGAGGGTTGCGTACTTCTACGACTCCGACATTGGTAACTATGCCTACGTCACCGGGCACCCGATGAAACCGCATCGGATTCGTCTTGCCCACAGCTTGGTGATGAACTACGATGTTTACAAATTCCTCGAGATTTACGTGAGTCGATCGTGGGGCGGGGTCAGGTTTTGGGACATCTGCTAATGGTATTTCTTGCCTGAAAACAGCGCGCGAAGCCAGCGGTCACGTCGGAGATGACGCAATTCCACACAGACGAATACATCGAGTTCCTTCAAAAAGTCACGCCCGACAACATGGACGGTTTCATGAGGGAGCAGGGCAAGTACAACGTTGGCGACGACTGTCCGGTGTTTGATGGTCTCTTCGAATTCTGCGGGATAAGCGCAGGTGGTAGCATGGAGGGCGCCGCTCGTCTCAACCGGGAGAAGTGCGACATTGCTATCAACTGGGCTGGAGGCCTGCACCACGCGAAGAAGAGCGAGGCTAGCGGTTTTTGCTACGTCAATGGTATGTGCTCACGAGAGCGAGGTCTTCATTGCGGGTCCGGTTTGACTGATGCACTTCTGCAGACATTGTGCTTGCCATTCTCGAGCTGCTCCGCTTCAAGAAGCGCGTCCTTTACATCGACATCGACGTCCATCACGGTGACGGTGTCGAGGAGGCTTTTTACACGACCGATCGTGTCATGACAGTCTCGTTCCATAAGTATGGCGAATACTTTCCTGGCACCGGTGAGCTTCGCGATATCGGCATTGGCAACGGCAAGCACTATGCTGTCAACTTCCCCCTACGCGATGGTATCGACGACACAACGTACGACACCATCTTTGAGCCCGTCATCGAGGCTGTCATGAAGTATTACCAGCCCGAGGCAGTCGTCCTCCAGTGTGGTGGCGACAGTCTCTCTGGTGATCGTCTCGGTTGCTTTAATTTGAGCATGCGTGGCCACGCAAACTGCGTCAATTACGTACGCAGCTTTGGTTTGCCCACTCTCGTCCTCGGCGGTGGTGGCTACACCATGCGGAACGTCGCCCGCACCTGGGCGTACGAGACTGGCCGCTTGGTTGGGGTGGAAATGGACGCGGTTTTGCCATACAACGAGTACTATACGGTAAGTCATCTCGGCATCCTTTGGCACCCGACAAGATGCTAATTGTTCCCAGTACTATGGGCCAGACTACGAGCTCGATGTGCGGTCTTCCAACATGGAGAATGCGAACAGCTACGAGTATCTGGAGAAGATCAAGATTGCCGTCATCGAGAACCTGAAGCGGACCGCTCATGCTCCCTCTGTTCAGATGCAGGACGTTCCTCGCCAGAGCATGGGCATGTCCGACGACCAGGATGCTGAGCTCGATGACCGTGACGAGGACGAGAACCAGGACGTCAGGTTAACGCAGCGGCAGTGGGAGAAGCGCGTCGAGCGCCAGGACGAGTACGAGGAATCCGATGATGAGGATGTGGCGCGTGCCAACGGCGTCTACAAGCCTAATGGTCGTTCTCGCCAAGAAACCAACTTCCGCCCTACGAACAAGGAAGATGACACTATGGAGGTTGACAGCCGTGCTGCTACGCCGCCCGAGCCTGTCGTGGAATCCGCTGCGGACAATGACGAGACGATGATCGAGGAGGCCTTGGCCGAGGTGTTGGCAGAGGTCGCTCAGACAGAAGCTCAGAACGCCGCTGCGGTCGAACAGCCCGCAGAGGCAGAAAAGACAAAGATTGACGGCGATGGCGATGTTGACATGACTGAGGCCGCCATCCCCGACGTCAAAGAACCTGAGGCCACAATCAAGAGGGAAGAGGTCGAGGGCATCTCGGCAACCGAGGCAGAGCCTACCAAGAGCCCGGTCCCCGAGACCAACAAGGTGGCCGACGACAGCGAGGCTTCCGCCCCGAAGGAGCGTGGCTCTGCCTCCCCCGAGGTCGCCATGCCGGATGCCAAGCCGGCCGCCGAGGCCCCTACCGCGGAGACCTCGGACAAGCCCGCCACTGACGAAAAGAAGGCGGGCGACGAAGAGGCGACGGCATAGTCTCCGATGCGCTCCGCAGTTGCGGCCGAGGTGTCCGGATGTTTTTGAAGGTGGTTTGCGACGGCGTTCAGGAAGGCAAGGGCCGAATAGGATTGGCGGTTTTGGGTCGAATTTTCGAATTGGTGTTTTTGTGTCTGAAGCACGGCAAGTTAGTAGTAATATACCACTATGGGATGGTTTTTACGTGTATATTCATGGCTTTTTTATTGTCATTGCCCCCCTTGTTTTATGTCTTTCCACTTGCCAGTGACGAGTGTCAGATCTTGATTTGCCCGTACCCGACGGCATTTGTACCTTCCAACTGCTCCTTTGCTGTCAATGCCACGAGGCGCTTAAGCAAAGGGGTTTCCCATGAAGCCACCGCCGAGTGATCATAGCCAAGGGCCAAACCGACGTTGTAGGAGACTCCTCAGCTGAGGGGTTCTGAAGCCCCAGCTTCAATAACGAGCGTCGGCGAACCATCTTGCCCGTACTTCACGCCCTTCGATGCTCCTAGGTCAGTACTTTGATCACAGGATTTGAAGGTGCGGCCGAGCGGGGGATGAAGAGAACCGCTGGTGGTTTCGTCCTGATCTCCTCTTCCGACCTTTTCCTTTCCTTCTTCTGGTAATTTGTCTTCTAGAATTTGCATTTTCGCTATCTTCCTTCTTGCCTTCTTTTCTTCCTCGGTCATGACCTCTATTGTGCTTCTTCCTTACCCATACCCATAAAGAGTTGCCAGCACAGTGACTTGGGTACCTTTAAAGTTTACCATCAGACGAACCTCTATGTAAGGACAGCGCCCACTTCCCGTCTGGGGAAACCGCAATCGCGGTCTATCCTGATCCAGAATAGTCCCGCATGTTACGTTCCACGTACCTGTGCGTCCATCCCATTGGGGCTTGTTGTACGTACATACTTCGTGGAATCCGGCTCTCTCTCCTTTTCGGGCCACTTTACGGATACATCCATGGTTAAAGATGGTCCCGAAGGGATGGTATATCGGGCCCGTTATAATAGGGCACACCCGCCCCGAGACGCAACAGGTTGCCGAGACCGTTGCGGCCCGCACTGGCCGGAATTGCGCGTGTTATTTTAAGACACAACCCTGTCCCGACCAGCTCCAGAAGGGGCTGCGGGGTGGCAGAGATGCAACGCTGGGGCGCGCTAGCCTCTGAAAATCCTGGACTATTGAAGGGGAAAACCTGGATTGCTGGGCGCATTGACGGGACCATGACTGTGGACGGGCGGCCGAATTGGGGGAGTGGGACCCGTGCTGGAAAAGGTCTTTTCTTGCCGGGGAGATGGAAAATGGAAGAGTCGGAATGTGTTAGCCTCCAACACGAGGCCCCACGCTCACACACCAAGGCCCAGATCCTCGGGTGTGGATTGACAACATCCCCGGTTGCTGTCCTTTTTTTCCCTTTTTGTTTCCCGCTGTCGTCGATCCCCGTACGCCGCCTCGTTCGTGCGCATCGCGGGTTTTGGAGCAACCCTGAATCGCCAGCGTTCCATGACTGAAACACGCGTCTTGCCAAGCGTTGATCAGCACCTGGAAGGACTGATCGCTCGAAATTCCCCGACGACATGTGGTCCTTTGTCCGCTCCGTATCACTCGCCTCGCTAGTAGCGACGACAGTCACTGCAGAACTCAGTTTCAAGGCGAGCATCCAACAGGAAGGCCAAGATGTAGACGCCTCAGCCCTAGACTTTGTCCGGATCCCGGCCCTACAACACGGCAAGCATGCCTCCCGGCTGCATCGAAATCACGCCAAAACAGAGGAGAGGGATACTATTAGTTACAGTTCCAATTGGTGCGGCGCATCGCAACACACGACGCCGGCGGACAGCATCACCAACGCGATCGGCTACTTTACCGTCCCGGACCTGACGCTCCGGCCGGGGATCCCGGCGCCGCAGTTCGCTGCTGCGTGGGTTGGGATTGACGGGGCGGAATGCAACACGACCCTATTGCAAGCCGGCGTGACGACTGTTGTAAGATAAGAGCCTGGCCGTGGGAGTATCGAATCCGAGAAGCGTGACTAAAGCTGTGGACAGGTCAACTCTAATGGGGGGCAGAGCTCCTCGGCATGGTGGGAATGGTACCCGGAGGCTGCCTTTAACATCGACGGCCTCAAGGTCAAACCGGGCGACTGGGTGTCGGTAAATATCACAGCGAGGGATGAGACGAGCGGGATAGTGTAAGTGGTTGCGGCGGGAGAGGCAGTTCCCGGCGATCCCTTGGCGCGACGATCTGACAAAAACTAGGGTCATCACCAACTCGGAACAGGGCACCTCAGTCACGATGGAGATCAATAACGGGCCGAAGCTGTGTCGTCGGGATGTCGAGTGGATCGTGGAGGATTTTTACCAGGCGGGCGAGCAGGTCGAGTTGGCGCACTTCTCGGACCTCTGGTTCGTCGACTCGGGAGCGACGACGGACAGGGGCAAGTCGATTGGCTTCGACGGGGCGACCATGGTGCATCTTCAAGACTCGGACGGAAGCGTCCTTTGCACGGCTGAGCCCTACGACAACTCCAACGTGGTTATCGTATCGCATCCCTAGCCAAGACCTTCCATACATTAATTAACAGAGGGGCATTGCGTCCTTAATTTAGAGCCAGCAAGTTCACGATACTAAGGTTGCATCGACCGCACGTGGGTCTCGTGGTTGCGCTTGCAGTTGACCGATGGATGGTTTTTCAATTTTGGATTGTGTTGGGGGGATTTGCTTCGAGATTTTTTGGTGACCCGGCCCGTGCAGTTCCATGGTCTGTGCGCAAATCCGGTTTTGCCCTCTCCCCCTGTCTCTGCCTGTCACAGCTTGTCTCGAGCCTGTCCCCTGTCAGGGCGGCAGGCCTGTGCCTGTCTGCATGGCAATCATTCCAGGGACGCCTTCCGACTGGAATTTAGAAGAGCCGCATCAACCTCGAGTTTTGACATCATCAACAAGTCATCGAGTTTTTTTCACGTCGACCCCAACCGTGCCATTCCGAACCACCGCACAGCCGGCGGTGCGTGCATCGTCTCCATACCCGCCAGGCCTCCCCCATGACGCCAATTGGGCGCAAACCTGAAATCTCGGTTCTCATTCCCCCGACCCGCCGTGATCGAGGCCCAACTCGCCAAGCGATAAAAAACCGACTCACGACAGCTGATTGACTCACTCGAGCAAGGTGTGCATGGACGTCATGGGTGGATGGGGGTGATGGGAAAGAGAATTGCGCTCCTCGGCTCCCCCGCTCCTACGCATGATGGTGCATTATCCGCCCTGTTCCCGAGCGCGAGGTGATGCAATTGACTTTTCCATGGCGGCTTGCGGCTTGCGGCTTTCGCCTGTCGGGCGGGTAGATCGGATGCGGCATCCCGAGTGACGGTTGGACCTTCTTGGCCGGGCTGAGGAATGACGTGTGGGCCCGCATGTCTTGCGAAAACTTCAAAACTCGAAACCAAACGGCCCACCGAAGTGGCGGTAAACAATGCACCGAGTCAAAGATTACGAGCGCAGGGGCGCGTGCTGGCCCGGCCGTTGCCAAAGCTCTGGGAACGTGGGCGGGAGTGAGCTCTTGGACTCGATGGCCTGGACTCTTTATCAGTGGAGACTTGGGCGACCAGAACCCCGACCGAAGATCTCGACAAACACTTCATCCTGGGCACCTTAGACTTTGCCGTCACAATGGGTTCCACCTTCCCGGTGAGCGGCAAGCTTCTGGATGCCGCTTCTCCAGCAAGATCCGAGTCACGAAACAAAGAGAGCTGCTCCCCCCCTCCCGCGGCTCCCGACCCGTGCGAAGCTCTTTGAACCGCCACCCTTCTCGCCTCTCTCCATGTCCGTTTTGTGATTTGAGATTGTGCTCCTCTTCTCAATCTGTCGATCTAGTTTCTCCCACCTCCATACCCGCCCCACCGGCAGTCAATCCAAATTTGTGAGAGACAAACTGAAGCTCCCAGGGCCGCCCCGATCGCCCAACCCCTCGACCAACGTTCTCGAACTCATAACCCCATTCCCACTTGTTCCCCTATAAACCTAATTTGAGGACCTGATCTCCGGCCTAGATCAGAGGGGCTCATCATTGTTTGAACGGGTCTTGCCGCAGCGATGGCGTCGCCGCGTGCACAGGGAGACCAAATCACGCCCGGGGGGGCTAGCCCCGACCAGCAACAAGATTCCTCTATCTCTCCTTCACCACAGGGGACCACCGAAGGGCTACAGCCGCTCAGGGGCAAAGAGAAGAAGAGGGTTGGCTTTGCGAGTGACAGTAACGGTAGCACTCTCGGCAGCCCATTCCGTGTCACGCCCAATGAACCGCAGTATGACGGCCAGGATTACTTCTCCTACGCTCCATCGCCATACAGCAACGGCTCTACTCCCTTGAACGGCGAACACTTAACCAGACGACCTTCTGTCGACGAGGCCGAACTTGCCGCCGCGGTGGCCGGGTATTTCGAAAAGAACCAGGCCGGTGGCCAGCCCGGCCCGAGCCGACCTCGTCCGGTGCTTCGGAAGTCGTCTGCTCTCCCAACATCCGCCGACATGCCAACCACACCCCACAGGTCTGAAGTCGAGGCCAAGAACCGGGCGGATCGGCTCGCTTATGCCGTCGGGACTGCCTCGGCTCCCGTATCAAGGCGGGCGTCAATCGACTCCGGAAGAGGAACCATCGTCCAAGACCGCTTGCTCGACTCGGCAGCCTCCTCGGCCCAAGATTTTACGTTCCCCTCGGGAGACTCGGAGAAGGTCAGGCCTCGCAGAAACGCACAGTTCGAGGCCGATCAACTCGTGCGGACCCATCGACGCCACAAGAGCCCGTTGCTGAACTCGTTCCTCCCCCCGAGGTCTGGCACCGCCACGCCAATTGACCACGATTGGGAATATGTGCCCGCGCCGAGCACATACAAGGGCGGCATTTTAGGAACGTTGCTGAAGCTATACGGTGGCGAGGACAGGTATGGCACCGCATACCCCGACTCTAGCGCAGCGAGCACGCCGGGGAGCACTCCCCCGACCTCGAGGTCCAGCACACCGAAACCGGATAACCGCCGCCCCCGACCATGGAGGACCCAGTCGTCGAGCACCTTGACAGGCCTCATGGAGTCTTCGTTTATGTTCGCTGCCCCCGGATCTGCTAAGGACATCTCTGACGCAGTGTCCGAGAAGGTGAAGTTGGAGGCGGGCAAGGCCAAGAAACCATCAAAATCCAGGAAAAAGAGCGACGAGTACCGCATCAAGATTCACATCGCCGAGATCATCAACCGCCACGCCTACCTGCTCAAACTGTGCAGGTCCCTCATGATCTATGGTGCTCCGACCCACCGGCTGGAGGCGTACATGACGATGTCGGCTCGTGTGCTCGGGATCGAGGGCCAGTTCTTGTACCTTCCGGACACCATGATCATCTCGTTCGATGATAGCAACACTCACACGGCAGAAGTCAAGATTGTGCGTGCCGGTCAGGGCCTCGACTTTGGTCGCTTGCGCGACGTCCACGAGATCTACAAGGAGGTAGTGCACGACCGCATGGGCGTCGACGAAGCAACCGCACGCTTAAAGGACATCACGGCTCGCAAGCCAAAGTTTCCCGTCTGGCTGCGCATCTTCCTCTACGGTATCGCCTCGGCAATGGTTGCTCCATTTGGCTTTGAGGGCCGTTACATCGACATGCCCATCTGCTTCATTCTCGGCTGCCTCGTTGGATTCCTGCAGCTTTTCCTCTCGCCGTCGAACGAACTCTACGCCAACGTATTCGAGATTACAGCGGCAGTTGCGACCTCATTTTTGGCCCGGGTGTTCGGTTCGATCTGGGATGGCGAGCTCTTTTGTTTCTCGGCTCTCGCACAAGCATCCATCGCTCTGATCCTGCCGGGTTACATGGTCCTTTGCGCGAGCTTGGAGCTGCAGAGCCGTCAGTTGGTTTCGGGGTCGGTCCGCATGGTTTACGCACTCATTTACACCCTCTTCCTTGGCTACGGGTTCACCATCGGGTCGGTCATTTACGGATACATGGACAGCAACGCCGTCAGCACCGTGCACTGCTCGGTCGGCGATAGCTGGTACACGCAGCGACCGCCGGAGAACTACTACCTGTTTTTCGTCCTCTCCTTTACCCTATGCCTCTGCGTCATCAACCAAGCCCAGTGGAAACAAACACCAGGTATGAACTCCCGCCCATACGCCCGCGGGAATAGAAAAGTTGCTAACACCCCTTGCAGTGCAAGTCTTCATTTCTGTCGCCGGCTTTTGCGTCAACAACTTCGCGTCGCGCTTCTTCAAGGGCAACGGCATTGTCTCGAGCTCTCTGGGCGCGCTCACCATCGGTGTGCTCGCCAACCTCTACTCCCGCCTCGGCCGGTACGCACAGAACTGGCTTCTCGATATCTGGGAGCAGCAAATCGAGCCCCGCCTCAACCGGCTCACCGGCAAGCGCGCACAGCACTCCCCCTACTACAACTGCCCGCCAGCGGTCGAGTCGGACGAGACGCTCGCGTCGGCCAACCCCAAGATGTCGCCGCGGGACCCGGAGATGGGCGGCGAGAACCCGGACCCGTCGGCGGGCCTCACGCCGCGCGCCCGCAAGATCGGCTACGGCCTCGCCGCCGCCGCCATGCTCCCGGCTATCTTTGTCCAAGTGCCGTCGGGCCTGGCCGCCAGCGGCTCGCTGCTGAGCGGCGTCACCAGCGCCGACCAGATCGTCCACAACCAAACCATTTTGGCCAACGGCACCATCGTCAACGGCAGCATGTCCATGACCACGACCCAGTCTGCCGACTTGAACAACTCGGCGTTCAACGTGCTGTTCAGTGTGATCCAGGTTGCTATCAACATCTCGGTGGGGCTGTCGCTGAGTGCGTTATTGGTGTACCCGCTCGGGAAGAGGAGGAGTGGGTTGTTCAGTTTCTAGAACCAGGGGATGGTGGGATTAAGGAGTTGGATGATTGCAAGGGCCAAATGGGGGGTGTTTGACGGCTTGGGACCGGAGCCCTTGCCGATGCGGTGTTTTTCCTGGTAGCCGGTGTTGGCATCTTCCGTTCGGAGTTAAGTGGTTTCACGGTTGAGTTATTGCATTCAGCGTGCGAGTTCAGGATTTAGGGTTCGGGTGTTCACACTTTTTTCTCCGGTTGGGATCTGGGAGCATTACATTGGGGGATATCACGATAAACATCATTCATGACAAACATTCATACACGGCACGGGTTAGATTACACAAAAAGAATTAGTAGTAATACATCTTGGCCGGCAGGTAACGGCGCTATCCATCCAGTCCAGCAACCCCAATGGGAACGGAATGATCGTTGAAGGGATATGAGAAGAAATGCGGGAAACGTGGCGGGCGACGGAATACCCCGTAAATCCAAGTCTTTGTTGCTCTAGAATGGATGCTCAAGCGCAGCTACCGTGCGGCACGTCCAGCCCGTCCCGGGTTACATTCCACCCTCCATGTCCCTCTATCTTGTTTTCTAATCCCGGCCCCGTTTCTTTATCACTCCCTCTAGCTGAAGTGGTGCACAGCCTGAGCCTGAAAGGAGGGCCCCTAGGGTAGGTGGGACAAGAAAAGGCTCTTTCCGTTAATCACCAAATCTGTTGAGTGTAAAATCGAGGAAAGGAAAGGGAAGGAACGGGAAAACAAAATGTGATAGACAAGGCAATGCCAATAATAGGTTAGCATCTTCTTTCTCCCTATTCTTCCCGGCCTACCACTATCCTATCTTCTCAACTTAGATTGCCACTTAGGTTCGTGCCCGCCTCCTTCGCCGCGTTATAGTAAGTCATGCTGTCCAAGAAACGGCTTGCGTTAATGGGCAAGGGATTGGGCTCGAGATCTTGAACGGTGGTCATCAAGCGCAAAGGTGCATATAGTTGTTTAGTACTAGTACTACTACACAGTCGTGTGTTAGGAGGAAGTTACCATGACGCATCAAAGGCGGGAGTGGTGGGGCCGGCCTGAGGATCTCGGAAGAAGGGAAGCCAACCTGGAACCGAGCACGAGCCAACTCTGGACTCAAGGTTCCATTCTTCCTACATTTGTACCCAAGTTTATGTTCGCCAATTCCACGTAACGTGACAACCGTGACCTTGCCCCAAACAGCCTCCTTTATCGTCGATCACTCGGCATGTTATAAAATACGTGAGCCGACGACGCAGCTGCAGAAGGTTGCGAAGACGACAACCCCCCAGAGCAAGCCTGCCGAAGTCACAGTCATGAACGATGCTGATGAAGAACCCGAGGTGTATCCTCACCCCTGGACCGCTGAAGCGTGGGAAAGAGCAGGACAAGCGGTTCTGAGCGGCAACATACCACCGGAGCCCGTAATACGCTTCCCCGTCGTTCTCACCCCCGACGGTCCGATTTCCTCGGCCTCGAAACTCCAGCAACTAGCAGAGACGGAATCACTTCCTGAAGCCACGGTGACGAGTGAAGTCGACATACATGACCGGGAGATTAGCAAGGTGACCATCTGCAGCCTTGAGTGGGACGAGTGGGAGAGGATGGGGGAGAAAGCCCACGTCTCTTATGGTATTGGTGGGGGTGGTATGTTGGTCATATTTGAGGGTAGGCAGAGGTATGCGGGAATTGTGACGGCTCTGAAGGAAGGCGTTACGCTCGAGGATGAAGACGATGGAGGCAGTGCAGGCGAAAGTCGAGGGGAAGGGGTGACGGAATCTCCAGAGCCCGCCAACCCAAAACCTGGGAGTGATGGAGAACCAGTGACAGAGACATAGGCCGGGCGCTTGCCTCGCTTGTTCTTTTGCAGCGGTAGTGGACGTATATATCCCCCAATGACAGTCATTCGGCGGTCCGTGCCTGCGCAACCACTGCCACACTGTTTTGCCATCCTTTCAGCAACCTGCCTCATTGCTCTCCCGTGCCCTTCATAAAACGCTAGGGGTATCTGCAACGCACCTTCTTCGTTCGATAGGTATGGGCGGCGAATTCATAAGACAAATTTGTCTCATGCCCCGAAGAAATATGGAACAAAGCTCATCTTGCTTCTCGAAAACAAGCCCTTTCCGGCTTGATCTCTGATAGTCTCCACAGCTTGGAAGTTCCTTATCTTGCTTGTGGATGTATCGTGGCTTAAATCGCACTTCTTTTGACCGTCGTTGTTTGCTAAGATGACCTCCTCGAGATGAGAGAGGGTCTGAAATGTTGACTAACACAAGCGTCCCCGTCCCTCTTGACAATTCGACCCACTTGCTCTTCGATGCGACGAGGCACCGGCTGGGACATGTTGGCTGAGGCTCGAACGGGATGTGATGTACAAGACCTTTTACGACAAGCAACCCAAAATCCAATGCGTTCCAATTCCGGGCTGTTCGTGTTCCTATCACTCCAGCCTCCGGGCCATCGCAGCTCTGCACAACGAGGGACAAGACACTGACGCTTAGCGTTGCGCGTCACGTTGTACCCCCACATGACAGGTGCTGTCAGCCTGCGAGGCAACAGGAAGAAGGCCGTCTTGGCGGCCACACAGGGGAGGAGGGGGGAGCTGCATTCCGGGGTGGGCCCAATGACTCATGCCGCAGTGTTGACCGAGAACAGTCACCACGGACATGGCACGCCGATCAACACGCCCTCCCCACGACAAGGTGAGCAACAGGTCCGGTCATCAGCTCAGAGGCGCACAGTTCAAGCCACGAAGAAAAGATGTGATCCAAAAAGTCAACGTATTATCATTGTTTGTCCCGTGGTATCTTTCCGGAACGCCATTGCCAAACCCGTCGGCAGCCCCTCAACACCATGCCAAAAGTAATCCCAGTATTTTCCCCGGGTGACCATCCCGTCCCGAGATCATGCCCAAACAAGCGTAAAACGTAAAACCATAAGCCATAAACCATAAGCCCTCATTCCAAGCTCAGACGTGCTTCAGGAGCCGCCTGTACTTCTCCAAGACCAAGTCGCGGTCGTTGGCCTTCCAGCGCAGCCGCTGGTCCTCGTCGATGGTGATGGCGTCGGCGTCGCGGCCGGCCAGCGTGCCCGGGGCCGGGGTGACGGGGACGGCCTGGCGGACCAGGTCGCCGAGCAGGCCCTTGTGGGGCACGCCGCACCACTCGGCCTCGTAGACGAGCCACTCGCCCAGGCTCTTGAGCTGGGGCTTGACGGCCGGGTCGAGCGCGACGCCGGCCCCGCAGCTGAGCCGCGCGAGGCACCCGACCAGCAGCACCCACGCGGTGACGTCGCCCGCGCTGGAGGCCCCCGGCGGCTGCCGGAACGCGACGGCCCCGAGGCCCGCGCCCTCGTTGAGCCCGACGAACCCCCACCGGTACGCGTCGTGCTGGAAGTCGGCCCCCGGCCGGACCCCGAGCGCCACGCCGGTTGGCGAGTCGGCCCCGCACCAGTTCATGCGCGCGCCGAGCGCCTCGCACGTCGCCTGCGCGTCGACGCGGCCGAAGCACTCGGCCATGGGCAAGCCCTCGAAGTAGTGGTTGTGGCGGTTGCTCTTGGCCCACACGCTCTTGCGGCGGTAAGGGGGCACGAGCGCGTCCAGGCAGCGCTCAAAGTACAGCGCCGACTTGGCGAGGCCCTTGGCCTGGTCGAGCTCCCAGTACCCCGACACCGGGGTGATGTGGATGTGGGTGAAGCACTGGTGGGTGGTGGTGAGCTCGAAGTGGGTGTTGAGCGCGTGCATGACCCCGCGCAGCTCGGCCTGCCACGCCTCGGGCCGCTTGGCGAAGCGCATGAAGGGCGAGACCAGCTTCATGCCGAAGCGGTGGTCGTTGGGGCGCGACGGGATGCACAGCTCGCTGGCGATGGTCCACTGGCGGGACGACACCGGCGAGGTGTGGGTGCTGGCGAGGTGGTTGGCGATCCCCGCGCGGGTGAGCTGTGTGCTGATCTCGTCTTCGAGGCCGGTCACGGTCTTGTGGTTGCGTTTCCTGCTGCGGATGACGAGGCCGAGCTCGACGCAGAAGCGGAAGTCGGGGGCTTCCACCGGGCGAACCTCCTGACGTCGGGAGTGGGAGCGGTGGGTGGTGGGAGCCCATTCGTAGTGAGTCTCGGGTTCATCGTGGCGACGACGATGATGACCCGACTCGGCGGCCACATAGGAGAAGTGCGGCATGGTGGGCAGTGGTGAGGTGGCTGTTGTGAGTGTTGTATGCTGTGGTCGATGGTGGTGGTCGATGATGGTGGTCGATGGTGGTGGTCGATGGTGGTTGTCAAGCGATGGCTTGTGGTCATGATCCCGGATGGTCAAGGTCGAGGGGGCCCAGGACCCTATATATACGAAGCTGGTCCATGATGGTTCCGTGGAGGGCGCCCATCCTCAGAAATTGTCTGTGTTCTGCCTGGAGTCCTAGATTGGTGTCAGAGGCGGGACCAGAGGACGGAGTCACGGTGAGGACGTCACTTGCTTCCAGGTTGTGTCCGGACCGGGTGGGACCGCTGCTGCGGGGTGGGCCGCCGGATGGCTCAGCGCGGGCTTTCATTGTGGGGAGGGAACCAATCTGGAGCCAATCTGGACCGCTCAATCCGGTGTGCGCCATGCAGATTGACAGAGAAGAGTGAGGACAGGCAGGAGGTGGGGGAGGGGCCATCGGCCGCGGCCAGGCAACAGCCAGCGAATCAGGTCGCACAATGCCACAAGGCAGGAGACGAGGTGAAATTCTAAAAATTTGGCCAGCCAGGAGCCCCACTCTCGCGGTCTGCACCGCCTTCCAAAAATATGCGGTTCGTCCTGGAGTCCTGTCAGGCGACGGGGACCCACTGCCAGCCGGCCAGTCTCCCGAGGCCGCCAGGCGGCTATGGCTGCAAACCTTCATTTTCCAGGGGGCTTCCCCCCACATCGTCGCGCAGGCTCAGCCTCTATTTTGTGCATGAAACACAAAGCATTGGGCAACAGCGCCCCATTTTGAGCATCTCGCGGACCCGACAGAACGGAACCGAGTGCTTGGACGCACCCATAAGGAGGAGCGAGTTTCTTGCCCAATGTTCGCCAGACGCGCGCGACTAGATTACGCTGGAGCAGCGAGCACAGAGGCGCTCGAGTTCTCTGTCCTAGCGCTGGGGGTCATGAAGGACAGCCAACGGTCAGGCTAAGTTTCAGGGAAGGGATTTAGCTGGGAACATTGAGGTCTGATTAGTACCGAGACATTATGCTGAGGCGTGCTCCTCCCTCGAGCGCTTGCTGGATGGCTACCTAGGCTCAAGTTCCATCCAGATCATTTTTAGATGCAGATCGCATGGTAACGGGACGGGGCCCGGGGCTCACGGCTCGGGACAGAATACCCGATGGCAGCAGCGGGGGCCTGAGTTGTTTCATCAGGCGCGTATTCACGGCGGCAATGGGCTTTACTGTGTGCTTTGTGAACTTTCTTTGTCTATTTTATTTTTATCCTACTGTTCCAGGTTCCAACCCAGCTGTTTTTGATCAGCCCTTTAACCTTCATAGGCGTCATTGGTCGTATCATCTTCATTGGTAGCATCAGTCGTTCAACGCTCGTGGGCGGCATCAGTCGTGTAGCTCTCATGGACGGCATCAGTCGTATAACCCTCACGGGTTGGCATCCTGATTCTTTGTCCCAAGTTCTTCCTTTCCCAACCTTCTCCTAGGACTTTCCCCGTCACTATCGGCAGGCCCAAGCCAAAGCCATCTGATCCAGGACCCCGGCTTCATTAATCGTGTCAGGCCCTGCAGAGGATATCTCCTCTTCCTCGGGTGCTTCGTCGTCTGTCTCTGTGGTGGAAAATTCCTCGTCGTCGTCGGACTCTTCATCGGAGTCGGCGATCAACAAAGCGAACAAGGCCGCGAGCAATCTCTGTTGGGGTGATTCTTGGTCTTCTCCCCCCTCGTCTTCTTTTTGCTCCTCTTCGTTCTTCCCCTGCTCTTCTTGCTCCTCTTCTTCGTCTTCCTCGTCTTCCATGTCCCCCCTGCTTGACCATCCGGGCGACTCTTGTGCTTCCGTGAACTCAGACTCGGACTCGGACTCGGTGAACAAAGGCCATTCGGGACTGGTCATGGGCGATTCCCCATTGCGATAGATGGAAATATACTCGATTGAGAAGCCATTTCGATGGTTCAACCAGTACAAGCCGCGAAGCATCTCCCTTTCCAGTTTCCTCTCGCATTTGGGGCAAAGCTCGTCCTCTTTCATCACCTTCCGGTACCTCTTGTGGTCGCTCCACCCATAGTTTGGGACCACTATGCCATATTCCAGGGTGTGACAGCGGTACTTTACGGTCTGAGGAAAAGTGAACGTTGGGGAAGACATGGCTGCTTTGCCCCGAGACCGCGCCTCTTTCTCACCGAGCCCGTGTATCCCGACCCTAACCAAGGTAGTAATTGAAGAAATAACAAGGCCGTAGCTGGAGGGCAGACCAGGTACCGATCTATTAGAGCAATGAACTCCTAGTTATAGCATTGCCGCTTGATCAAGCCTAAGTTGGGATCATGCGCCATGTTTTTAGCAACTGTCTGTGCATGAGGGGGTTGTTCAACCCTCAGCAATGGAGAAGGCCCAAAGGGGATTTAGAGATAGACAAAAAGCTTAACAAACGGAGCATCGCAGTGCACTTGTGCAGATTTCATTCACCATGGACAAGATAATACGGGTGCCCCGGTAATATTATGGAAAGCCTAACCTGATGCCGAACAATACGTGGTTGTATGTATGTTCCTAACACGCACCAAGGACCTTTCTGAATGAGCGTGCCGTTTAGGACGAGTGTGGTGTTGACAATGACACGTAACTTTACCCATATGTAACCCCAACCCTGCTGTCTGTCCCTCCCGAGCCCCCTTTGCTCAATTCAATGGCGCATGTAAATGCACCTATGTATTCTGTATGCGCATTCGAATGCGCTCAATTCTTTCAGCAATGCAGTGAGATGTAGCTTATTCAACTTATTAAGCATGTTTCATATGGCTATCGTCAAATTCGCTAGTATAGTTCCAGTTACAGCCGCAGCGCAAGGTCTTCCAACTAAGCCCTAACCCTAGGCCATTCATCAGCGCCACCTGGCAGGAAGAGGAAAGGGCGCAGAGAAGGGGGCGAGAGGCACAAAACTAGAAAGAAATAGAATATTGGAGAAATATGTTATTCCATTTCTAGGCGATCCAACCGCAGCTAAATTAATGGACTTAACTATATTATTGATTCAACTTAATTAAATTAATGAGTCCAATTGAGAAAATGGGTATGTGCGAGGGTTGGGGTTATATATAGGAGAAGTTACGATAATAGCCCTGCACGTCCTCAGCACACCGTGAGTCCCAAACGGCACACTATTCTAAATTTCTAAAAGCATCTACAAAAAAAGTAATGTAATGGAGAGCAAAAGTAATCGATCCAACTGGGATTCGAACCCAGAACCTTTGCCATATTCCTAACCGGAAAGCAACGCGCGGCCATTGCGCCATCAGACCTGTTGATTAACAAGCAATGAAGTGTATAATGTATATATGGTTAGCCACGGACGAAAGGGTTTCGAGAGTGCTACGACGAGTTGTTAACACAACTACTCTACAACTACTCTAGATCCAATATGTCTAATAGTTAGTAGGCAGTGAATAGAAAATAAATGGCTTTGTTTATAAGCTACTAGACTAACTGCTAAAATACTAGCCTCAGATATTGATAGCTTAGCGTATTCTCCTTGTCGAGCCGGTACTCGGTTATAACACAGAGTACGCTGTCGAACAACCTTAGGCTATAGTTAGGCTGACTGGACTGAGGAAGCCTGAAACTCTCCGATATTGTAGGGCCACGGTAGGCGTCGAGAGCTGCGGGCTGGAAGGAGCTGGCCTAACTAGGGAATAACAGGGCGGCAGGTTTCTGCAACGCACTCCCATCTTCGTTAATATCAGAGTCTACCAATAGGGGAGGGACTCTTGTCTTGGTCAGCCACGAGTCAAGCTCGCCCTGCTTCACCCGCGAGGGCGGGTTGGCCGCAGGTAGGATGGTTTGGCGGCCAGGAGTATTGGCAAGTACCGAGTGGGATAAGCCCGTATCGGTCTCGGTGCTGATAACCAGCTCCTCGACCTTGTCAGCAGTCACGGTGGGAAATAGCTGTTGGGGTTCGTTACTGATACGAGGTAGGATCTCGTCTCACCCGGTATAGTCAAGCTCCTTGATGTTCAAGCCATCGTCACGAAGATGTTGGAAGGTAGTTTGGGTGTGGGCTTCCACTGTTGAGGCAGGGGTCGAACTCATTGTAAAAGTCCGAAGCTTCGAGTCTGAAAGCTGAGTCAAGTAGGTCTTTATCACAACGTTCAAGAAATGCCTTTGCCAACAGCCATTCACACTTGCTTCGCCTAGAATGCAACACGGGGGGCAACGTTGCTCAGACAAGATCTATTTTGTCTAACTATTGTTTACCAAACTCCCCAAGCTTTTCGCTCACAACGCGGACAGAGAAACCGGCTTTCGGGTATCATAACCACACCGGGTTAACGTCCAAACAGTACAACCCAAAACCTCTAAGCAAGCCAGAACCAGATCCTCTGCAAAAAGTTCTTGGGCACCGGCGGGTGGTCGTTGGCGCAGAACTCGTCCATCTCCCTCTTGCCCGTGAGGACATCGATCTCGTGCACGTTCCTGAGCCACGGCGTCCGGAACCACAGCTTGTGCCCGAGGTACAGCACCAGGAAGATGGGGATGGTGATGTAGGCGGCCAGGAAGTCGCCGACGTCCCAGCGGGCAAAGACCTGGAACCCGTTGGTGAGGGTCAGCAGGGTGATGACGAACAGCGTGGCCCACGCGGCGTACGGCTGGCCGATGGTGCGGAAGGGCAGCGTGCTCAGCAGGCCCTGGACGTGCATGGCCTTGCGGAAGCGCAGGTAGGTGACGAGGACGACGATCCAGCCGATGAAGCCCGAGATGGTCGAGATGTTCATGAACCAGAGGAACACCTGCGCGCCGCTCTGAGACACGTTGAGGTAGGCGAGCAGGCCGACGGCCCAGGTGGCGATCACGGCGGCGTAGGGGACACCGCGCCGGGTGGTCCGGGCGAAGATCTTGGGTGCTTGGCCGGTGGCGGCCATCGAGTAGAGGATGCGGGAGCCCGAGTAGAGGAAGGCATTGCCGGCGGACCAGGCCGAGGTCAGGATGGCCGCGTTGATGACGTGGTTGAGGCCGCCGATGCCGGCACGCTGGATGCCGATGACCCAGGGGCTGGCGCTGGCGTTGGCCGTCTCGCTAAGCAGTCGGTCGTCGTCGTAGGGTACGATTGCGCCGATGATGAGACTGCTGACGCCGTAGAAGATGGCAAGGCGGGCGAGGAAGCGGCGCGCAGCCTTGGGGATATTGCGGCGGGGTGCGACGGTCTCGCCGGCGGCGAGCCCGATGAGCTCGGGGGACGTGATGAAGCTGAAGCCGGCGCCGACGAAGGCGGTCCAGTAGGCGGTAAATCGGCCAGTCGCGCCCGTCCCGACGAATTCTTTGAAGGCGCCGGGATTGTTCCAGTACGTGAATCCAATAGCCCCGACCCCGGGCGCCCCGCCGGCCATAATGACAATGCCAACGATGACCAGCCCGATAATGGTGATGATCTTGATACTGGCAAACCAAAACTCGGCTTCGCCAAAGACCTCGACGGCGATGATGTTGAGAGCGAGGCAGACGACTAGGATGATGGTGATCCATACTGCTGAATGGACTGGCGTCTCCCAGTAGCTGAGCAAGATGGAGCCTGCCGAGGCCTCGGCCGCGACCAGAATTGCATACGCGTACCAATAGTTCCACCCCGAGGCGAACGCCAGGCTACTGTCGACGTAACGGTTCGTGAAGTAGGGCAAAGTGATGCCCTTCATCGGCAGATATGTCGTCATTTCGGCGATGGTGTTCATGACGATCCAAACCACCATCATCATGGAGAGATAGCCGAGCCATAATGGTACCGGGCCGACCTTGGCTAAAATCGCACCGGACCCGACAAAAAGGCCTGTCCCGATGCTGTTGTTCCATCATGTGTCAGAAGGCCGGGCCGGCGCTGGAGGATGGGAGTAAAAGGGACGGACTCACGCGCCACCCAGCGCTAGAAATTGGATGTGTCGACTCTTGAGACCGCGTTCCAATTGCGTGGCTTCGTCCAGAGAAACGACGCCGTCGATCACCTGCGAGCCGCCCTGCGCCTCGTCGGCGCTGGGCTTTTCGTCAAACCCCTCGTTCTTCATCTTGAGGTGGCGGGAAGCTGCTTGGTGGAAACCCGGGCAGCACTTGCTTGGTGGGAGGAAGACGGGGAGGGTTCGGTGAAGTATTTGAACGCGTCGCTTATCTTGGACGACTTGCACCCCACAGCGACAGGTGGGCGCGATTTGGATACGACACACGCGGGGGAACCGATGAGGACCCACGACTCTCCGGAAAAGCTGGGGATCCAAGAGGCGTGGTGGAGGTTGGGTAGTACCCGGCCGTTATTTCAGGGCTTGAGATCCTGGAGGGCCGTAAATCCCGGGCGGTTGCTGTGCGATGGTGGCAAGGACCGGCCGACAGACTGGGAGCAGGCGCGGGCTGCAGGGAAAGCAGGGCATGCGTCAAAATATGACATTCCCATTCCCACGCGAGGGAGTGCAGGGCACCTTGTTGGGCGAGCTGCTGCTGACTGCATCACTCTGTCGCGGGCGACTCGTCAGGCACGTGAGGGTCACAACATGGGAACGGGGATTGCCGGACCCATCCAGCCATGGAGCCACGTCCGGGGAAGACGATGGATCATGGATGGAGAGAAACTCCGGCAGAGAGCAACCATCGCCGGGGTTACGCCGTCGCAAGTCTCTGTTTGGGGCAAAAGCCGGTCGGTGAGAGAATCGATGACCTTCCTAATTGGCAACGAACCAATCCTTGAACAATCCTTCCCATTTGTCTTGTGCAGGATCCATGCTGGGCAATGCAGCACGCTGATCGTGCGGCCCACAAGCCAAGTAGCGCAATCGTGCACCACTGCATCAGGAACTGGGTGAGTGGTTCAACCGCGACTATCCGAAAACCAAGACTCGAGCAAGATAAGCACGGGGACTGTGGATCGTGTGCGGGTTCGATAGTCGTCAGTAGAGAAAGGAGTTAAAATCTTCGTACGAGAGTGCCTACTTGAACTCTCAAATTGTCGATTCCGTTCCCAATTCGGCGGTTCCGGACGACAGAGTGGGTGATTTTCCGTGAGAAAAGCAAAGCTGGTGCCGCCGAGAACGAAACCCCGCGGTGCGTTGACTCGGGGTGAAGTCGGCATTGGGTTTGCCCAGACTCAGCCCAGTCCAAGCCGCCTCTGCCATGTCGGAACCCTGCCCGTTGCTGTCGGCCCCTGGTATCTCCGATGCCGCTCTCTCCAGTGGGACCAACCGAATTGGCCGCCGACGGGTGTTGATGAACTGGCAGCATTGATCAACCCAACATCGGGTATTCTCGCCTCAGCACTCAGGTACCTGCGCCGAAACTAATGCACCGAAGGCTTCGAGAACTTCCTTGGACCTGGCTGAGCAGTCGCACTTCCAAGTGCCTCGCCCTCCACAAGATAAGATGACGGGTTCATCCGCCCCACCGAACGACAAGTGGTCTTGGCTTTGAGTGGTGGAGACACTGGATGCCTCTGGCCGCTGATAACGCCAGGGCAGACTGTTGATTGAGATAACGAATGAATCAAAGAATAGCCCGAGCGGTATCCGTCGCTACCTGGGACATTCTTCACTCTTCACCCCCGAAGTTGATCGTCCAGCCAAGGTAGCATTGGAAAGCGAGCTGAACTCAACATCAGGTGCTGTGGTCTCAAACTTGTCACGTTGCTTATGGGGTAGTACTTCTTGATAAGTCTACCTAACGCAAGCATGAGCGGGTCGACCGCTCCGACCCCGAGGAACCCCATTATGCACAGCTGAGGGCTCAAGTTCTGCCGCCTTTATGTTTTCAACCCGGAAGTCGCGATCGACATAGGTACCAGTAGTCAACCTTCCACCCTTTGCAAATCATCGAGTCCACTTCAACCAACCCCTTCATGACCCCCCCCACGGGTTCTTTGCCCATTCCGACACCACTGCCTGGCATTTGATCTCGACCAGAATCTTCTCGTTGGGCAGCGCTGCAACCTGGACACAGGTCCTTGCCGGTGCTTTGGTGCGGTCGGGCCAGATCTTGTTCCACTCGGCGTTCATGGCGGCATAGTCGCGCCGAATGTCGACCAAGAACACGGTGGCGTCGACAACGTTCTCGAGCCCGCAAATGCCGTCGGAAGCGCCCCGGATGACGGTTTCGATATTACGTAGCACCGCCGCCGTTTGTACGCCGCAATCCAACTCTTGAGTCCCGTCGGGCTTGGTCTCACAACCTTCAAAGGTGCCATCGGCTCGCCGGCTGGAAATTCCCGAGACGAAGATTGTTTTGGCCGTGCTGGCAATGGTGCGCGCATGCGGGTAGTTGGCGAGTCCCTGCGCCCCGGAGGGGGGGAGGATGAAGCTGGTGCCGTTGGGGGTCGCCATTGAGGTTTTTGCACAGGTGGGAATTCGAAAATTCCTGCAATGACTCGAAAATGTTTACTTAATACAAGGAAACCAGGAAACCTCAAGTTATCGTCTGTTGTTTAGTTCGAAATTCAGGTGTGATGATATCATGTTCGAGCCGTTGGTCTCGTGATGGGCCGCCGCTAACCCCCGCCGGCCTCCCGCGATCCGCGATCCGCTCCGCTTTTTGCCGAGCTTCTCCTTGCCACTACACATCCATGGATGTACGCTTCATCAATGTGGCGGGCGGGGTCCGATGACAGCGACAACAACTAAGGAGAACATAGAATATAACCTAACTACACATTAAATTCTGGTTTTGGTCAAGTACCCTGAACCATCATCACTATCTATCACCATCATCACACACGCACGCTCACCATGGGCGACATAAACACAAGCCCGAGAGAATGGACTCAGCAAATCCTAGAGGAATTCGCCGATGTAATTTGGGGCTGCGACACGATCGAGAAGGCAGCCTCGTTCATCATGTCGCTCCCTAGTCCGATTTTCCTGCCGAATTATGTCGCAGGCAAAATTGGGTTACCGTCGTCGGAGGCAACAACATTTATCGATTCCTATGAGCCCAAAACTGGCAAACTACTCTCCAGACTTCCCCGTTCACAAGATGTTGACGTCGAGGATGCGATTCGCCATGCAAGGGCTGCCTTCCAAACATGGAGCAAAACGACACGCACCGAGAGATCTCGCCATCTTCGTCGCATAAGCGAGCTGCTCCAGCAAAACCGCGAACTCTTTGCCGTGTGGGAAAGCATTGATCAGGGAAAGACGCTCGAGCGTGCAAGGATCGAAGTCGACCGGGCCATCTCGAACTTCTCGTAGGTCACCCATGTCCGCAGTGTGCTCAACCTGGCAGTGCTCTGACGCTGATTAGATATTTCTCAACTTACATTCTCCACGAGCAAACGGCTGCGCGGATGGTTGACGGGGTTGCCCTCACATACGAACACCGCTCACCAGCCGGCGTCTTTGCACTGATCTCACCATGGAATATGCCCTTGTACCTTCTCACTTGGAAGATTGCGCCCTGTATTGCGTTCGGGTGCACCGCGGTTGCAAAGCCCAGTGAGGTCACGAGCATGTCCGCGTATCGTAAGTTGGGTTCCCAAAGTCTGGTGGTCCGTATTACGTCGCTCACATCTATCATAGTTCTGGGGATACTGTTGCAAAAAGCCGAGCTGCCCGCTGGTGTCGTCAACATTGTTTTGGGAGATGGGCCAACCACGGGAGCGGCACTTGTTGCTTCGCCGCAGATTGACGGTGTGTCGTTCACTGGAGGTACCGAAACGGGAATTGCCATTCGCCGTGCCACTGCCCACCAAATCAAAAAGCACATATCCCTTGAGCTCGGAGGCAAGAATCCGACGTTGGTGTTTGCCGACTCGATGGCCCCGGCAACGCGAGAGCGCACCATTCGCATCGCAGCCACCGCTGCCTTTGAGAACCAGGGGGAGATCTGCCTCTGCGGATCCCGCATCTATGTTGAGCGTGCGGCCTACGAAGAGTTTGTCGGTCTTTTTACCGAGTACGTGGCCAAGACATATGTTCCTCGGGAAACAATGGGTGCCGTCACCAGTGCGCAGCACTACAGCAAGATTCGAGGCTACCTGGAGTTGGCGGCCAAGGAGAAGGTCACGTTCAACTTGGGAAGTGTCCCTTGTCCGGTGGAAGAATGCAGCAATAAGGGGTACTGGGTGCCCCCTACAGTCCTGACGGAGGTGGCCCCGAACTCGGCGCTCTTGAAGGACGAGATCTTTGGTCCCGTCGTAACTATCTGCCCGTTCGACGACGAAGCGGATGCGGTCCGTCTTGCCAATGATAGTGAATATGGCCTGGCGGCCGTGCTTCTGACCACCAACGGGGCGAGGATGAGGCGTGTCGGGGAGCAGATCGAGGCGGGTTTGGTGTGGGTGAACTGCTGGCTGGTCCGGGAGCTCGGCACGCCGTTCGGCGGGATGAAGAACAGCGGCACCGGCAGGGAGGGCGGCGAGTACTCCAGGGACGTGTTTACCGTCGCCAGGACGCTGCATTTGCCGGCATATTAATGTTTATAGAGTTGAATAGCTATGAGGTACTGATTACCGCGAAATAGCAATACGGTTGATGTTAGTCTGGTCACTCAGAATACTGGCTCTTGCTGTCGTGTTTACCAAGGTTAACGCCAGGTCAGGGGTTCTCACAACCGCTGGCTCCCGATGTGTCCCGCATCAACCGCCTTCGCTCCCCGGTATCAGTGCCGCGGTTAAGCTAGGCCGGCGCCGGAAACTCGGGTCCGGGGTGCGGAGTGAGATCCGGCCAATCACAGTGCGCCATTGTCCACATCCGTTCCGTGATCCGTCTTCCGAGATCAGCGGCACGGATCCGGGTGGGTCTCAGCCGCTCGGCAGCCCCCTTTGTGGCAGGTCGACTTACACCGAGATTTCCCGTGACATCATTTTGGTTGTCCACAACACAGGTACCACCGACCGTTAAGTTTGGCATGTTATATCGTTCTTGCTGCTGCTGTTGCGAGTCGTCACACCATTCTTTCTCTTATTCTGCCACACCAATTGCCAGGAAAACAGCAAGTCTCCCACAACAACCTATCTACCTACCTATCACAACTCAAGCATCCCATTCTCGACACACCATCATGGCGCCAGCAACAGCTCACGACGAGCTCCAGCTCTGCTGCTCGCCCACCCTGCCCCCCTCGGACAACAACAGCTACCCCACGCGGAACCCTTCATCCCCAACCTCCCTTTTCCGCATCGACATGCACACCCACATCATGCCACCCTCCCTCCCGGACCTCGCCTCCCTGACCCAACAACCACCATCACCACCACCAACAACAACAAACAACCCAACCCAACCCACCACCAAGGACACCACCGCCAAACCCTACCCCTGGCCCGCCTTCCGCCCCTCCCCCGACCACGCCACCACGGGCGCCGTCGACATGTACGTCGGCAGCACCTTCTTCCGGCGCGTGTCCGCCTCGTGCTACGACCCGGCCGCGCGCCTGCGCGACATGGACGCCGCGGGCGTCGACGTGCAGGTGCTGAGCACCGTGCCCGTGCTGTTTTGCTACGACGCGCCCGTTGCGCCGGCGCGCGTCCTGGCGAGGGTGTTGAATGATCATGTCAGTGGGGTTTGTGCAAGGTTTCCGGGCAGGTTTGTCGGGTTGGGGACGGTGGCGTTGCAGGATTGTGATGCGGCGGTGGAGGAGGTGCGGCGGTTGAGGGGGTTGGAGGGGATGGTGGGGGTGCAGGTTGGGACGAGTGTTGAGGTTGGGGATGAAGGGGGGGGGAAGGTGGGGATGTTGGATGATGAGCGGTTGGAGCCGTTTTGGGCGGCGTGTGAGGAGCTGGATGTGCCGGTGTTTGTGCATCCGCTGGGGTACGCGTTGGGGAAGGAGAATAAGGATCGGTGGGGGAGGTATTGGAGCTCGTGGCTCGTGGGGATGCCGTGTGAGACGGCGCTGGCTATGCACGGGATTATGGCGTCCGGGTTGTTGGTGCGGCATCCGGGGCTGCGGCTTTGCTTTGCGCATGGAGGGGGTGCGTTCCCCGCGCTACTGGGGAGGATACAGCACGGGTTTGATTGCCGACCGGATCTGGTGGCGACCAACGCGTGTGGTGTGACGCCGACCCAGCATTTCAGGGGGGGAAACGGCACCGCCTTCAGCAGGATTGGAAGCTGGTCAAGGGCAGATATGGATCGACTCGCTACTACATGACCCGGACTTGATGGAATATGTCATACGCAAGTTGGGTCCGGGAGGTGCGGATCGGATTGTCTTGGGGAGCGACTACCCATTCCCGCTGGGAGAAGTCCCGGTGGCGGGGAAGATGTTGACAGAGGACGAGAAACTCGGGCGGTTCATGAGCTGGCAAAAGAGAGCCGGGGTTCTAGCTCGGAATGCTATCCGGTTTCTCAAGCTAGGTCGAGAGTTTGAGGACAGGTTTGAGGAGCGGCTAAGGCAGTTCGCGGCCGCTCATGTTCCGTCACCGGATGAACAGATCAAAGATGCCAGCTGGGATGGGTGGCGGCATCGGGATAGTGCCATTGATCTGGACGAGGGCGAGGACCTGGCCAGTCGCAAACCAAGGACCGAGAGCAGCAGCACAGGGAGGTCTCCAGGCAGTGTCGGGAGCCAGTGAGGTTTGGCCAGATGAGGAGAGGGCTGGGGATTGGGTGACCGAGGTTGTGGCGTTCTGTTATTCTTTTCACTTTGTACATGCTGCTTTCGAGCTTCTCAGTGTTTTACGGTTGAGGCAGAGGCAGGGCGTTGATCAATATGCAGGAATAACAATCTGGAGTTCTGCGATACATTGAAAGAGACAAGAGGATAGAATAACAAGGGTTTGTGAGAAAGCAAGAGCTATCTAATTATATATGAGACGTAGGCGTGCAAATGTGGTGTTTGAGCCACACGAAACCATAGCCGCCATCCTCCAACCAGACCGTTGTGTTACGGCCCTTGGGCGGTTTATGGTTGGTGGTCATGACCGAAATCCAACTCATTTGCAAACAATCAAGATAGATCAGGCGAACAAAAGTAGCTGCTTGAAGCATACATAGGACAAACCCTCTGGGCTTGTTGAACAAAACGGCCTTGCTCGTCCTCCTATATCCTTCTACTACTCTTGTCGTGCTTGATCTAGCGCTTGAAGCCCAACTGCTGCCTCTGCCGCCTCTGCGTTTGCCTTTTTCATCAGTCTCTCCTTTCTTCGCGCCTCCAGAAGCATGAGCTCAATTTGGTCATCTGGCAACCAAGGGTTGTAGCTTCTCATTATCCTCAACTTGTTTTGCCACTCCAGAACCATGAGCTGAGGTAGGTAATCTTGCAACGCATGGCTACTAGAGTTACTACGACCATACCTCTCCTCTAACATGATCTGCAGCTCGATGCGTACTTTCTTCTGTTAGTAAAAGCTAAAACCTAACATGAAAAGTAATAGAAGATGCTTAACTCACCTTCCTGGCTAGGCTTCCAAGATCGATTCTGCTCTTTGTATCTATGGTCTCGCGCTTGGGCGAAAGAAAAAGGAAATTGAACGTTAGCTTTAGAGACTTGCACGGCAGGGAACCTGCCTAAACAAGAACAACTCACGTTGGGGTCCTCTGAGTTTGTCAATAACCACCGCAACGTCTTCAAGATCCATGTGGCGGGCCATTTCTCTACATTCTCTTAGTTGCCCATCCGCCAGTCGCAAGTTTCGATATAGTAGCATGATCTTCGCTATTAGTGGCATCTTGAGCCCAAGGGCTTTGATGATGGGAAGGTTGTCAGTAATTTGAATGCGCCCGGTTGACAGCAGGAGCTCGACTTGGCTGGCAAGCCCGGATTCAACAGCCACCAAGAGTAACTTCTCGCTCAAAAGTTCTTTAAAGTCCTTGTGAGCAATCAAGTCTTTCAGAATTTTGTGGTTCTTCATCTTGATCGCGTGGATAAGGTGGTATCCGTCTGCTGCAATGCATCCGGATGGGAGAAGAACTTCCAACATGGCTCCGTCTCCAAGGCCAATGACCTTGCGCAATATTTTGTCACCAACCGAGAAGCGACTCGGATCGTTACGTCTTCTTAGCTGGCCCAGGAATAGAATGACTAACGCCATGTTACATTCATCGACCGCCACACTAAGCAGATCACGAGAATTAACGTTGGTGCTCTCGCGGGCAAGGATGTCTGCATCGTGGTCGAGGAGCAGCCGAACAGTGTCCAAGTCATTGTTGGCCACTGCCGTGTGTAGGGCTGTTCTTTGGTGTTTTGTGCAGCGAGCGTTCACCTCGGCCCCTTGCTCCAAAAGCCATCGACAGACTTGGTAATGTCCAGCCCTTGCAGCTAAGAACAATGGAGTTAAGCTGTCGTTGCTCCTGGCATTAACATCCACCCCGGAACCAACCAAGGCTTGAAGGACATCGAGTTTACCCTTTGTGGCGGCCGCAAAGATGCGGGTATTGCCAACGACCGGGGGGAAGTCCAGAGAGCTAACTTGGCAGTGGACACGGTTGTTGTGCCTGACGAGATTTGGCTCCTCTGAAAATCCGATCTGGAAGCCGTAGCAGCCATCACGGCCGCATCTAAATGGGCGTTCGTGCTGTGCTATGTGCTCTTGGCGTGCTTGCAGAATTTCGAAGCCCTGGAGGAAGAAATGGCACCACGGTTTGTTGCATTTGTAGTTCACACGACCATAGAGCCCTCGAACTTCTTCCAGCTTCTCTAGATCCTGGTGGGTTGGGCCGTTAAATAGCAATTCGAGGCAGTTCCGTATCGGCTTTACACGTTTCTCGGTCGGGAATTTGGCTTCCCAGTCCTTTCCGCCATATTGAAGTTCCTGGGTTCGAGACCATGTTGTGGTGACGTCGTTTGCGGTGACTTGGCTTTCGTTCCCCGACGAGGAGTTAAGGGAGGTCAACAACTTGCGCATTGTTGAGGCAATGTCTTGATCCAGAGTGAAGTCCGGACGCCTGGCATGTTTCCACCAGTTCGCAACTGCATAGTCGAGAAAACCGTAGTAGCCAGTCAGACAGTGAGTCTTGATGCTGGAGCTATCCTGTTTTGGATTGAAAGGTGCAGATGATAGGTATTGTGCGCAGAACAACGCCATGTCCTTGTGAAGATCGGCCAGTTTGAATCTACCAGTATGTAGCAGATACCTATCACTCGTTTCAGTTACCAAAGTTCTTCCCGCTACCGCCCAAAGGGATTTGAGTAACTCACGTTCGCGCGGTTTCATGGACGAGGTTCACCAAGTCGTCGGGCCCAGAACTGAGACCGTCGTATCGGCCGACCTCAACCAAGGACCCGCAGTACGTCTTGCAGGGCTCCAACAACCTGAAATCGGGGTCGGCCGTCTCAGACTGGATTTCGATGCAGAAGCGAGTCTGAATCTCTTTCCACATCAGCGGCCGCTCAGCGCACATGACTAGACCCAGGATCTCCCGGGCTAGCTTGTTTTGTTGCTCATCTTGACCCTCCAAGATTTGGATCACCACCCGCTCGTACCTGGCTCCGTATTAGCTATGTCACTGTTCCATTTGCCGTGCCAGACAAAAACATACGCTTGGTTCATGCCCGTCGGGAAATTTTCTGCCTTGAGTTCTCTCTTGAAATGGCCGCGTGTGGGTTGGCGCAAGAGATTGTCCAGAACGACTTTGGCATACAAAAACATACCTTCTCGCTGTTAGCCTACCTGTACGAGCAAGCGTGCTTTAATTAGTCAAGGTAACTGTGAACGTACCTAGGGCTCTTGCATTGATCTTGTGAATGATGTCTAGCCGGGTGGCCTCGTCGATGCCGAATCTCTGCTGCATTTGCTGGGTCTTTACCTCAGAATACGCCCCGATGTCGTCCATGTGGGCGGACGAAGAATCAATCCGTATGGCAGGCCAATGTTTCAGCCGTCCCTCAAGGAACCCGTTTCTTTGACCACTTATAAGCAGGTGCGTGCATCGGTCGTCTTGTTGGTCGCCATGTCCAACTGTGCCGCCGGACGTTGATGTTACGGTGAGAGCCTCGAGCCAATTGACGACTTCCCCTTGAGAATCCTCTGGCTTCATTGTTCCCGGGCCAAGACATTCGTCGAGTCCGTCAACGACCACAAAACAGACACTTTGCGATTTCAAGGCCAGTTCGGTGAGCTCGCGCAACAGAGAGACTGAGCGAACCTTTTGCTGGGCGGCCAAGATGAGACGTTGGTAGATGAGGTCAAGAAGCACCTCATCTTGGAGGACGGCTTGGGAGAGTAGAGAAAGAAGCATAGCGGAAAAGTCTCGCTTGTCGGGATGATGGTGCTTGAAGAAGAAGTAGAAAACCGAGAACCTGTGGCCGCTCTCTCGCAGTTGCTGGAGGTGTTTCACCACTCCCGATGCTAGAATCGTTTTACCTATTGGGATTTAAGTCAGACGTGTGAAAGGATGTTCTCATAGCTAACACGGGACCAAGCCCACCCACCTGTACCGGGAATCCCATTCAGGTACAGAGCTCGCGGATCCATTGTAGTCAAATCCGCCCATTCACAAAAAACGGCGTCGGCTCGGAGCCATTCGCCTGAAGTGGGATCCCCTCGTTCAGTAGATGCCCTTTCAAGGTCAAGGCTATAGTCTGGCGGGTCAAGTTTAGAAAGGATAAACTGGCGCTTCCGGTCGATTGCTTCATGATTTCGTACAGACTCTTCGTCGCTGTTGTCAAGATGGAGCTTTAGCATTTGACGCGACAACTCATCGAACTTGTCCTCAAAAGACTGGCGGAGATCGCTCGCCCCAGTGAGGAGGGCTGTGATCTTTTCATCTGACAACAGATCTCGATGCCGCTTGAGTTTGGTCAGGATAGGTCCAAATTGCGTCTTGAACGTCTTCCAGGATGAATGGAACGCAGTTTTCCAACCTGCCAGGTGTCACGGGTCAGTATGGTTTGGCTAGATATACGGAAAGTAAGTATCGAAGAGTCCTACTGGGTCTTGAAAACACCTGCAGTGCCTTCCTGTGGAAATCCAGCACATCGCAGTAGTAGTTCTGTAGATGAACGCCAATGGCGGGATGGTTTCTGAGGAAGCTTTCGTACTGTGATAGGCCTGGGAGGAACTCGCCGATTTCGGCATAGGTATCGAGAAGGCAGTCCAAGGTCTCGACCCAGGTGCCGGCAGCCTTCATCCAACTCGGGGGTTAATCAGAGGCAAAATAGATTTTAATACACGACTTACAAGTAGCACAAACTTGATGGGAGCCCAGACAAAGGCGACGGTAGAGTCGCAATTCACAAAGATTTCGATGACCTTGCCCAGCTGGGTCATACCCTCGACAAATTTTGAAATTCTGTGCATATTCCGCTGTTTTCGCTGCGAAGCAAGGCGGGTTTGGATGCCCAGGATTGTGTCCTCAACATGTTTGCGCGTGCAGCTCTGGAACTCACGTCGCTGTTTGTCAGTCAAACTCGCCTTAAAACTGCTGACGGCCTGTTGGAATATGTCGTCGAGCAAGGCAGGAGTGGCTGGCATTGTGTGGTATTGTTGGTGGCAGTATTTGGAAGGAGCAAACCGGACAGGAACCCGGCGTCAGCAACAACCTGGTGTCGGCAACCTGGTGGTAACAACAATCTGGAAAGTCCCCTGGGGCATGTGTGCCTGCCCTTTTGGTCGGTGCTTGGTTCCTAGGTACCTTCCAACTGAAGGACCTCGACGCTGAAATGAAAGTGAGGCACTGGCAGGCGATAACGTGGCTATCGTGGCTGCCTAAGCTCTGCCCGAACCACCCGGTGTAGGCCGTGATTGGCGGTTTCCAGGTTGGCTTTTCGGCTTCGCCCCCAACACTACGGTGGGTGGCCATGGCAAACTCCTCAGGCGCACTGCTGGGCGCACAATTTCCAGGTCCGTGAGTCGCGGGGCTGGCAGCGGCGTCCCTCATTCGCTTTGGAAATCCTGCCATGCAGCCCACCTTTGCAGCAGGTCTCTGCTAATTACACGAAGCGGGGAGCGCGGGGAGCGGAGACGGAGGAAAGGCAAGCCTGAGATTGAAGATTAATGGTTATTACTGGGAACCGGGTTGTGATCCTTCAAGCAACTTGTTCTGGGTCATTAGATTTTGTTTACCAGTTTGCCATGGAATTCAACACTTTACGGCCTCCGAAGCGGCATGGCGAGGAGGATGGTGCCTCGCAAAGAAACTCACCCAAACGGCCTCGGTCATCGGCCGATCCCGGCGGCGGGCCCTCCTTTCAACCTGGATCTGGTTCCATGGTTGAAACACACCTAACCTCACCCCTGCCACCCTCTTGTCCTCCGTCTCGAGGGCCACACCACCTCCATTCCAACACTCGCTCTGTCTCTAGTCCCGGAAATGCAACCCGAGATGATGTGCTCCCGATGGACTGGACCCCGACCCCCCCTGTCGGCGAGTATGATGCCAAAAGCGAGACCGAACACCTTATCTGCTATGGAGCTGTGAGGAACCGTCCTAACAATAAGAACAATGACGATTGTTGACATTGGTCTACTTAGCTATGCGAGGCCAGAGCCCGCTTCAAATCTACCGGTAAAGCAAAGCAGTTGCTACTATCCAGTGACCGGAGATTCTATCTGCTCAACATCGTTCACTCTGGCCAGAATTATGCACTATCAACCAGGTCCAACGATATTGTTGCTGAGCTCGACTTGACCACCGCTCGGGCTCTACGAAGACTTGACGGAATGGTAGGCGTAAAAGCAACAGCTGTCATTGAAGTGGCAGTTGCGGCCGCCGGGCCAAAGGAACTCAGGACCAAGGGCATTGTGCCCCTGACCATCAACGTATATGGGCAGCCATCAAAGGCTAATGACGCTGGAGACGCACTATCTACCATTTCTGCTTTTCTTCAGCACCCTTTCTTTCTCGAATCTAGCTGCAAGGGTTATTTCAATCCCCAGCTCTTCCGGGTCGAGAGCCAGATGCAAGATCTAACATATCTCGTTGGTTTGAAGGAGAGAGAGCTTAGGGCCAAAACAATATCGGATCAGGTCGAGGATATTCTCGGATCTTTAGATGACACTGTTTTCGTTCAGGGCCCTCCTCTCCAAGTGGGCGACGAATTGGGTGCTCTTCTCACCAACTTGACAGAGTATGCCATGGGTACCCGGCCACAGAAGATAGGTGCATGGGCTAACATAGCAAAGTCACCAATCTGCTGCACTCCGTTTCATCCACCAGAGGGAGAACCAACAACACTCGCAATGGATGCAAGAGAGGTTGCGAAACCTGACCAACATGCCGTGCGTGCTTGCTCCATAGTGTCTGGCAAGTGCAAAAGCATGTTCAAGTCCGACTAACGTCAGACACAGACCAGCCCACAACATTCCCTCATATTCCACCGGCGGAATCTTGGCTGACGCGATGGGACTCGGTAAAACCCTTACCATGATCTCAACAATTATCGCAACCTCGAGCCACGCCGAACAGTGGCGTGCCCACTCTGGGCTCCAAGAAGGCTTCTTGAGATCCAGAACAACATTGGTTGTTGTGAGCTCGGCACGCAAGTATCCCGCTTCATTTCAAATTGGTCGGTCGAGATGGGCATGCTAATCGGTGTCCGGCAGAGGTCCTCAACGTCTGGGAGTCAGAAATTGAGAAGTAAGCGGTGCTTGCATTTTATCACCTTACCCTACCCCCTGGTCCCATGTTTGAACAGTTGACTAACCTCGAAGTTGGCAGACACGTCAAACCAACCACGCTCAAAATATGCAGGTTCCACGGCAAGGGACGCCCGACATTACCTGCCAGCCTGACCGACTATGACCTGATTCTCACGACCTATGCCACTCTATCGGCCGAGTACAAGAGCCGAGGCGTCCTGCACGACATTATGTGGTTCAGAGTTGTGCTTGATGAAGGCAAGGGTCACATTCTGGCAGACAGCAGACATGTTGACTAACCTTGACGCAGCACACTGGATTCGCAACAAGGGCTCTACCCAGTTCAAAGCTGCGGTTGCCCTTCAGTCAGCGCACCGCTGGTGTCTAACAGGGACCCCGATTCAAAACAGTCTCAACGACCTCGTCTCATTACTCAGCTTCCTTTCTTTCGAGCCTTTCTCATCTCCGATTATCTTCCAACGACACATTCTGGAACCCCTAGCGAGAGATCCACAAACTGGTGCCTCCAACTTGCGAGAGCTGTTACGAACGATATGCCTGCGGCGAGACGAGAGGCTGCTCAAACTGCCCGAGCCGAGTTTTGAACAGGTCGAGGTGACACTGCAAGAGGGAGAGAGGATACTCTATAACATGATCATGGCGCAATGTGCGCGCGAAATCGACGACACTGTCAGCTCACAGGTCAAAATCAAAAAGTACAACATTTTGTTCACCGCCATGACGAAGCTCCGAAGATTGTGCAACAACGGAATATTGCCAACATTGCCAATGACCAATGTCACTACTGAAGGCGATATTGGCTCCGAAGGTTGTGAGTTCTGCAGCGGAGCAGACGAGGACAAGTTCGAACTTGTCATGCAGGATGACATCTGCCCCGAGTGCGGCAGCCAGCTTGTCTCAAGGGTGAATTTGCCGTGTTTGACCCCCAAGGGGACCCAGTTACAAGCGCTAGCGCTCATACCCGGCATGGTGTCACCGGGGGAGATTTTAACTGCCAACCAAGCATCGAATACGACCCTTTCGAGCAAGGTCCAAGCCGTGGTAAACCGCCTAAATCAAGTCGGGTATAGATCCAAAAGGTATGAGGAAGCCCGCCCTCACAGTCCAAGAACGTCCTAACCAGCTCTTAACCTCTCAGCCTTGTCTTTTCATCCTGGGTTACAACATTGGACCTATTAGAACAGAATCTCAAGGGCAGGTGCCTGAGAATCGACGGCAGTGTCAACTACGCCACCAGACTCCGCATCCTGGAAGAATTCCAGGCCACAGACGTGCCCATCCTTCTAATGACGGTCCAGACAGGCGCTGTCGGGTGAGTAGCCCCATCCGCATCCCCGAACCAGCACGTGCATGCAGCCCGACTTTAACACCCAACACACGCACAGATTAAACCTGACGGCCGCAAACTACGTGCACATCGTCGAGCCTCAGTGGAATCCCTCAGTCGAGGAGCAAGCCATTGCTAGAGCAGTCCGCATGGGCCAGACACGGACCGTCACCATCATCAGATATGTGGTCAAGAACTCGGTCGAAGAGGTAAGCTGGTTGGACGGCGCGAGGCGCTAACAAGCCTAGGTACCTAGAGGGGCTCTTTAGGTTTGCTAACTCGTGGGATAGAACATTGTCCAGATTCAAAAGAGGAAGCGAAGTTTGGCCAAATTCACGCTGGATAGTGCGTCGCACGATGGAGATGGAGCGTCTGGGACACTAGATGTGAGAAAAACCCTCCTTTGATCGAGGAGATTAACCCCGAGCTAACTGTAAGGTTTGTTAGGATCTCCGGGTTGTGTTGGATATCGATCTGATTCCATGATGGCCTGCATGCCCCTGCTTCTTCTGTGTTGTTCTTATTGGAGAATCTTCAACAAAATGCGGTAAAAATAGGGTCAGGAATGCGAAGTTGTCTCGCTTTCTACGCGTTTTACAGTATAGAATCGACGCGCGGATCAGGACCCGCCTGTCCGGGTATTTTGCGATAGGTATCCGGCAATTTTGGCGCCACCTCTCTTCCAGAGAGGTGGAGTGGAATTGAGGTTACCTGACCACCGGGTACTTGCAATCAATTCAATTCTGATCGAGTGCCAAGACAATCAATTCAATTCCTCTATAATTGAATTGATTGAATTGTGGCGAGCCTTGAATTATTATTATCTACCGTAGGTAAGGTACCTAGTCAAGTCGGCTCATGTACCCCCGTGTTTACCCATCCGGCAAGTGTATATAGTACCGGGCTCGTTTCTCCACGTTTGCTGCATGTTTGTGTTGCCTTGATTAAAAATAAAGTAGAGTCCGAGGGGGATTACAACGCTGACCATTGCCGCTCCTCGCGACAGATGGTACCGCGTTAGTATTGAGCTATAAGATCATGGCCAACGTTCAGCTCTCCCAGGTGATGACCTTCAAATCGTAGGACATCCCCCGGTTCAACTCGCTCACAATCATACTAACCATGGGCGTGAGCGCACTTCTCTTCATTTTGATGGTCGCGACCAGCCTTGTGGAAGGACATAGTAAGCCTCGGCCAACTAACAATGTTGCGCCCCTTTCATTACAATATGCTAATGCAACAGTATTGAAAGATGCATGGGTCCGTGTGGCAGTGAACGGAAAATGGGCTCGTCCGTTTGAGTTCATCCGGCAAGTACCCTATCTACGTGCATCATAGACAACGACTTCAAATATTAACTAGTGCCTCAGGAACTTGACCGCGCCATTCGAGGAGCTGGAGCGGCCCAGTTGTACCGGCTGTAACCCTCGATGCTATGTTTGTCCGACATGGGCCGACTACGATTATCCACAGTCGGTTCGCTGCGGCAGAGACAACATGGCCCATGCCGCCGACACCGATGTCCTGCGTGTGAAAGCAGGCGACGAGTTGACCTTCTTGTCTACAACCTTGGCGCAGGATGCATGGCAGGCTTCAGGTGTCCAATGGGACGGCTGCCCGGATGGAAAAGGGGTGTGCACCCCTGGTAGGACATCATCACCAGTGAGTGACTTCGAACTCTCCGTTGTATTTCAAGGACAGCAGGCAAAGCGGTGAACTGACTCAGCCTTCCCAAGCCCGACCGTGTCTATCACAATGGCCCGATAATTGCGCACCTCTCCAAGGTTCCCGAAGGACAAGATGTGCACGAGTATGACGGAAGTGGAAAGTGGACAAAGATTTACACGATGGGAGCTACACTCGTCACTGACGTCGATCGGGAGGACATCCCCTCGCCTTACTTCTGGAAGGGGTCTGTGGACCAGGATTTCCAAGTCTCGTCTCCACCGGTAAGCCTGCCCCTTGTCGATGCCTCCGGATATTGAGCGCGCGCTGTACTAGCCGAGCCCAGTTCAAATTCCAGATCCCAAAGCAAACACCGGCGGGACAGTATCTCCTTCGAATGGATTCGGTCAACATTGGCATGCACACCATGCCTAAAGATGGGTCGGACTGGATATGGCAAAGCGGCGAGACACAGGTGTATCCCGGTTGCGCCCAGATTGAAGTCCAGAGCGACTACACCGGTAGCCTGCCAGAGGGCGGCGTCCAGATTCCCGAGGCATTGTTCACGAAATCTCCTGGTAAGCAGCCTTCTCGTCGGATAATCACATGACTTCTGGCTAGTTTCTAAACGAGCAAAATGATGCAGGTATGTCTCTTCTCGGGGTAAGCGGAGAGTTTGGACCAGGTCGATACCAGCGGATTGTCCTGGACCCGGAATATGTCTACCCCGGAGGCCCTCTGTGGGACGGGGAGAAGCTGGTTCAGGACCGAATTCTACCGTGATGAGGATGAGGTCGCGTCGCAGGACACTCCTCGTTCAAAGGCTATATTCTACCCACCACGATAGATAGCTTACTGTAACCCTCAAGTTCCAACCCGCCACCTGACACGCCTTACATCAATGCTAGCATCTGAGAGACAGCGGACTCCTCGTACATATTTACAGCATTGCGGATCTGTCTTGGTTTTCTCGCGTTTGGGTCTTGCAAGAAGTGGCGGTGTCGAGAGACGTCACTTTAATCTACGGCGGTGCTTCGATTTCATGGGACGATTTTGTCAATGGATCATCAGCCATTGGAAAGCGCGTAAGCGCCATGCACAACATCCGAACCCTGTACCGATGGCATGAATCGAGGATAAAAGCCGCCAAATTCTGCCGGGAGTATCAGCAGGACGAGACATTCTCCAACCACTAGAGGTGGGCTTCCGCAGAGCACAGGTACTGGCGGTTTTTGGGCAGGAGTTGGTTGAAGATCCGACCTTAGTCGATCCTCTCGTCGATGCAATGCCCGAGACTATCAACGCAAGGAACTGTTGGGGAGAGTGCATTTTCAACCAGGGTGGACCAATTTCCGTTTCCGACGAAGAGTTTTATTCAGCTTTGATGCACCGGGGGACAGCGGCGGTCAGCGAGTCTGAACTGAGGACCTTTGCGGCATTTGAGCTGATTCGCCTCGCAGGCGGCGCGCCATTCGCAACGTCCAATGGACTGTTCGGATTTTCTAAGATCTTGAATTTGCTGGAGACATCCGCTGATGTAGTGGTTTGTCTATTCGAAGGCTGCCGCGCGCCGTTTCTCATTGATGGAGGCCCGGAGAAGTACACTTTAGGTTTCTGGTTATTTAGATTTAGGTGGGTGAGGCCCTGTAGTGCACACACTAACAGGGCTTACAATGCACTTTGGGGAAGCAATGCACAGTACTATTGCTTAGCTACCAGCAGTAATTACAGGGCCTAGGCCCTATAACAGTGGTTAATTTAGTGGGTAGACCACTATTGTTTTGGGAATGCCTCTATATTTGCTATCTTAACCACTGGAGTTGGATTTACTACTTCCTTCTCATATACCCACCGACCGGGGCACAGTGCCGAATTCGGCCCAGCGGTCTTAGTGGTAAAAAACTGAATCCCGCAAAACTCATTTGTATAGGTTTGACTAAAAATGGGCTCACCTGCTCGCAGCCGCACCCAGAAGTGCCCGGGCCCACTTGCACTACTACCTTAAAAACCGGTGCAGGGTAGGCCGGTTGGGGCCAAGCGGTGCAGGGTAGGCCGCTTGGGAGCCAACCACCGGTGCAGGGTAGGTCGCTTGGGATGCCAAGAGGTGCAGGGTAGGCCGGTTGGGAACAACCGGGTGCAGGGTAGCTCGCTTGGGAAACCCAGGTGCAGGGTAGGTGCAGGGTAGCTCGATTCGGGAGAAACTAACACTTAGTGAAAAGAAGAACCAACCTTCTTCAAACTAAGATAGCTAGCCACCCAGTAATCGTACCGCCACAACCAAGATACCAGTATATAGCTACAGGCCATACGAATTCAATTACAGTACTGTAGAGCCCCCCAGATGGCCACAGCACTAGTAATCTGAACTCTAGGGTTCAACACCCCCTCTTTGTAGGCCTGTATGCTCAGTGGAGTATAGAAGGTTTAAACCTTAGCTATACTAGCGAAGAGAATAAAAAAGACTAACTAACTAAACTAAAACTAAAGAACTATAGTAGTTAGATACTATTTACAGGCTTTTCTAGCTGTTGAAGCTATATAAAAAGGACTAAATTACAGGACCAATTTCAACACTATTTACAAAGGGAAGAAATAGTAGGGAATGGATAGGCTGTTATAGTGGGTGGTCCAATCTAATAACCACTATAAACGCCTCGGCTTCTTTAGACCTAGTAGGTCTATAAACGCCCTGAAGAGTTGGCTCACCAAAGCCTTCGTAAGCCCATCGGCCGGCATACGTTTAGTATCAAGAAAACTAATGGAAACTAAGCCCCCTCTGACCTTCTCACGCACATAGTGGAATTTCAGCAGTGTATGCTTAGTTCTACTATGTAGAGCTGGGTCATAGGCTGTAGTAATAGAGCCAGTATTATCCTCAAATATAGGTACTGGGCCTATAATTGAGCGCTCTAATTCCTTAAAGAAATCCATTAGCCACTGAGACTCCCGTATAGCCTCTGTAAGTGCATCGGTTTCGGCCTCAACTGTTGAAAGGGCTATAGTAGAAGCCCGTTTCGATTTCCAGGTTACAGGTCCACCGGCCAATTTAAATAAATAGCCGTAAGTGGATTTAGACGTTTCTTTGTCGCCTGCATAGTCGCTATCTGAAAAGCCCACTAATTGTAGGCTCTTTGCCCCCTCTAAAAGAGTATTTACTATATCCTTTTTAGTAGGACTATAACAAATAGCTAAATCCTTACTACCGTTTAGATACCGGAGTAGGTTTTTAGCGGCATTAAGATGCTCTATAGTAGGGCCCTGCATAGCTCGTGAGAGCCACTGTACCGCAAAGGCTATATCTGGCCTTGTTAGGAGCATTAGGTACATTACCGTGCCCACTATCTTCTGGAACAGTTTGTGGTCGGACCTATTTACAGGGCTGCCTTTACTAGATATATTGGATTTATAACTAGTAATTCCTGGTTGTAGGGGTATAGAGATTGATCGACTAGAATCCAACCCGAATATCTTTAAAGCTTCTTCGATATACTGTTTTTGATGGATATATAGTGTTCTCTTTTCTCTAACCCTCTCTATTTGAACTCCCAGGAAAAAGGCTGCCGGGCCTCTATCTTCTATAGCATAGACCTTGTTAAAACGACGTTTAAAGGCCTGTATTTTCTTAATATCAGGCCCTATAAGAAGGCAATCGTCAACGTAGGTAACTATAAAGATCCTAGCAGTAGGATTATAGAAGATAGCAGAGTCTGAAACTAGTGGTTCGAAGCCTTCCTTTCTTAGTAAAATACTAAGATTGGTTTGCCACAGTCTAGGACTCTGTTTTAGGCCGTATAGGGCCTTAGAAAGAAGTATAACTTGGTCCTCCTTAGGGTTATATCCTTGCTTCTTTAGTAAAGCCTTAGTAGATTTTGAGGCCCTACAAGCATAGTCTATAAAACCGTCTGGAATTTGCATATAGTTTTCTTCTTCTAATTCCCCATTTAAAAATGCCCCTATAAAATCGATTTGTTCGATTTCCCAGTCCTCTATAGCTGCTATAGCCAGTAGGACACGCCACGAAGGTGGTATAGTAGTAGAGGCAAAGGTTTCGTTGAAATCTAAACCTTCGATTTGTTGGAATCCTCTAACTACTAATCTAGCCTTATATTTAACAATTTGGTTATCCTTGTTTTTCTTTGCCTTAAGGACTAACCGGCTAGTTAACGGTTTGCGGGCTTTTGGGAGGTCTTTATAGGGTAGGAACTTAAAGGTTCCCTGGCTAACTAGTTGATCGAATTCACTATATATAGCCTCTAACCAGCGGTCTTTATCTTGAGATTTATAGACCTGTTTTAGTGTTTGGGGCTCTGAGGCAGTGCCTTTCGAGGCCTTATAACAACTGGAAAGATAATATATAGTTGAACTGATAAAACTATTCAGCTGCATTCTATCCTCAGGATCGATATTAAGATCAATATCGATATCCATATTGGATAGCGGGTTTACTGGAGGGGCTAGTATAGATTCGGCCATTATAGGATCTTGTAGATTAGATACCATAGTAGGTCCATTAGGCTTGCTATTTAGCCTAGCCCTATCACCCATAGATTTAGATTGATCTATATTAGTGGTAGGTATAGAGGGTTCGAAATTTTTCGATACTATAGTAGTAGATAATAGATCCTCTACAAGATCAGTGGGTTCGCGAGGCCCACTAGTAGATTCAGAGGTAGGATTTTTCTCTATATCTACTATATTATCCCCCTCTCGAACTATACTATCCTCTTTATAACCACCTTTAGAGGAGGTCTCCGAGGGTACTGTAGTAATTTGTAGAATAGTATCATTTTCGTTAACTATTTTAACAAACGGCGATTTTACTACAGCTCTTCTAGCAGGTATCCAAACTAGGCAGGTCTTATTTCCTAGTGCTGCTAGAAGCCTACCAGGCTCTGTACGGGCCTGTAGTTTCAGGGACTTAGGCCTCTTTTCATTCGGTATAAGTAGTTCTATTCTAGAACCTATAGCCTTATACCACCCTAAGTTGGGTATGTGGGTAATACCAGGCTCTAATTCATCGAAGAAGGCCTGGTAGGGTGTAAGGTCTTTATTAGTTACCGCTGTGGAATTGACGAGATCCACTATACTAGATAGTGTCACGAGAGGTGGTTGCCTGTGATGGCACTGTGGCTCAATCGGGGTTAGCGCGCATAGCGCCTCGCCCTACTTCCCCACGAAACGATCGCTAGCGATCCCACCACCTCTCTTTTTCTCTTTGTCTCAGTTTCGATATTATAGTTGTATTGACTGGTGGCCTGACCCCATGGAATATCTGCTTCTCGTCACAAACTGAGACCAATCTCTCTTACCTGGGAAGGTATAATTAATATCCCACCGAAGAACCGAAGATCAAAGATTGAAAGCGTTGTTTCAATCGACCCGACAAACCAAATCCATCCACCTGCGTTTAGCCGAACCAACCGGGTTGGATACCGAAGACCGCCAAGATGGCACGCGAGTCAGCCGCTGACGATCGCGCCCGGAAGGAAGTACGGTTCGTGATCGAAGAGATCAATCGTCACGATCTCAAGAAAGATACCCCGTTGCGCCGCCGCTCGTCGGCAATCCACGACGTGCCGCTGAACCAGGCAGAGCCCCTCGTGGCCGAAGATGACGAAGACGCCGAGCCGGCTACGATTGAGAAGTTCACCCGCGATGTCACTACACAACTCCCAGACGTGCGTTACACTGAGACGCGCGAGAGCCTTGTGGAAGACCTGCGTGCGAAGCTTGTTGCATTTGCCGACCACTTCGCTGGCAAGTACAAGGACAAGGCTCCTGCGATGCCGTTTACCCGGATGGTCGACGACGACCCCAAGAAACCGGATGCCATGTTCGCGGGCGTGATCAATGGCACAGTCAA